GTCGAGGTCTTCTAACGTTATAGGACTGAAAGCTGGAGATTGTTCGTTATCGGCTGGGTTTGGGTTAATAATTCCAGGTAAAGCTATGTCTGGTGTAACAGAAGGGCCTAGAACAGGATCTCGGGTAGCAGCCTGAGTGAGGCTAGTCTCAGGTAAGTTTTCTGCAGTGGGTTGGATAGGATTAACAGGAAAGCGAGAAAGAGCATCAGCATTTGCATTGATCTTTCCTTTTTTATATAAAATATCGTACTCAAACTCCTCCAGCTTGAGCCGCCAGCGGACAAGACGAGAGCCAGGGTCCTTGCAATTGAAAAGCCATTGAAGTGGCTTGTGATCGGTTAGTATTTTGAATCGATTGCCATAAAGATAAGGCCGGAAAGTTTTGGTGCCATATATTATAGCGAGACATTCTTTTTCTGTTATACTGTAATTGTTTTCTGCTTTATTAAGCGTGCGTGACGCGTATGCAATTGGACGATCTTGGCCAACAGGACCTTGAGACAGAATAGCTGAAATGGCGTAATTAGAAGCATCGCAGGTTAGAAGAAATGGTAGACTAAAATCAGGATAGGCTAAGACCGGGGCAGAGGTAAGCTTATCTTTTAAGGTTTCGAAAGCAAGTTGTTGTTCATGTTGCCATACAAATTTGGCATCTTTTTTTAATAGAGATGTTAGAGATTTAGCCAATTTGGCGAAATCGGGAATAAATCTTCGATAATATGATACCAGCCCTAGGAAAGATTTGATATCCTTCGGACATTGGGGGACTGGGAAATCTTTTACTGCCTTTATTTTCTCAGGGTTTGGTTTGATACCATGTTCACCAATGATGTGACCCAGGTAAGTTACTTCTGTTTGCAAGAACTCACATTTTTCTGGTTTTAATTTCAGATTAAAATTTCGAAGTCTACTGAAAACAGCTTTCAGATTAGAAATGTGTGATTTTAGGTCAAACGAGTAGATAACTATATCATCTAAGTAGACGAAGCATCGCGTGCCTTGGAGACCAGAAAGACAGGTATTCATTAATTTTTGAAAAGTTGATGGGGCATTTTTAAGTCCAAACGGCATTCTGTTGAACTGAAAATGACCCTGAGGTACAGAGAAGGCTGTTTTAGGTGCATCTGATGGTGAAATCAAAATTTGATGGAACCCAGACGTAAGGTCTAGAGTCGAGAAATATTTACTTTTGCCAAGCTGATCAAGGATTTCGGATATTTGTGGGATAGGATAGGTTTCGCCGATAGTAACGTCATTCAGTTTGCGGTAGTCAATAACTATTCGCCATTTGCGTTGACCTAAAGAGTCTGCCTTTTTGGGTACTACCCAAATGGGTGAGCTCCAAGGTGAAGATGAGGGTTCTATGATGCCTTGATTGAGCATTTCATTAATTTGGGTTTCCACTTCTTTCTTATGACACTCTGGAAAGCGGTATGACTTTGTATGGATTGGTATATCACTGTTTGTTTTAATTTGATGGTCAAGAGCAGAAGTATGTGTTAGTTGGTCCTCAGGTAGATGGAAAATATCTGAGTATTGAGAGCAAAGTTCTAGGAGAGCATTAGTCTCTTCTTTATTCAAATGGTCAGTTCTTAATGAATCTATAACTTGTTGGGTTCTTGATGCAGTATTCATAATTGTATTGATTTGCAATGCGGCAGAACCCAAAGGTTCTAGGATGAGGTTTAGGTTTGGATTTATATTAACAGCAGATTCAGAAGTATTAGCAATGGTTAAATTTACTCTATTATTGTCTTTAACTTTCACGATACAATTAGAGATTAATAGATTTTCGGATATATGTTGGTCTACTATTATTCCCTCTTTCAGTCTCGTATCTTGAACCGAACATTCAATTACAGTTTCTGTGCGAGGTGGAATAATGTAAAATGGATCAAAAAAATGTAATTTGATATCTTGTTTTCCTATTTTAAGGTTATCATGGGTATAGTCAATTTTACAGCCAAAAGTGGTTAGGAAATCTGAACCTATAAGTCCATCATAAGGTAAGTTAATGTTTTTAACAGCGTGAAATTTAAAGGGTACAACCTTTTTTCCGTTCAACTTGAGCTTTAGATTGAAATGACCTTCGGTTAGGGTTGGTTCGTCACTAGGGTCTATGCCTTTAAGTTTAATTGGTTCCTTTATAAATTTCTGGGTTTTATGGATACTAGACTGCTTTAATAGACATATGGCTGATCCTGAATCAACAAGTAAGGATAATGGGAAGTCAGACACTTGTGAGCTGAGGACTACATGTGGTAGTAGTCTTTTTGTGGTATCTAAGTTAACCTCGTATATTTTAGCGTCAGTCTTCTGGGAAATGGGTTTAGTAGAATTATTGCCTTCTGTTTGAGGCTGAATACCCTGTTGGTGGGCCTGAGATTGGGTCGTGACATGGCCTTCAGTTTGGGGCTGGATACCCTGTCGGTGGGCCTGAGATTGGGTAGTGACATGGCCTTCGGTTTGGGGCTGGATACCCTGTCGGTGGGCCTGAGATTGGGTAGTGACATGGCCTTCGGTTTGGGGCTGGATACCCTGTCGGTAGACCTGAGATTGGGTAGTGACATGGAAGCTGGTGTCGTTTTGGTTGACTAATATTAGAGATGGATGTATTGGGCTCACGAGACACCGCCGGGAGCCCTTTATTCGTTTAAATCAGGGTCTGAGTTATCTGCTTCGTCTTGGTTATCGTCTTGGTCGGGTTGTTCTACATAGTGCACTCGTGGGGGCGGCCTATAGGTACTTTGATTGGTTGAAGTGCCTTGAGGCACCTTGAAACGGTTATTATTGAACTCGCGTTTTTTGCAAACGCTTATATCATGTCCGACAGTTTTACAGTATCGGCAATAGGGTTCTTGTGACGCAGGGAAGGCAACCCTTTGACTTGAGGACGCAGGGAAGGGCGCTCTTTGGATTGAGGACGCAGTGAAGTTTGGTCTGCTCGAAAAACCGGTCTTGAATCGATTAATGTTATTACTACTAATACTTGGTTTTGGTTCCGGTTGTGTGCGTTTATATAAGCTTTGTTGTATACGCTCTTCGGAAACGGCTAGATTAATCGCTTCGTTTAGAGTTTTAGGTGACCTACATCTCACAATATTTGAGATTCGTGGGTGTAGGCCCATGACAAAATGATGAAGAGCGAGATCTTCCATGGCTGCAGTGCGGCCAGGTAATTCTTTCAATTTTGTGACAGATAAGGATATTTCAGTAAGTAATTGTGAGAGGTAGGTTTCCACACGTAACGCAAATTGGCCGATATTTTCTTGGGTGCTTTGTTTGCTCTCTTGGAGATCAGTTAAAAGATGTGAGTAGTGCTTTCTTACGCTAAACTGTGTTTTGAGAAAGTCTTTAAGTTGGTCCCAGGTTGAAAATTCCTTAATGGAACAAGCTACTTCCGCCTTTCCATTTAGTTGACTCAATATGTATTTAAATAAAATTGGTTTTTGATTTTCTGTAGCGAGGTCATAAGCATTATTACAGTTGACGATAAATGAATTTAGGGTTTCTCGGTTACCGTCGTAGGGTTTAACGAACTTGAAAAGAGTATTTAGCTCCATTTCGTCTGATAAAGATATCGCGGTAGTAGCTCTCGTAACACGAGGAGAGCAAAGAGGAGAGCTTGGAGTGCTGGTTGCGGTTTGCGTATCGATAAATAATTTATCTTTTTCCTCCTTAAGCCCTTTTGGCATAGTTATACTTTCGAAACAAAGAAAAATATTATTTTAGGTACAGACAAAAGTAATTTGTTTAATTAGAACTTATAACAATGGCTGTTAAATAACGGAGCTTAAAATCTCAACTTAAGACTAAACAATGACCAAGGACTTACAGTATGAGCATTGCGTAGGCGGCGACGATAAGCACGGTAGCCGGATGCATTATGCGGCGATAAGACACGATGCAGTCGGACTTGAATTAAATTCTCGAACAGGTTTAATTCTTTATGATTTTAGCCAATTTGTAACGCGTTACACGATCACAGCGTTACTTGAGAGCGACGGACAGGTTTCCCAAAATTTTCTTTTACAGCGGTCTTCGTATAGTTGAGAATGGCCGGTTGCAATTTGGAATATGATTATATTATTTTTCTTTTGCAGAACGAGCAGGTAAGTCTCTTTCTTGGAGGTTACAGGTGGACACCTGGTCGTGATGGGTGAGCAGAGCAGGTAAGTATTGTTTCAGGACTCGAAGGTGTCTTCGGAATGGATGATCGGAGCAGGTAAGTATTCTTTCAGGACGCGAAGTTGTCTTCGTAACGAATAACGTTTATACACACTATGTAAGTATATACTATTCACTATTCACTTATAATTCACTTTTATTTTATTTTTTAAATTCGGATGAGTCTGTATTAGAGCGGTTTACTGGGCACTGGAATATTCGGATCCCACCGCTGCCACCAAAATGTTATACAGGATAGCCAAAAAAGCTTTTTAAAAAAACAAATATCTCACTCGCGACGGTTTATCTATGAATATATGCGAGGATTAAGGGATCCTAGACAACCGCTCCGGATGGGTATTGAAATCAGACTGATTTAATTATTGAGTGCTACTAATGAAGCTCTGAGAAGAGACTGCTGACAATGCTTAGCAGTTGCTATAAGCCTAACTACAGAAGGGTATAACAGTACGAAGGCCTATAAAGTGGAATTACCTAAACATCCCATAGAAAAGGTCAATATCAGAAAATGTTATGTAAAATGTCTTTCAAGATCAAAAAAGAAAGTCATACAAATAAAACTCGTGTTTTATGTAAAATTAACTTCTGCTAGGTACATCAGTAACTGAAATTGTTTCACTGAATAAGTCACAAGTACAACTATAAAATACAATTATATAAATAAAATATTATAATATTATTAATAATAATACCCATAATAATAAATATGTTGTTTGTTTTTGTAAAATTCGTAAATTATGAATACTATAAAAAGGTAAACTATTTAACTTTGATCAATCATTTCCTTTTAATGATAAATAACGTAACTTTTATTAAAAAGATACTGGCAACACTGCGCCCGACCGTCCGTCATTCATTAGTCCGACATACTACGACAGCTCATCGGCTTTTATTTTCGTTTCGATGATAGTACTATCTAATATCGTATACAAATACTCCAAGAAAAAGTGCAATTAAAGTAAATAACGATATGTGGGATCCAACACACGTTCAAGTAACGATCCAAAGGGCTCGTGGACTTCTGATAAAGGGTAAAAACGGTACCAATAACTGTTTTGTGACCATCGCCCTCGGCAAGGAAAAATTCCAAACTTCCGTCAAACACAAAGCAACCGAGAATGTAGAATGGTTAGAGGAATGTGAGCTGAGCATACCTTCGCAAGGAAATACAGCAGAAATTGTTTTAAAAGTGTATGATGAAGATTTTGTTAAGGATCACTTACTAGGTCAAGTATCGATTCCGTTAAAAGACCTCGATGTTTATGAGCGGCCAAGAAACCGTTGGTATACTTTGCAGGGCAAACCTGGTAAGGAAAGTGATAAAAAAAGAGGAGAATTGGAAGTAAAAATCGGCTTCACTGTAAAAGAAGGAAGTCTAAGTGACCTTAGCAAAAAAGACAAACACAGATCCTCTTTGTCGAGTATTGCACACAATGTTGGCGGTAGTCTTATGAGCATTGGAAGTATTGAAAAAAGGAAAGGCCTAAAGAAATTTGCAAAAAACCTTGGCTCAAAAATCAACTTGAGTAAAAAAGACAAAAAAAGTGACTCATCATCACTCAGTGGTAGTATTAGTAACTTAAAGAGCTCAGCTCTGTCAACTCCTGAACACTCTACTCCCAAGCGCCTAACAGCAGGTGAAGCTGATCCTGGAGTTATCAGTGAAGATGAAGATGAGTTTGCTTTTGATGATTTATCTCATAAAAGTTCAGGCAGTTCCCTTAATGTTAACACTTTGCCTCGAGGTCATAAATATACTCCATCTCCAATGAATGCTTCCCTTGAAAATCTTGGTGGAGGTGAAATTTTAAGAAGATCTACAAGTAGCAACCTGGCTAACTTGGACAAACCAGCTCCTCATAAACCAGTACGCTTGAGTCTCAATTTATTCACTCCTCCACAACTACCATCTCAAGTAGTAAATAAAGACGATGAGTGGTCTCAGAAACTCTATTCCAAACCAAAATCTAACAGCCAAACTACAATTGATAGAGAAAAATCATCAAGTCTTGAAAGGAACAATAAACTTGATAGTCCTAGCTCCTTCAAAGAGAAACCAAGCCCTAAATTCTTTAAAAAGTTTGGAAACAATAATAAACCAAAAAAGTTATTAGAAGAGAGAATTATTGTTGGCGAAGAGAATATTGTCGAAGAAGATTCTGTTAACCCTGCCTATAACAACATACCTAAAACAGTCATAGAACAATTTGATGGAAAATCAAGGGAAGACTTAATTGTTATGATTTACAATTTGCAAAAAGATGCAGAATCAGAAAAGAAGAAAAATAAAGATTTAGAAAACTATTTGGATGAATTATTGCTTAGAGTAATGGAGACCACACCAAGAATTCTACAAAATCCATATGTAAGGAACAACAGCATGCACATAAGAAATAAATAACTGTTGAAAAAAAATATTTTGATTTAGTGGGTGGCTTATTTGTTTATGGAATGTTTACATTTTTAATTTAAAGTAAGTAAAATTTTATTTATTCTGTTTGTTTGAAACTTCTCATTTGTTATATAATAATTCTAAAGCAGTTACATTATTAATATGCATTGCTTTCACCATGTGCAATTGTTTAAATTACTGTTTAGAGAGATCTTATCACGTCTTAACTTAGTGCCTTATACAGTTTTTGTCTGTGATACAATCAATTAAATAAAAAAATATTACATAGGAAATATGGTATGATTTTACTCTTGCTATGCCATATTTTATTTATAAGGTACTTATGTGTATACCTTATAAACAATTGAAACAGTTAAATGAGATCTTCAAAGTGTTTATTTTAAAATATTTGTTTCATTATCAAAGATTTATTATCTACCTACATTTATTTATAAAGAGAACAGTGCCAAATTTAAAACTTGTAAATTTATTCAACAAGCATTTACTTCTTATGTTAACAGAATAACAATTAGACAGTCTGATTTCTAAATAAACATAATATGTCAAGATGGATGGAAAAATACTGTCAAGTTGTTACCTATTCCAAAATGTGGCCACAGTTAATCTTCATTTTTATATACTATGAAGGTGTATATCAAGTAAAGAGATATAATCTAATTTGTTGCAGCTTACATCTGACATAAATTATGAAATCAGTTTTTTTTTAAATATATCAACATATCTAGAGATATGTTTGTTTTATCTATAATAAATTGTAAAATGTAACAAATATTGATTAGAGGAAATATTCAATTTTAAGTTTTCAGTAGTAATTAAGAATTTACTTGTTTTTATAATTACATCAAAAGTTTATTAGAGGAAACTATATTTAGATATAAATTGCAAAAATTAGTGTGATATAATGTAATTAACCTAAATCTATTGACAAAGTTGACATTACTAAAAAGGTATTTAACATTGCCATGCCATGTGTAACATGCAAACTATATCTATCAGCTATGGATACAGTTAAGTGCAAAAGTCAATTAATGATGACCCTGACTCTATTTAATTTGATCTTTGTTCTTACTAGTTTAAGAGGGAAGACAAAAATTTTAAATAGATAAAAACCTTAACATTCCATAAATACAATATTTAAAAATTGCCATCATTGTTATGCTAAAATGACTCAGTAAATAACACAATGCATGACTCACTTGACTTGAGATTATATTTGTGTGTCACAGATAATAGGAAAGTTAAGTATTGTAATTAAATCCATCCAAAAGTGAGTGAGAAGAAATCAATATATTTTTGTATAATAGAAATAAAAGTAGAACTTGTAATCTATTTTAAGCTTAATGAAACATTTATTTGGTATGTACTTTTTAATTCTGTTTACAATGGTTAAACAACATTTAGCAACTATGAAATATTCAAAATTCTTAGGTGTAGTAATGCATGAAAAGATAATTTATTTTAGTACTAGGGGCCCATACCAGAGTTCTCCATGCGATGCAATTTATTGATTGGAAAAAGACTACTGTTCACTGTGTATAGCTTCATATTACTTCCATAACGGCGTATGTACCGCATTAAACTCATGGTAAAGTCCGCCTTTATGCTTGTTAATTCTAATTATAGTTATGCCGCCGTGCAATTCTGTGGTAATAAATAGACAAATATTCCATTAAGATTTTAAAATTCTATGTCTTACCTAGTTTATTTTAATAAGAAGACACTTAAACATAAAAGGATCTGAATATCTAAAAGGGATTTTAAGTGTCATAATATTTCAAATAGTATAAATAAATGCCAAGTATTAGAGATATATTAATTTGGATTGCTTTAGGATAACTTATCGTGAGTGATTTTAGCCCTGTAGCATGGTTATTAGGTACTTTGATGTTCAAAGTCTCAATGTAGAACAAAATAGGTTGTATAGCTTTGCTATTATTTAATTTAAATATTCTTTTTTTTTTCAAAAACAGACACGTAACTAGGCACTTACATTTATTTAACCTACTAGATGTAATAACTAGAATAAATATTTCAAAACTAATGAAAATATTTAATATTAAATAAAACGAATGGTCAAAGGGTTTAGCCGGATACGTATGACGAGTCGGCCCCCAAATGGGAATCGATATTGAAACTTATGTTTTAATATAGACTTGATGTTCAAACACGATTTATGTACTTTTCGCGACCGACTTCCGCTTTGACCTTGAGATAGAGAGCAAAATATCCGTATGCTTGACTATTACTGAATGTGATATATCTCTGAAGCTAATTAAGATAAAGAAGTGAAACTAACGCGAGGTGTTAGGTTACATTACAGAGTATATCACATATATTTTTTTATAATTTTTAGAATAAAAAATTACATTAAAAAAATAAAAATAAAAAATATCATGTTTTTTTTTCTGACTTCTCTGTGACTTACAATCACGAAATTAATATATGTTATGCTCCTTTGTATGCTCTATCACCCATAAAAATTGCGTGAGAAAAAAGTTGGTGCAACACAACGGAAAAAAATTATATGTGATTCGCGCCTTGTAGTGTGAGTGTATAAACAAACAAGTTCGAACTTGTTATCGAGCTGTTTACTGCATCGTTTGTTTAGCTAAAGTAGCAGTCATTTGTATTACACAAGAAGGCAGTTTGGGACTCAAATTCTGTCATAGGTATTTTGTATCAGCATTTTGAAATTATTAACTATCGAACCAAATCATTATTAAGTAATAATGTCGAGAAAGTGTAAAAATTGTAACAAGTACCTGTGTAAGATTCCAGGAGACCAGGATAACCAAGATAACCAGGAGGTTATAAAAAAATTATAAAGAATGAAGAAGAAGCTAAAGTGTTTAGTGACTGTTTGAATAAAATCGTAATAGTTAATGATATTTTTTGTAAGAAGTGTCGACTTATCCCATATATTAACAAAAAAGCTTCTACTTCTAAATGTGCAGCATTTAACTTGGCCGAAATAATGGACGATCAAAATAATCTCTCAGTACAATATGTGAAATCAGCACCTAATATCATTAAAGCAGAAGTAAAATCAAGACATATAAATAGAAAAGTCTATCGAATTTACATTCACTATATTTCCGAAGGTAATGACTACAATAGTATTCTTCGTTATTGCTGTGATTGCCCCAATGGCAAACGTACAGTGGGATGCTGTTCTCATGTAGCAGCTATTATTTATTATCTATCATATCGATGATATTTGTCCAAAATCGTACGTCCTGCTGAGGTCCTAACTAAGTTATTTGCGACTCAAAGTGTTCCGATTGTAATTAATTACAACAGTGACGATGATTAATATTTTGTTTCTTGTATTTTGATAGACACGAAAAAGTAATAATAATGAGTATTGAACACTGGCTGTTTTTTTTTCATTTCTTTTTTAACTATTATCCCATCTCTTAAGACTAGTTACTTATGTTTTAAAACAAGCTGATGTGAAATTTCGAAAAAAAAAACAATGATGTAATGTGAAAACCTTATAATACAGGGGTATACCATAAGACAGAAATCACATATATATTTTTTTCGTTGTGTTGCACCAACTTTTTTTTCACGCAATTTTTATGGGTAATAGAGCACACAAAGGAGCATAACATATATTAATTTCGTGATTGTAAGTCACAGAGAACTCAGAAAAAAAAAAATGATTTTTTTTTTTAATTTTTTTAATGTATTTTTTTATTCTAAAAATTATAAAAAAATATATGTGATATACTCTGTAATGTAACCTAACACCTCGCGTTAGTTTCACTTCTTTATCTTAATTAGCTTTAGAGATATATCACATTCAGTAATAGTCAAGCATACGGATATTTTGCTCTCTATCTCAAGGTCAAAGCGGAAGTCGGTCGCGAAAAGTACATAAATCGTGTTTGAACATCAAGTCGATATTAAAACATAAGTTTCAATATCGATTCCCATTTGGGGGCCGACTCGTCATACGTATCCGGCTAAACCCTTTGTTACTTTTCTGAGATAAATTGTACTTCTGGAAATAAATGTAATATTCTTATTTAGAAGCCCTGCATATAGTTAACTATGTATATCAGTTAAGACTAAATGTAGGGCTCCTCAATAAAAATAACTTAAAAAGTATATTGTATTATAAAATATGTAGTTAAAAAATAGTTACAGAAAATAATTTTATGATTATAGAAGAGTCCTTCGTATGGACTTGGAGACAAGCTAAAATTAAAATACGTGGCGCACGTAAATTAAACCAACATGGCGATTCCCCACTATTACAATTTCGGGTCTCAATCGAGGTGTGAGGGTGAGACACGTAACCGTAGCAATACTATATCCCATTACTATCTGTACCTGCGCGGAACATCACCATTTTGGTTTAACTTACTTGTTGCGCATTATACTTTTCTTACAAATACCTGATTTCTAAATTAAGAAACTACTTCCTCTTTGTATTTTAGTAAAAAAATTCTAAAAGATATAAGAGAAAGTAAAGTTTATCATAATTTGTGATGCGTGAATATATACAAATTAATTTTTTATTATTTGCTTTTATAATTTCAATCCTTTTGCGCTCAAAACAACCACAAATTAAGCAATCTCCAAAAAGTAAACCGTGCTAAATTTCTATGAGCACCTGTTTAGATTTAGAGCCATTCGAATGAAAATCTGAGCACCACGCCAAATATTTGGGTAATGTTTAGCCCTTACTGCTGGAGAACAAATGTTCCACGTTTGTTCTCGGATTGGATAGGCCAAGTTGGAGAACACGGAGAAACAACTTCCGGTTTGATACATCCGCCGTTATTGCTCTTCAAAAATAATAATGACTCTTGACTATTTTTTTAATATTAAAATCTATATAGAATCCAATATCGTAACAGATTGATGTCACCGATTTGTAAAAAATATATAAATCAGATTTAATCAGGTTCAATATCCAAAGAAACACTATTGCGTAAATAAGTTTCTGATGCGTATTTAATAATAGCCCTGAAAATTATCTTCTGAAAAACTACTTTTAATTAATTATTCACACATCATTATGATTATTCTTAGTGTTGCATTGCATATAGATTACCGCTGCAAAGTGTCTCACAGTTGTAAATTTTCCCTAGAGTAGAATAGGGATGATGACTAATTTTTGTTTGTTTGTCCGTCAGGTAGAGTGTTAAAAAATATTAAACACGTATTTTTTTTATTTTTTTCGTAATCATAAAATTACGGCGTTACATTGAGTTGAAATTTCGCATGACGTCACGTTAGAGTACGTTTTCTACTCAACTGTGACGTAGCTTAAATAACAGGCATTAAAGTTGAGGAGCGGGGCCTCAACTTTAATGCCTGTTATCTAAGCTATTTCTTGTTAAATTGAAGTAAAAAAAATACGTATCTAATATTTTTCTATTATCTGACTGACGGACTAAATAGAATTGCATTTTTTTACCCAGCATCATCCCTATTACAATAAATAAATAAAAAAGTGAACTTTAAGACTCACTTTGCGATTTTAATGTACTTATCTAGAAATTTACATTTTAACAAATTCTTCAAAAACAAATACTTAAATAGGTATTAAACAACATCAGATACATTGCTCAAACTCTAAGATGAGAAGAAAACAAAGGTACCACAACACACAGACCCAAGTCATGGAAAAATCCACTAAACTAGGAATGCGGCCATGATGCAGATTTTGTCATTTTTAATTACGGCTTATTTGGACATAGTTTCTTGGTAGGTATTTGATGTAAACGCCTTCTTAGTTACTCTTGTATCCTTTCATTTTCAACACAATCAAAATGTAGAATGATTGACCTTGCATTAATTTGTTCTTAAAACATCGACCTATTACGCATTGCATTGACTTTGTACTTCAAAATAAAAATATGCGCCACTCAATACAACAGTCTTCCAAGTTCTAATAAAAAGAAGGGAACTAATGAACAATGCTTCAAAAATCCACTTTGTCATTAAGAAAAGCACTGTGAATGCAAAATGGATCAAATATAATAAGAAAGGCACAATTTTATCTTTTCTAATTTTTACTTTAGCTCAAATACTTTTAGAATAGTATGATAAAAAATCAATTACCTACCCGATATTTGTAAAATTATTACTACACCAGAAAATTACATGCGTACATGCTGCCCTGTGATTCTGTAAAAATCTGAACCCGATTTAAAAATTCTTTTACCTATGAGAAGCCACTTATTATGTGTGGTTGACATAGGCTATAATTTACGCTGGCAAAATCTCGGGAGGAAAGTCAGTCTTATAAAATAAAATATGAAAAGTAAATATTACACATATTCATTACTAGCTGTGCCCGCGACTTCGTCTGCGTGGGAAGTATTTTGGTAGAATTCTTTTTTTCCTATGAATGCAGACGAATCGAATAAGATCAATGGGCCATAATCTACTACGCGGGCTTAATGCGGATCGGTGGGTGCATTCTGCCAGTGTTGTGCACAGTGCTCAAGATAATAATGTTTTGGTCACCCATCCGGTAAACGGTCCTTACGAATGTTATTTTTCTATTTTTTTCTCGTTTCTCGCGCTCAAGTTGTCACTTGTGTCTGAGCATTTTATTCGTACCTTTAAACGGTCGTTCTTTTGTTTTTGATCTTTTTAAATTATTATTATTTGTCTAGTTGTATGCACAATCGGCTATTTAATGTTCTATTTTTCATGTAATGCTAGTTTGTCTGGAAGACATCGCTGGCTAGCGATGAGTTTGTCGTTTGTACTTATTTATGTGAAATAAGTATTCATGTATGTCCTTCTTGTGCAGTATTTACTTACTTATTTAACTGCAATTTAAACCGAATGCGCTAACCCGCTACGCCATCGGACCTAAGCTATACTAATATTATAAAGAGGAAAGATTTGGTTGTTTGTTTGTTTGCATCGAATTTGCTCCAATACTACTGGACCGATAGTTGCAGAGCGATTCCGACCTACGGGAAGCTACATCAGACGCGCATGTCATAGGCTATAATTTTGCGGCAAAGTCATGGGAAAATAGCTAGTTCATTATACCCTGTGAAAACTTATCTGCGGTACGCCTGTGGAGTATGAAGTCAACACGGTTTGGCGATAATCGAAACTACTTTCTCGATCTCTATTGTGCAAACTGCGAGCTCTTTAAGAGACCAAGCGCATTTCCCTATCAAAAGAAGTTTCATACTCATACCATACTACATGTATGTTAATGCTTCAGATTCAACTTTATAGTATATGAGCCTTGCGATGGGCAGTTAAATACGCGCGTTTTTCAGGTGTCTCCTGAGACCGAGCGCTTTCTGTCTGATCTCTTTCTTTGTCTATAAAAGTCGGTCAGTACATGTCTGACGGAAGATACGTGGAGTTTTATTTATTGATATAAAAAAATATATACATATTTTAATTTAGACTTCCACACTCGAAGGAAATCGTCTACTAACATACTTCCGTGAGGTGCTTAACTGAGCTTCTGTCAAATTTGAACGGCCCTAATCATGATCATCATCATAATCAGCCCTTTTACGTCACCAACTGCAGGAGCTCAGGCCTTCCTTATGGATGGTTAAAGAGGATGGGCCACGACCCTCCATGCTGGCCCAATGTGGATTGGAGGATATTAACGACTGCAAATACAACCGGGTCCAATCGCTTTACGTGCTTTCCGAAGCTTGGAGTTGCTTGAGCTAATATTTTTTGGTCATCCATCCTGTGCCCGACCTTTGCGAATGTTGCTTAACAACTACAATCGCGGGCCATGGCTCTTATTCACTACGCCACCGAGCTACTCTGAACCGACCCTTAGACTCGCGTAATATTATATGAGTGTTGTGACCAATGAATAAAGCATTGTTTCCAGCGAAGACTGAAAATACCAAATTTGAAGTACGTATCTACAGCAATTTGTATGTTAAAAAAAAAAACAAAAAAGTATTAACATAAAAAATAGCAATAAGAGAAAAAAATATAGTAATATATAAAAATATAGAACTCGAGTTGTCTTTACGTTCTTAACTTCAGTTGACGTGAATCTAAGTTTTTTAACGTCGTGGAAAAACTTCTGACATTGTCTCTGTTACCTGGCAAGCAACAGGGGTGAGTAGGATTCCCGACAGTGAGCTGCCCGGTGGGGCCCCAGAGGTGTACCCACCAAAACCCCTACTCTACACCCTCTCATGAGAAATGAAAACCGGCAAGCTATGGCGGAGTCACCAGGACACTCAAGTATTGGACCATTGGTCCCCTTGCAGATGGAAAATTGGAGAGACTCGGGTAAATCGAGTGCCTCTCCCAGACAGACGAAACCGTGCAATGCGGGAGCGGATGCCAACCACCTCCGCTGGCCTCGACGACGACATGAACGTAATCTGATAAAAATATGCGTTCACTGTAAACTACTCGATGCTTAATTGCATCATCGGTAGACTCTTTCCGCTTGTTCTCCTACTCCCGTGATCGTATACCACACGTCCATTATAAGCTGAACCCTATTTAATATGATTGGCCATATATAAATGAGGTCAACTTACTTCGGAGTTGTCAAAATTTTGGAATTTAATTTTTTTATTTGTCATTATACAAATTATCATTTTATAGACAATATTAATTCGTAGCTCGGTGGCGCTACGGATATGCGCCGCTGCGCACGATCGCTATTGCTAAGCAATTTTCGCAAGAGTTGTTCACGGGATGGGTGACCAAAAATTATTAAACAAAGGCCTGAGGCCCTGCAGTTTGGCTGTGAAAGAGTTAATGATGATGATCAATATATCAAAGACGAAAATTTAATAAAACAGTTTATATTTCATAGCAATTTTGGCGACCACGTCACTTCAAATTGACATAACTTTTTTATTTGTGAACCGATTGAAATAAATCTTACACTAAATGTTAACGGAAGAATGTCGCAATATAATAGCGAAAACTGCATTTAAATCGGTTCAGCCGTTTCTGAGATTATCGTGCACAAACGCACAGACAAACCGACAAACAGACAAAAAATTTAATAATCATTGTTTTGTGTTCTATTACTCTTATAAATGTCCCTCATAACAGTTTTTTTCATATATCTTCAATGTACAGACATCGATCGGTTACGTTTTTATTATAGTATAGATTATTACCAGCAGGACGACTCTGGTAATAGCAGGGCGACTCTGTAAAAATTCGAACCCGAATTCGAATTCACTCGTGTCCTGCAGCAGGGCAGGGCAGCCCTGCGATTCTGTAAAAATCCAGACACGAATTCGAATTTCCTCATGTGTCCGAATTCACGAGTCATTTAGTGTAAAAATTCTATTGATTCTATTCCTGTCATTTCGAAACTAATTTCACTTATGCCACGAAACGTTATTACCAATTCTAGGTTGAGCGGATGCAGTTTTTTGAAGTGAATTCGAATTCGTGTTTGGATTTTTACAGAATAGCAGGGCAGATCCCGAAAGCAGCCACTTTTTGTATTAATAAAAAAACCAGATAATTTCTTAATAATATATTTATAAGGATATATTATAAAAACATCTGCATTGGTATCAAAATTGCCACTCGCTAATCGCTTATTTATGACGGCGGCTCTTGATCGGTGCAACTGTTGGAACAACACTAACATAAGTTTTTTGTGATAACCTGTTCATGTAGTAGATCGTTATCACTGAAAATATCAAACTGTAACAAAAGAAAAGTCGTTATTGTACATCACGGAAAATGTTTTTTAGAAATCACTTAGGTTCACTTCACTATGACAAATTTAGCTCGATGCTACTATACAAGCGCAATAGCAATATTGCGCAAGAGTGAAAGAGATACTTATATGCCGTGTGATTATACGAAATTCTCTGTTCAGTGACCGTGCTATACTGAAGAACGTCGAATACGATGCGAGCTTTACATAGTACCTATTTAGTACCTATGTAACATACAATACTTTTACTAATAAAATACTTTTCCAATTTACCACAGTTACTCTTTGAAATGCATAGTACCGCGGTTTGCTTTTGTATTTGAAAAACTAAATTGAATAATGCTGTATAAGCTATTAGGGTCCTATTTGAAGGAGCGCAAGTATTAAAAACCCATGCTGGGGATAGAGGAGTTCCACAAAGATCGGCGCAAGGACCGCTCTTATGGGACATTGGTAGCCCTGAGTCCTGGCTTAAATGAGCGTCATTTGTTATGCGGTGGTCAGTAGAACCACAATGATGGTTGTATCCAGAACCATACTGAGACCACATATTTTTGCGTTTGCCGCAGAAGAGCTCCAGCAGGCTCGATGTGGATAATAAACGGTTAGAGGACGAGTGGATATCATACAATACATAAAGTACCTGGGTCTCACCCTTGAGACTGGCAGTCCGACATACAATTCCACATACTCGTGCCATGCCTAAGGGAGGAGGCCTATGATAGAATTGCAAGGGGGCTTTGAAAAAGTAGCAAACATGGTTTGAACCATGAAGGTTTTGGAGGACTGGGTGACCGGAAGGCATGGCGCACTAATCTATCTACTGGCACTGGTTCTTTCAAGGCATTGCAAGGCTCCTGCACTGAAATGTAATGTAGGTACCGTCACCTTGCCACAGTGTATATAAAGGCAAAGAACACTGCATCCTCTTGATGTATACTCTTGAAGAGCGCAGCCTTCCCCTGATAGGGTCACAATACGTTATCAGTTGTAGAAACAGATCTAACACTTCTTGTTATAGTATAGGCTATGTTGGAGAATCAATCAATACACAACCGAAGCACTATGCCAATTGTATGATTTCCCAAGAAGGACCAGGGTCATGAGAACTCGGAAGAAATCTTCATTGTATTCACATTCAGTACATATTCATATACAGTCAAGTAGCATTTTGTCACTTCTTAACTTTTGAACCTTAAAGGCTCATTGACTATTGCAAGAACCGAAAAACATGAAAATTTGATAAATTAATGAGTCTAGTAATACTTAGATGTTGGAAACAGCCTTTCTATGATGCCCTAAATTTTATTGTGCTTTTTCCTCCCAACTCAAAATCTATACAATCTATCAGATATGTCTTGCTTGCCCGCTAACAAAGTTATTATAAAGCAGATAGAAAAAGATTAGGGCTTCATATTAAGGTATGGCTACAGTAGGGGTCAGTTTCCAAACTCATCTTGAGCTACTTAACTTACCAAGTAGTAAAACAAATTCGGTGTACCATACCAGCAGCTACCAATGAAACAGCCATTGAGAGAACTATTTCAGGCAATTTCAATTGGAAATTTTTTCCAAAAAGTGTTGCCTCTAAGTTACCAACTGCCTGAAAGATTAAAGTTAAGGAATCGGCAGTATTAATAATTTATTCTTTCCTCACGATAAAAATTATGAAAAGTTAATAACATTAAAAAGGATACTGTTATAAAAAACATGAACATCAGTGAGCCCAAATATCCTCCAAATATGATTGTAATTGGAGATTTTACTAATAGTGGTTTATACATTTGCATCCCGGAAAATATGAGAAGTGTCAATATTGACGACAATATGAAAGATGTTGCGCTGTTCACCGCTGAAATATGAAATATCCATTAGTTTGAAAACTTAAATTGTAAAACATAGGAACACATAGTACCTACCCATTTTGCCTGCAAACTTTGCTCCAAACAATATTTGTCAAGCGGTCATGTAAAACAATCTGTTGTGAGAACAGAGGGAACAATTACAATCAAAAAATGTATATAAAGAAACACCGAAATTCTGAAGAAATCCGGAAAAATAACCATAAAGTGGAATGTAAAATCTGATTATAGGTACCGATATGCACAGACTTTGCCAGTGTCAGTGGAATATATATATCATCATCATTGGACGGAACAGGTTTTGTTAAATGACAGTATGGAATAGCTATTAATAAAATTTACTTTTTATTTTAATATTTAATTATTGTTGATCGAAGAGTAGTCAATAACATTTCCAATATTAATTTTATTGTAATAGTAGTAAGTAAACTGTAAGAATATTGACAAAACGAGCACCGCTATTTTTTGTACTATGCTTACAGTCAAAGAGAGAATTGAGAAAATGTTAATAAGTTAAATGTTACTACCACAATAATTAATTTTGTGATTACAAATAATAATATGATTCATGGGTCATAAAGAAAAAAAATATTCTGTTATTTGCGTAGGACAGCTTTCATGTGGGATCCTTTGCATCCCAAAGAAACATTGAACATTAACGGTTTTGTGAAAAGAGAAAACCAGACTAAGATCTAAGATCCCTTTGTTTGCCTTAAAAACAAATTCAACACTATTATTTCTTTTATTCCAAGGAACAGACAACATAGGTATGTTATAGATATGTAGGGTTCGAAGTATCGGCTTCTGGTATCGATACCGAGTACTCATGTGGTATCGAGGGTCATGGTATCGATACCATAAAAGTATCACGTATCGATACTACTCAGTATCGAGTATTTATCGACATCATTAAAGAAGGCTAATCCTAAAAAAAACAATCTACCAGACGGACAGACAAACAAAAATTTGTAAAATGTGTATGAAAAATTGTTACAAAATATTTGTTTTTGGGAATAGTAAGAAAATTAAAAAAAATATATCTATAACGAAAATATAGTTTATTAAAAAAAACATTTGCCTTTGCCTTTCCATTTCAAAGTTAATGGAAGAAGAGAAATAACAAAAAAACAAAAAAAAAACCGATCCAATACTTCCATACATTTATACAATTCAGTCATACGTTATTTTTATGGCAGCCAAAAGAGTAAAAGTATACAAATAAAAACCAAAGAGTAAAAGTATAAGATTTAAGTTGAAACGTCAAATGCAAACGCCTATAGTATATATTCTTTAGCAAGAATACTCGATACCAGCAATTTTGATGAGTACTTGCGAGTATTTACCTTTTTGTAGTATCGAGTACTTAGTATCGAGTTTCGCTTTTGAAAGTATCGATACCTACTCGGTATCGAAAGTATCGTTCGAACCCTATAGATATGTAACATAGGTATACTACATACTAGTCGAGTAGGTTAATTTAGTTGTTACTGGACACGTGTAACAGGTTTCATCAACCACTCCTTAAACACATTACGCAGACCAAATATGAATTTATCACAGACTTCGTAGAGATTTAATTAAAAAAAAAGAATACACTAGAAAAGATAGCAACTCTACCAAAACTTTGCAAATCTTAAAATGAATAAGGAAGTGTTTAAAAAAACATTAGTTCCCGAAATCAAACTAGATGCACGGTACGTTTTTGATTTCTCCATGACAACCTCCCCGGTTTTCTTTTAAGTTCATAAGTAAATTAGTTTTCAAAACTCAATAAACAACTCATATTTTATTTGTACTTTTTCACATTTGCAAAGTTCGAAACTAAGACGTCAATACATATACGAAAAAGTAGAAATAGAATATGAGTTGTTTATTGAATTTTGAGAATTAATAACCTTTTTTATGCATGAAAGAAAACCGGAAGGGTTGTCTTGGAGAAATCAAGAAAGTACCGTAGCAACATCTACAAGGTTATCTTATAGTTTGATTTCGGGAACAATTTTTTTTTAAATACTTCCTCATTTTCACTGATACATATACCCATGAAAGGTGATTTCTCAGCTAATCTATAGAGATATATTTTAGAGCAAGCAATATTGTCTAAGTAAAGGAGTAGAATGAAAGACTAAATTGAAAGGTGACAAAGTGACAAATGTCACATTTATTTTAATGTAGGTAGATGTTTTACTTCTGGAAAACAAATAAAATGATAATTTATCATATTATTGATAAGGCCAACGTGTATTAGTGTTAGTGGTTTGAAGCAGTTTTCTTCCTCTTTAATATGAACTTCTTAAAAAAACGTAGTTATTTTAAAAATGCTGTTAAACGTAGTATCGTCAGTAAACATTAATTTAAAAGTTTTATTATAACGAAGTAATACAACTAATAAAGATTTTTTTTAAATTTCAGAGTTCTTCTCCCTCAAAAGTAAGAATCTATGAAGTAGGACCAAGAGATGGTCTTCAAAACGAATCAAAATTTGTACCAACAGAAATTAAAATTGAACTAATTAAAAAACTTGCTAATGCAGGTTTGAAAGACATTGAATCGGCCAGGTAATAAAGTTTTAAGCAAGGGTATTATCATTTTCACATACCTAGAATAAATAAATAAATATTAGACAACAATCACTTATGTTGCTCATTTCCCAAATGAAATAGCTTTCAGCACTTGTATTATGAAAATCTGAATCAAGGAAAGTACCACAACATCCAAGATAATAAAGAAAAGCCAGTTTATTATGTTGACATTTGAGATCATTTTTTATTTTAATCAAAATGTCCAAGGTTTTATTGCCGTGTGTCCTTAATAATAGTATAAGGTCTTTTAATTCCTAGGTGTCTCAAAATCATGAGTAAATCTTTTTACAGTTTTGTCAGTCCTAAATGGGTTAAGCAAATGAGTGATGGCCAAGAGGTAATGAAAAATATAGATAGAGTTCCTGGTGTTAACTATCCGGTTTTAGTACCAAATCTAAAAGGGTATCAATTAGCTGTAAGTTATACAATGCAATTTTTATTGTTTAACAATGCACACACACACAAAAGCATGTTAGGTTACCACTGTAGGTTAAATTTCCACAATCTATTTTGAAGTCATACAGTCTATTCATTAAGGTTTAAAAAATAATCAAGTTCAACACATTTGCATATCCGAGTATAGTATGTTATACCATTTCTTTCAATATGTGTATATTTAAAGAAATGAGAAGAGTCATAGTTTTGTGATTAGTGTGTTTTATCTGAAATTATCAGTTCTAAACTTGTGAAATCCTGTAAGCAAGCAAACATTTTATTTTATTGAAATCAAATCAAATTATTAATAATATAATATTGTTGCAAGAAAATTCATGATTTCACCCTTTGATTGAAATACTGTAGGATGATAATTTACTTTAAAAATAAATGGTATGAGGATAATTATCCTCTTTTTTAATAAACCTATCTGTAGACAGCTCCCACATAAAGGCATGAAAAACAGTTCTATGTATGGTAAGACGTCCTAAATTTTTCACTCCATGAGGCCAGGCTCCATAATTGTCAGTCGGTATTATACTAAGTCTAGCTATAAATACTGTTCGAATTAAAAATAAACAAAATATTACTTTTTAATTTTGATCTGTCATTTTTACACAATTGTTCACTATCTTTTCTTATTTTCTCACCAATACATTGTAAAATATTTTGTGATATGAAAATAGAGTAGGGCGATAAAGAGAACTGCATCGCTGTGTTTGCATTACATAAAATAGGTATGGAGCCAAACACAGTTTTTAAAACCTCCCATATGCTTGATATTAATCAAATGTTTGTTTATCGGGCTATTGATAGGTACAATGAAACTATCTCTATTTATAACAGAAAATGATCTGACTGTCCACATAATGTTCGTACGAAAAAGGCGATCAAAGCAAGAAGGGAAAGAATTCGAAGAAATGTTGTCCAAAAGCAAAATATTTTATCTCAGGAGATAAAGTAAGCATCTAGAACTATGAACTGTATTTTACAAGATGCCTTAGGACTTGCAGCCTATAAGAGACACACAATTCACTTCTTAACAGATAATTTAAAAAGAATAAAACGGTACGCAAAGGGAGGTCACAGAAAATTTGTTTACAGATGAGAAAAGTTTTAGTATTGAGCAATATTTTAACAAACAAAATGACCATATTTATGCTCAAAGCTCTAAAGAAGCTTCACGATTAGTGAACAGAGTACAACATGGACATTTTCTGACTTCAGTGATGGTTTGGTGGTACTATGAAGGAGTGACCGAACCACATTTTTTAAGGTAGTTAAGTACCTTCAACAACACCATGTTCAATAACCATGACTGGTTCTTTCAGCAAGACTCGATGCCAGATCATAAAGCTCAAGCCACCTAAACATTCGAAACTTCATCAGAGCTGAAACTGGCCGTCATCTAGTCCAGATCCTAATCCGCTTCCCATGAAAAGAGTGCGTGTATGTATTGATAACTGGCCTCAACGTTTAAAGGACTATTGCAGCTTACCACTTTGAATAAGATATAATATTATATCTAATAGCCTTAAATTAATGTATTGAACTAACTCCTCTTTAAACATCCATAAGGACGGCCTAAGCCCCTGCAGTGGGAACGTAAAAGGGCTGATGATGATGATGGTGACTGTAGTAATTTTAAATATTACGTTCAATTAAAAAAATTATAATTTTCTATGTAACAATATTTATGGCAAGATTATGTATAACGATGATTTTGGCGACACCAACGCCCGGGGCACATTGTTCAACCCCCCCCCCCCCCAACCCTCTACCCCCACCCCCTCATTGATAATAAAGGAAAATTTATATTCCTAGAAACAATGTAATGTTGAAGAAGTTGCAATTTTTCCTGCTGGGTCAGAGGGATTCTCACAGAAGAATTTAAATTGCTCTGTAGAGGAAGGTTTGCGAAGATTCAAGGAAGTAGCTGACCAAGCTGTTAAGGATGGATTGAGAGTGCGAGGATATGTCTCCTGCGTAGTAGGATGCCCATATGATGGCCCGATCAACCCAAAGGTTATTGCTAAGGTAATATTTAAACATGATGTTTGTATTAAGCTCCACATGCTGCTTGTTTGCTACAAACAGCAAACATGCTCAACAATGGCCAACATCCGACACTAAAATAATTTTTCATTCTTCAAATGGTACATGATTGACCGTTTTAATTGATGCTAAAGATTTGATTGTTTGTTTGCATCGGATAGGCTCTGAAACTAATGGACTGATTTTAAAAATTCTTTCATCTACGGGATGCTACATCATAGGCGGGTGACATAGGCTATAATACGCGGACTATAGAACAGCTACAGTGCAATAAAAAAGATACTTTGTGACACAAAGAATTGCCTTATAAATCGAAATAGCCACTTTAACCTTTGAAGATAAGCAAAATATAGTAATACCCTTACTAATAAGAAACTTATAACCGTTAACCGTTGTATAGTTGCATAACTCTGTTCACTTCATTCATCCCAATGTGACTTAGTTCGAGTGAAAAACAGACAGTGCACTGTAACAATACAGTGCTTATTGTTAAGGCCATAAATGTGTAATATTTATTTATAAATACTATTTTATGCAGATAACGGATGAATTGTTTTCCATGGGATGCTACGAAGTGTCTTTAGGTGACACGATAGGCGTTGGCACTGCGGGATCGGTTAGGAAATTGTTAAGGGAAGTAGTGAAGACAGCACCACCTGAGAAGCTAGCCCTCCATTTCCATGATACATACGGTCAGGGGCTAGCCAACCTGCTTGCTGGGCTAGAGGTAAAGCAAGATAACACAATATTCCTTTTATTTTTTTGTTTTTACTAGAGGTACCCTATAGTGTAATTGTTTCAATTTGACTTTTAATAATTTTTATCTACGTCGGATTTAATTTTATATCTTCACCGTAGTTGTAGGGTATACTTTTTCGTTTTATTAAAAGCACTGCCTAAAAAGCAACTTTAGATTCCAAACACGTATAAAGTAGCTAATTTTGTAAAAAAAGAACTTTTAATAATTTTTATGTTCAAAAATATTAAAAGGATTTCATTAATTAACTGTTAAATTAATTAATGAAATCCTAGAATTATCTTGCAATAGTAATTTAGAAATTCGTTCGATCGTTTCTATTTTTGAGGTGGTCTCAAAGCCGAAACTTAGAAAAAAAAGACGTAAAATAATTTATAAATTTCATTTGTTTTTTCCTTTTTTTATCGCAGTTCGGTATCACAACTGTAGACTCTTCAATATCTGGCCTGGGCGGCTGCCCGTACGCAAGAGGTGCGAGTGGCAATCTTGCCACAGAGGATTTAGTTTACTTTTTATACGGCCTCGGCGTCAACACTGACATAGACTTAGTGAAACTTATTGAAGCCGGCAGATATATTTCCAATTTCCTTGGCAAACCAACGGAATCAAAAGTAAACAGAGCCATCGGCGACAGGTTCAAAAACCACAAAGACGTTGTGCAAATGGCTTCATGTGCAATATAAAACAATAGATAAAGTGTCTGCTAACTTTACATTGTGTACAAATTCATTTCAAAACATATAAAACCTGTTTAAGCGTTAAACAACCTATCTATTGTAAATGCCTGTTTTGTTATTATTGAATAAATTATTTTGTTCCGATATATCTTTCTTATTGTGTTTATACCTATGAATTAGAAAGAGAGCGCATGTGTGCGGGTCATAAACGTGGTTGGGCGTCACTCGGCATACTGGTTTTTTATCAATTATCATGCGAAGTAACAGCGCCGACGCAGGCGCGGTTCACTAGAGTGAGGCGAGCGCAACAAGAAGCTCGCTTTTATATTGAATTGACCTTATTTACTCAATCTGATCTTGAACGAGAGGTCAATAAACCCTTGCGTTACACTGACGATTACTTCGTGTCGTTCCCTGTGACAGTAGTGAACATTTTATTTGTTTATATGGAAAACGTTCGACAGCTGCAAACATGGTAGAAGTTAAAATAACTGAGGATATTAAAATAGGAGGCAACAATCCGTGTTTTATAATAGCGGAAGTTGGACAAAACCACCAAGGCGACATTGAGATCGCGAAAAAATTTATAAAAGCGGCTAAGGTGAGTGCTATTCATACTAAACTTTGTTAGGAAAAATCACAAGAAGGAAACTAAACAAAGAAGTTAATTTTACAATCGGCTTTGACCTTAATATCGTTATAGTTGTACTTTAACCGGTAAGCTTCTTATTCTTGTTTATACAAAAAACTATTCAATTATAGGGACAAAAAAAATGTTAAGTCCTAATTATTTAGATTTTAATGCAATGGCCATTTTGATAACTTATTTTCTCGCATCGTAAATAAATATTGCTTTTATCAAACTTACACTGTTTGACATTCAAGAATATTGCTTTTGTTTTCTTTACTTTCTTATCTTAAAACTAGTAATCAATATTATTTTTTGTCTTAAGTTATTTTTTTATAACGGTTTTCAGGACGCTGGTGCGAATTGCGTCAAATTCCAAAAAACATGTCTGAAAGAGAAATTTACTAGAAAATACCTCGAAAGGCCTTATGAAAATCCGAATTCTTGGGGGAAAACTTACGGAGATCACAAAACACATTTAGAATTTACAGAAACGCAATTTAGAGAATTACTAAAGTATGCAAAAGAAGTCGGTATACCGCTAGCCGCGTCGGCCATGGATATGGTAAGATATCAATACAAAAAATCCTGTAATTAATGAAGTAATACGAATGACATTACTGAAAGGTAATTAATTCTACGCACATTTTGGTAGGTAGGTACTGTTGTAAATGCATACCTAACATATCATGGTACCTTTTATACTTTTGGTTATTAGGGCAGATGACCCGATTTTAGCCATTTTAAAATAAGTAACGAGTGAACTTTGATATATCACAACTGAAAACGGTATAAACTTTGCAATAATTGAACATTTTTAAAACCGTGTACGGTGAAGCTTTGATATATTCGCTAACATGAAATTTACAACGCCTTAAAGTCCCAAATAGCCAAAAGGGGCAGAAATGTGGTCATCTACCCTACAAGTTTGATAATTGAACGTTGATTAATTAAAATGAAGACTCCTTTTGTTATTATGTAGTTCATTTTTGGTAAAGATCTTGGTATGTTACCAAACTAAGTGGGTGTGTATGTAAACCAAAAAAAAACTAGCTAATAAATAATAACTAACTTAAAAATGGGTTGAGTATTTTTTTATTAATTATATCCGATTAATTTCTTATTGCTTTTACACAGCTAAGTATGAGCACTAGATAAATATATTTTTATAAATACAAAAAAATCCACGTTAAGTACCTTTATCTATATTGTGGAAATGGAAGACAAGCAGGCCTTTGTTATTTAAAGAAAACATAGTCGATAAGTGCATTTTACCAACGACACAAACAGTAGCACAAGTAGATTCGAAACAGAGCTCGACGTGGGAAATTGTCTTAAAGAGCAAACTTGTTTTCAGGTATCATTCGACTTCCTGGTCAACAACAAAGCACCTTTTATCAAAATAGGTTCGGGTGACTCCAACAATCCTTTGTTTCTAAAGTACGCTGCATCTAAGAACGTCCCCCTCATCATATCCACTGGAATGGTCGACAAAAAAGCTGTGAAATCTATATACGACATATTATCCACACATCACAAGCAGTTTTGCCTACTACATTGTGTGTCAGCATATCCTGTACCTTATGAAGACTGCAATATAAAAGTGGTGCAAGACTATAAGGAATCGTTTGATGTTCCCATTGGCTACTCCGGTCATGAAGTCGGCACTGCTGTGGCACTTGCTGCAGTTGCTTTGGGCGCTAAGGTAAACACAATAATAGGGTAGCATCTTTGTTTGTTATTAACGTAGGGAAAATGCAACCTTAAGCTTTAAACCAGTGCTCTCCGATCCCGCACCCGTCCTGAAAACTTTTGCATCATCCTCAATCATTTTGCAACTGCTTCATTGGTTTTACTCCTAGCAACAGTTTTTGCATTTTTCATTGATGTCAAGGCATAAATCTCAAAATACGTAGATTTACATATTTTGCTAAATATTTTTAGTACCTATGCGGCATTATTACATACTTACACACAACTTGTGCAAGTTCCTTTTTGAATTAGTGACAGAATAAAAGTTTAGTGTTTTATAAGTAGGTACACACACTGATAGCAGCAGCAGTAGGTAGGTTAGGTAATGAGAACTTCTCTAATGAAAACAAAAATATCTATAATTTTATCCAACTAGGCATAATCATATTTAGCACCTTAAAGTAGGTGATTGTATACTTGAAATAAATATAAATAAGGATAAATGTTTATGTTGACAAAAACATAGACGTCCTATCCCTCCACTTTTATTATCTTGTTATAACAATAATACTTATATGTGTTTCGGTACGTATCAATGTTGTCATACTGATGTCTTTATCGTAAGTCATGGCCATTCCCTCGCCAACTTATCGCTTGATATGCTGTTTTATTGTTATTATTCACAGGCATATGTTACTAGGTACTTCTTGATATCCAAATCTCCACTTAGAGATTTGTCTACAACTAAAAATGTAGACTTTTAATTACATGGTTTTATACAAAGAAGTAAAGTCAGATTAAGTTGAAAACTACATCCTAAGGGTTTTGTAATAACACCCCGAATTTATAAAAGTTACCCCTAAATTGCATAGAATAGGATATTACACCTATTTTTGAAAAGTAACTCAATGCAATCCTAAAGTCCTAATAAAAGTCTTAATCCATAGAATTTTTCTTATTCAGTAAGTGTCATAAAATTACATCTATTAAACTACATTTTCAAATTTCTCGTGAATTGGTTAAAAATGGTGGACGCCATGTTGCTCTATAGTTGTGACGTCACTTGGTTTTGTAAACAAACGCGTTGCTATTGGTTTCTTACATTTTTATGCACTTTTTATCATATTCAAATAGTTGTAAGAAGACAGTACTTATATCAAAATTTTAACTGCGGTTTTAACATTCCATAATACAGCAGAACACTAATAAAAATTTGCCGTAAAAAGCTTTTCGACGATAAGTGTTTACTTTGTTTAAGTTTGTGCGATCTTTCTTTACAAAACCCTGTTCCATAGTATTGTTTCAATAAAAATTACTTATTCTTTATTTCGTCATTAAAATAACATCTAAACGTATTTATCTTGCTTGAAAATTATTTGACTTGTTATTTTACAAACCGAATGATCCCATATAATGACGCCTACTGGGGGCCAATTCTACTAAATATATTTTGTTTAAACCGAATCGAAAACGGATCGAAACAGTTTTTAATGATTTTCCTATTCAACAAAGTGACATACGATACAATTCCAGTTCTATTTTAGCTTGAATTGTATCGGATGTCACTTAGTAGAATTGAAAAACCATTCAAAACTGTAGTTTCGTTCGGTTTCGATTCGATTTAAACAAAATATATTTAGTAGAATTGACCCCGCGTCATAAATACTATTCGCGTAATAAAAACACAGACTAAAGATTTGAAAACGTTGATTTGAATTTTATAAATTAATTTCTATATTTTATGAACTTAAACTAACATTTTCAGACTGATTATTTGCCTAAGCTATATCAATTATAGTATATTTTTAGACTTTTTCTCGTAATGAGTATCCTATTCACTTTTTTCATTTGTTTTTTGTAGGGTAGATTATTAAATGTGAATGTATTTACTTTAGCCGATCGCTTTGCTTTTATACTTCACCCGCATAAATTATAAAAGCAAATAAATCATTATTATTATTATTATAAGCCTAATATTGGATCAATAATAATAATAAACTTTAATTTCCATTAACATTTATTAAACTTTCAGCCAGTGGCTGTATTCCCGTGACTTCCTATGTCACCCGAGTACGATGTAGCTTCCTATAGGTGAAAGAATATTTAAAATGGGCCCCATTAGTTTCGGAGCCTATCGATGCAAACAAACAATCAACTCTTTCGTCTTTATAATATCAGCGTGAGCGGTGTAAAAAGCAATGAGAATATAATATCACCACCCTTACATTAATTCTAATTCCGTTTTCGTCCGCCGCATAATTAAATTTAAGAACCCAATGAAACCTTTGAAGGATTAACTATTAGGTTATAGCGTTATTATATTATCCAATATATTACAGTGCCATTTGTGCTATTTGCTATGGTTTCCTTCTTTGGTTTACTTTTGTAACGCATACTGTTAGCGTGAATTTCATTGTACATCATAGTACCCCGTACTTTTTTTTTATTAGGTACTAATAGACTCACTCTTGATCCCAATCCAACCTGTAGAACAATTTTGCTAATGTTTGCATAAATATATAAAGTCAGTAGCGCTTCAACTACAATTCTTTAAAACATTCTTTTTACTAGATTACAAAATAATAAATATATCTGTGTGAATATAATACCTAATATATTTGTGAGGAACACACTGCACTAATAATATTGGACGTCAATTGCATCTCAATTGAATCACAAATGCAAGTAATTGTTATTAAATTGAGATGCAATTATTACTTAAAACTCACCGGAGTGTAGTGTTCCGTAATTAAACGGAACAATATACTCCTTTTTAGAGCTGTCGTGTAAAAAATGTCGCAGCTCTAGTTGGTTATCTAATTAACTACAGAAGCTTATTCCATACTCCTTTAGTATATTTTGAAAAAACAACTAATGTTTGCTCATAATGAATTTGAAAAAAGTACATCTGCAAAATAATTTCGATATACATCCCTGAGATACTTTCTTCTTAATTGTAATCTCTAAATAGTTGAACTACTCTTAATAAAAATGTGGATGAATCGTGAATAGACAAATATTATGAATTTATCAATAGAAAGAAGGTTCATATTAATTATATTTCAGGTGCTAGAGAAACATATTACGCTGGATAGAAACATGAAGGGCACCGACCACGTCTGCTCCCTAACCCCACCCGAGTTCCAGGCGCTGGTGCGGGACGTGCGCATCATTGAAACTGCACTGGGAACCCCAATAAAGAAAGTCGTTACTTCAGGTCAGTGACTCATTATATAAGAAAGAAAAACATTATAATAAAATATCGCAGCCAACTGGTTAATCGTTTGGTCAGCTGAACAAGGGCGGATCCAATTTTGGCTCCAGGCGGGGTTACATAGTCGTGGTCAATTTGATTGAAGTAAGACATTCCTTACTTCTCGTGTATTGTATAAAAATATGTACTTAAGTAATAAGTTAGATTCAAGGAATTCTACTTCACTATTACGAGTGTTAGTTCACCGGTTCTTGTGATTTTTGTGATTATGTTGCGTTGGATGGAACGATATAAGTTCCGACTGATAGTTACTATCGATAATATGTTTAATTATCATAAAATTATTTTTATTTGGCAAATATAGGTATAGCCTTAGAATAAACTTTGTCTAAATAGTGCACTAACGAAAACTGGGTCTCCTGCAACGATAGATACCGTTCATTTTATCACCTTCAAACAAATTAATATTTTTCCAAAGAATAATTCTCAAGAAAATTCTTTAGGATCTTACCAAAAAGGGTAAAACGGGAACCCTATATAATAAGCATAAAAGTGTGAACCTCACTGTCCGTCTGTCACCTGTCTGAAATCGTGAAAGTTAGACAGTTGAAATTTTCACAGATGACGTATTTCTGTTGCCGCAGAATAAAACTGATATTTAAGGGGGCTCCCATACAACAAACGTGATTTTTTTACTTGTTTTTGCTCGATATTCATAACGACAACAGGTAAACTCTTGAAATATTTACAGAATATATAGTAACTTTTAATTATAAAAATGAATTATTAAAACAAAATTAAACAAATATTTAAGGGGGCTCCCATACAACAAACGTGATTTTTTTTGCTCGTTTTCGATACGGAAACCTTACTTGGCCGGTTTTTTATATATATTCAGCTAAAGGAGTATGTTTGCGGTTAATCCGAATAGCATAAGGATTAATAAAGATGCAGATTAGCCAATCTTTGAATTTACTTGTTAAAAATCTTATCCGTAAACGCGATTAACTGGGGTTCCCTGATTTTAGCTATTAAAATTTAACAAATTATTGAAACACGACCGAGACTAAACCATTTGTGCGTGTAATATCGATAACAATATCATCATCATCATCAGCCGTAAGACGCCCCCATAGATCTCCACGACAATCTTTCGTAAACAATATCAGTGCTATTAATAAACTAAGTTTAGCGTCAGAGGAAATTTACGCTAAAACTGCAAATTTAGTTTTAGTCCAAATTCATATTATACAGAAAATAAGCAAACCTGCTATCTTCTAGGAATAAGTATTACTGCCGTAGAACTGTTCGTTGTACTCATAGGTTAACCTTTGCTAAGTTCTGTTTAATAATATGAATTTTGACTAATAATAAGTTTTCTCCAACTCTAAACCATGTTTATTAATAACACTGTGAAAGTTTTAATAATTTATTTTTTTAACAGAAATTCCGTGTATCGATAAACTACAAAAATCCCTTGTGATGGGCAGTACTAAGAACAAAGGTGAAATTCTATACCCAGGCGATGTGAAGATCAAGGTTGCAGAACCCAAGGGTCTAAATGCGCTACATTTTGAAGAAGTTATTTACAAAACACTCATTTATGATAAGAAAGAAGATGAACCTTTGCACGAGGGTGACTTCTGTTAAATGTTTTGTGTACCTGTAATAAATTTAAAAGCCAAGACCATTTCTTACATGTAAAATAATATTTTTATACTGTTTCGTTTACTCTGTACTGTAAATGTGATATTATAGTAGATGTAGATGATACATATTATAGCTTAATTTTAAACATGGCGGTCGGTGAATATAACATTGAAATAATATATTAATCATTTCTATAAATTTGAGTACAAATTTGGCGTAGCTTGACCATAAGTTAATAATAATGTTATTTTTTCACAAATATAAGTCATTTGTATTGTCACATACCGATAGTACAATAGGTAATGAATATTTGTATTATATATTACTATAATACGTTATCTAATTTATTAATACGAAGATGAATTCTAATACGATTTGCAATCTGTCTTTCTAAATATGAAATGTCAATATTTTAAATAATTTATTAAATTGTGTGACAAAGAACAAATATAGTTGGTTAAGGTGATAGTTACCTTGCCGTTTTACAATGAACGTCTGTAAGTGATTAAATCAAACAATCGGTTAAAGCTACAATCATATTCCGTAGTCTGTGTTCATTAAGCAATTTTGTTATATTATATTTAATACTCTATCTTTTAATAAATTTATACAATAAGCTGATGTTTTTATTATAGTACCTATAAAATTTATGAAATCATCGAGTGAAAGTCTTCTGTCTGCAACATGAAAAATATTAAAATATATTTTTAGACACATTTTTAAACTCTCTGACGTCAATGCCCATTCATAAAGTGGTGATGACGTGCCAATTTTATATTCGGACTGTGGATGGAATTCCGCGCAAAAGTCACTGCGCATAAAAATATAACCATGGATGGAGTTGACGCATGCTTCGTTTCATGCTAATGTTTATTTTGGAAAACCACGCTCGTACACGAGGCGTACCTGCGGCGCAAAGGGCGACAACGCAGAACCACTCGTGTGAGCTGGGGTGGTATACGTGACGTGTTTTATTGGCGACTCTCGTTTTATTTTTATTGACGGTCAGGTGGCGATCGGTGGTTACCAGCGTGTGGTGTAATAGAGCATAAGTGGCACAGCGGGCGCGCTGCGAGTGTTGGCTTGTTGCCCGCGGCACGCCAGTCCCCGGAGCGCCGGCCCGCTCGCCGCCTGCGCCGCGATAACATCCCGCGCCCACCATCCTTAGTTCAGCATTCAGTATCCGCATACTCCTTCACTATAACCCGACCTATTTAAGTCCGATTTAAGACGGCGAAGTTATCGTGCTCGCATTATATGCTTACATTTACCGTACTCTCTGAGAAATAGTTGCTCGTTGCGAGCTGACAATTTGGGTCGCCCGGTTCTGTGCTAGCGCTGGGATATTTTTATTGCCACTATTGGGTGCAGACGCACGAGCGTGAGTCTCGAGCGCGCAGCTAGTTAAATAAATTAAAATTTAAAGAGAAGATATTCTCTAGCTCATTCCTTAAATAATTGCGTTTGTTCATGGATCCTTATCCTTTATCTGTAGTAATATATTCTATTGATTAACGCGACCCATCGATAAGCTATGATAGAAATTTGAATGGCACTCCGATCAGGAAGTGCGAATCATTAAATGTTTTTGCATAGCTGAAGTGAAAAATTTTGAGAACTGTAAATAAGGATTATGATGCAAAGTAAGAGAGGTTTATGACGCAGTGAAATAGGAATGTGATGAGTGAATAGTGTATACCTTTGGCATTTAGTTGTTAACGTAGACATTTTGTGAAGTGCATTTCTTGGTAGTGACATTGTGAGGATGCATCATTTGTATCCGTTGGCTAAAGGGGATCCACTGTGCCCGCTGGGTTTCCACCCACAGGTGCGGTGGCCCACGCGTTGCAAACGCTGCTTCCGTGACTACAAGGAACACGGCGGCGTGCGCAAAAAGGAAGACGATTTCACTGCGTCCACTCCTAGTCTGTCTTCTTGGAACTCGCCTGCATCACGGTTAGTTTTAAAAAGTATATAATAGTTTTTTTTTTTATTTAAACGAGTGGGGTGACCAAATATTTAGGAGTTCTAAGCAGTTGGTCTGAACTGCTTCTAATATCGTTCGTCGTGCACTCATGACAATAATCATTATGAACAATATAGATTCATACATTGTTCCATACGAATAAGACTGACATTACGTTTAAAACATTCTGATTCATGATATTAGGTTTTCTGTTTATCAAGTTTTTTACTTTCGCTACAATAAGTAATAACTTCAGTCACGCGTTACACGAAAATCGTTGCTGGCGATGCTCACTAATAGCCCGTTCTTAGCATCAACGAACGATTTACCAGTTGTCCCTTCAGTAACAAGATAGTCTATAACTTATATTAGATAACTTATATTAGATTGTGATAGTCTATAATTTATAAGAAAAATTGAACTATATTTTTTTTACAATTTACTTACATAATCATAATCATAAATTATGGGAAACTGCGTTTCGAAAATGGGCGAAATTTCGTTTTCCGAGGAACTTAGTAGGCCTTCTGTTATCAGGCGACTACTCAACTAAACATTGACGACAAAAACTTTTTTTCAAACATAGAACCGTTTTCAAACTTTTAAAATGTGATAAATAATACTTATATTAAAAGCGACATTCAAGAAACTGCTATTCAAGTCGCACGGAGGTTTTCTGTAGGTTATTATTAATTACGTGATAGCCGCCCGATTTCAGTAGCACTTTCTTGAATAAGTCGCTTTTAAGATAAGTGTGGTGTTATTTATCACTTTTTAAAAGTTTGAGGTCGGTTTTATTTTTTGAAAAAGTTTTTATTTCATTCTTTTTCCTGATATTGATATTTAGTAATATAAAAGGTAACACGGATTTTGTTTATTTGCTCGACATATTTTTTTCTATAATCTATAGTCACATTAAGAAAGGTTTGATTGTCTGTTTGTTTGCATTGATAAGGCTCCAAAACTATTGGACCGATTATAAAATCCTTTTATCTCCTGGAAGCTACATAACAAGCGGGGGACATAGGCAATAATTGTACGCAGACGAAGTCGCGGAGAACAGCTGGTCTGATAGAAATTGATTCATAATTCAATAACAAGTGGATGAACATACTTGCATAAAAATTTACATACCCGTTGATCATAGAAAATCCTCCTTTCGGATTTTGTATTGATGCAAAACACGCAATCTTTTGTCTTTTAGCTGATATAAAAATGTCATCAAAATATTTAGGTGATATCTGATGAAAAACATACTTTGTTTTGTTATAAATAGAATACTACTAATTCGATTTCGATTAAATTTGAACGGGACCACCTCGATTCTTTGAGCTGTCGAACTAAAAAGCATTTTGAAAATCGGTCGACAATTAGCGGAAAAATTGGTGAACATACATAAAAAAAAACATTGCCGTTGAACATATAACATTTTAACACTAACTTTCCTAGCAGTCAATGTAATCTACTTAAAAATTCTAATCTGATTTGATCAATTTTGCATTCGCAATGCTATATTGAAAAATATTCTTAATGAAAAATGCTTAAAATCCACTTTGTCCCTGGCAGTCTGAAATAGGACAAAGTGGTATTTTTAAGCTCTTTTCATTAAGAATAAATTCTAATCTTGTTCTCTTCTTATTCCTACCTCGACACCTTAACGACCTCCGTGGCCTAGTGACTCGCACGTTGCGTTCAAGTTGTTGCCATAACTGAGGTCCCGAGTAAGATTCCCGTTCAGATCAGATGTTGCGGTACCTTCGTTGTTTTATACAATAAATAAACTAGCTGTAACCTGCAATTTTGCTCACGTGGTCCGAGGTTACTGTGTGTACATCAAGATTACAGCAAAATATTAATCGGCGCCAGGAAGTAGTGTTTATTCAGTCTTTTCTCTGAAGGTGGGCTAGTCTACACCTTAACCTTCCGCTTCTAAACTTTGATTACAACAACAATTCAAATGATTGAAAAAATCGTTAGTTTGTAATACAGAAGACGATTGTATACCATATTTTCTAATGATTTCCTGAAAATAAAAATACGAAAATAATATTATTATAAAATTAATCAATAATTACTTTTATTAACACCAATTATCTCGTTACAACAAAATATATTATGTACTTAAGTATTCGGTATGCGGTCAAATAGTATGGACATTTTCAGGCATGGAATAGGAATACCGAATACTAACCAAATATTCGTTACAAGTTTAGTTATTTTCAAATATTAGAATAATATACGAGTAAAGGAAAATGTGGGAGGTGGGAAGAAATTTTTGTTAGAAAGAGCAGGATGGTCCTGCTCTTCGGTCCTGCCAGGACTTCAATGGATGACAAGAGCCAGGAAAAGAAATCTGTGGAAGACAATGCGGGAGGCCTTCACCAAAAAGGCGGCTACTATAATTAAAAATTAATATAAATAAAAAAGTGTGTGCTTTATCTACCTAAAATTAAATATTTATTATAACGAGACTCTAACGTACCTAAGGAATATGCATGATGGTGGTCAAAAGAGATAGGTACGTAGAATAGTACGTACAACTCACAAATTTGCAAAAAAATCTTACTATGTTAGCATTTTTGGTGCTGTCTCTAGTTATTTTCCTAAGCAATTGCTTGTTCAATCAGGCACTCCGTATCTGCAATATCATTGCATTTATATATGTGGATTTATTGGATTGTGTGTCTGGCACGTTTTAATTCCCGACCGGGTAAATGTAAACAATGATTTTTTCTACATTCATATATTACTTTGGGTAAGTACTGTTATTATTTCTAGTTTATATAATATTTCTTGTAAGTATTCGCATTTTAGTTTTTGATCTAGTTAGATTAATGGTCAGGATAGTCAGGTCAACGGATTTTTTTTTGTTGTTCAGAATCAGATAGGCACGTAATTAAGTAAAATACTGTTAGATATAAAAAAAAGTCGTTTAAAATGAAAATACAAATCAGAGGTCACAAAAATATATGAAACTTGCCTACACTCCATTTTCCCGACTGTTACCATTCGAGCACTTTCCTGCTCAACGGCCATCTGTCCTACGAGCTATATGTCCTGTCCATTGGCACTTCAGCCTCGCAATTCTTCGAGTTATGACTCATGTCGGTCACTTTAGTATCCTCTGCGTAACTCCTCATTTATGATTCGATTTCGAAGAGCTCTTTCCATTTTGAGCCTGTTTATGAGGCTCGTTTCAGTGTCAAAAGTCATCAGTGGCAAACTAGCAACACACATTGGTTTAGACCTTATTGTCATGAGACACTACGGTATTCAGGACAAGAAGACACTTTAAGACTTCCCAAACACTTCCCAACCGACTAGGATTCGACTATTAACCTCTTTCTCGAAGTTGGACCTACCTAGCTGAATGTCTTAGGTATAGTATGTGGTCAACAACATCGAGTACCGGGTTTTATGGGAGTAGGTACAATATGGACGTTAGAGATGAGTTTCGTCCTGTCCATTTTCATTTTACGATCTACTTCTTCAAACACTCTCCTGAGGTCTTAGTTTTCCTTAGCACAATCTAAGGAAAATAACCTTCAATATGACTACTGAAAAAACCCAATTTCTGTACATTTGAAATATCATTGATTAATAGTTATATCCTTTAGTTTTAGGTACATAAGCGCTTACATTATAAAATACCTTCACATCCTTAGCACAACCCGTGAGATGCCGTAAGATACAGGCCGTAAATGCTTTCAAGCCGTAATATGAAATAATACAATAGGTTCAAATTAATTTGACACTTGCAACGATAGGCACACACACGAACAAAAGCGTAATGAGAAACTTAATAATCTGAAATCGGAATCTATTTTGAGCATCGGAACTCTTACTTAAGGCCTGACCAGAAAAATAAAAAAGCCCACTCTGGAGGCGCATAATTTATTAAATACAATGCAACCGGGCCACAATCTGCTATTTTTACGTAGTTTCCATGGTTAATTGCATATGGCGAGGTTTTTTATTTTTCTGGTCGGGCTTTACATTGTAAGTAGTAGTTTGTAACTTCGCACTTAATAGGTTGGACACAGACGGACGGACCTATAAAAGTTCGCATTTTATATGAAAATAAAAAAAAATAATAAAGTTTATTTACATTTAACTAAATTATATAGGTACCATTTTGTCCGATATGTTTTTGCCATCTTGTAGGTAAAGACATGAACCCATTACTATAGGATTAGGTAAGGTTAATAAACAAGGAACCCTTAGTTTTGCTATGTCTGTCCGTCTGTCCGTCCGTCTGCGGTTTACTATTGGTTCTATGAAGTTGTATTTTGGCATGAGTATACATAATTAAGCTGACAAAGTGGTAAAATGAAATCTTAAAAAAAATATGTTTAAGGTACCTCCTCTACATATAAAGGGGGGGATAAAAAAATCTATCGTATTTCGTCTTCCCCACAGTGTGGGATATCGTTGGATGGATCTTACAAAAATATTGGGGTGTGTGGACACCTTTCTTCGATTTAATTTTGTTACAAATATTGAAACTTTCGATTGAAATTGAAATTTTGTTCTTATTATTATATTTTGATTAATTTTGCATTCACAATGTCATACTGAAAATTATTCCTAATACAAAATGCTTAAAAAATCCACTTGGTCCCTGGCACCCTGAGATGGGAATCGAACCCACGACCTTTCGCAACCCGGGCGACTGCTCTAACCGCTGAGCTACCCAGGACCTAACAGGACTGACGAATCTTTCAAGTAGTTGTTACTTTTCGCTACTACAGAGCGTATTCTGATCAATGTTCAGGCATCCACCCAAACAAAAAATCAAAATATAACAAAATTATTCAAAATATAATAATAAGAATAAAATCCTCATCTTTATCGAAAGTTTCAATATTTGTAACAATATTTCTTTCGGCTGTTTGGGTGATTTTTTAAGCATTTTGTATTAGGAATAATTTCTATGCAAGTGTTAACTAGTTAATGTTTGTTTATTTTATTGATGTTTTGGAATTTTGATTACTACTTATTACCTTTATAATATATAATTGTCTTTTTTATATCTTTTCTATGTCCTGGCTAAATATGACGTGTCTACAAGTTATGGTTAAACAAATATTTCACATTCTCACCATTCTACATGTATTACGTATATGAATTATTTGCTGGTATTCACAGATACTAAGCAAACAGTTGGATTATATATTTTGATTGTATTTTATTTTCATACTACTACATTTCTTTTTAAATCTGGCATAAATCCAAATGCCGTGCGAATCCAACAAAATGTTTATTATTTCTTCGTGGTGCAATACACATACACATACTGAATGACGCAACACCAGCCTCCGTCATCAATGATCTGTCTTTGTTAAGGGTCACGCATTTTTACTCGACTTCATTAAAAGGAGGTTTTCAATTTGACCTGTGTGTATACCTATAATTCAGTTGCAATTACGTTGGAATGGTACAAATTAGTCTTTTAGACTTTTGAATATGGGTAACACATAGCATAACGTAATATGTATTATGTCATCATCATCATCATCATCACCAGCCCTTTTACGTCCCCACTGCAGGGGCTCAGGCCTTCCTTATGGACAGTTAAGGGGGATAGGCCATGACCCTCCACGCTGGCCACATGCGGATTGGAGGGTATTAACGACTGCAAATGCAGCCGGGACCAATGGCTTAACGTGCCTTCCGAAGCACGTAGTAGCTCGAGATAATAAGTTTTTGGTCACCCATCCCGTGACCGACCCTGGCGAAAGTTGCTTAACGACTTGGATCGCGAGCCGCGGCGCTTATCCAATACGCCACCGAGCTACTACGAGGGTCAAACTGAAAGTTCTTAGAACTGGCCACTTATAAACAATATAATAAAAAAATAATTCTAAAATTTGAAAATATAACTCTTTGCCAATATTACTGAGTATATATTTCATTCATTTGTCATTTGTTTTACGATTTGGCGGCAAATTGAAAATTGTCTGTGTCACGTCATCATGAATTTAACACGAGAAAATTTTCGTGCAATGATTTTTTATGACTTTCGATGTCATTTAAGTCAACAAGAAAGTTATGATAGACTACGATTGGCCTTTCACGATGAAGCCCCATCTCGTGCGACTGTTTACAACTGGTTTAATGAGTTTAAACGTGGTCGCACTAATCTCACTGATGATTTACGTGAGGGACGGCCTTCTACGGCGACGACTGAAGATAACATCTGTGTTGTGCGGCGTATGATAGAGACTGACAAAAGAGTGACCTATCAACAGATTCGGACAAGCTTAGGCATCGGTATGAGTCAAGTGCACAAAATCCTCCACGAACATTTAGCGGTCAGGAAGCTTTGCGCCCGGTGGATACCTCATAATTTGACTGAGGCTCAAAAACTCCATCGTGTGGATTGGTGTCGTAAAATGATTGAAAGATTTAACGGAGGTGACTCAAATGCTGTGTTCGACATACTAACAGGTGACGAAAGCTGGATTTACTGTTATGATCCTAAAACCAAAAGACAATCTGCTCAGTGGGTGTTTCCTTTCGAGGAGTTGCCAACTAAAGTGAAGAGAGATCGAAGTGCGGGAAAAAAAATGGTGGCCTCGTTCTTTGGAAGGATAGGTCATTTTGCAACAATTGTGTTAGAGGATCAAAAAACAGTTTCTGCAGAATGGTACACTACCAATTGTTTGCCACTTGTCTTGGAAAAAGTTCGAGAGAAACGACCTCGCAGTAGGATCCTCCTTCACCACGACAACGCCTCGTCGCACACCGCCAAGCGAACGATCGACTATTTGGCGACATCAAATGTTGAATTACTGGGTCACCCGCCGTATAGCCCCGACCTCGCGCCTTGTGATTTTTATTTATTTCCAAAAATTAAAGAAAAACTTAAAGGAAAGCGGTTTATGAATGCTGAAGAAGCGGTGGCTGCGTATCGCGATGCCATTGAAGAGACCCCTAAGGACGAGTGGGCAAAGTGCTTTTCCCAGTGGTTCCATCGCATGCAGCGGTGTATTGACGTGAATGGACAATATTTTGAAAAGATATAATAAAACTAATAACTGGCTAATGTAATCAGTTTTTGATTTTCTAAGAACTTTCAGTTTGACCCTCGTATGTATTTCTCGTTAATTAGACATCGGATCGTAACGGTTCTTTCTCTGTTTGATTAATTAGCTTTTAACGTAGCGAATAGCAAAAGTTACATCAAAATCGACTCAGTACTTTGAAGCTCTTTGTACTTTGTACTCAGTACTTTGCAGGATTTTAAAATAGAAACAAATAAAAATATGGTTTAAAATAATAAACCGAATTTGAATAAAGATGAAAAATAAATTTGAAAATCTTCTATTGAAGTCGGCCCCTATCCCCTATATCATGAATAATATAAGATCCCTACGATCATGAATAATTTTTGTTTGTGTATCCAGTAGGTTATTATTGAAGAACATTGAACACGATTTTTTTCTACGTAGTTGTGATGTAGAGAGCCCTGCTCCTCAATTCTAATTCCTATTATCTAAGCCATTGCTTGTCAAATTGAAACAAATACGTATCTTATATCTATTTTTCTATTATTTGACTGGATAATTTAATTTCTTCTTTATACTTAGGCATCATCCCCACTGAATTCACTTTTTTTTAATCATTCAGGTTTAATGGTTTAAAAAAAATCCTTTACATGCTTAAAAAATCCACTTTGTCCCTGGTACTCTGAGATACATAGCATTGTGACTGCAAATTGATCAAATATTTTTTGTTCCAGTTGGAACAAAACAAAAAATCATTAAAATATCGTCGGAGAGCGCATTTCTTCAAAGAATTTGCTATACAGCATGTTCAGTATGGTGTACATTAACATTCCTTTGCATATTAGAAAACTGCCTGCTAGGTTCTCTTCAGCTGCGTTAATGTTTTACTGAAGTCTCAATATAATCTTAATTAATATTTTAATTATTATTACCTAATAGTTTAATATAAAAGAAAAAATTACATTTAATATATGTATTTGCGTTGATTGACCATCTATACGTAGTACGTATAAAATGAAGCCGCTTCCCGCTGCCTGTACGCTCATGATCAATAACCTACTACTACCTACTAGAGTGATTCAAGAGGAAAGTATAAATGTATAATACAGGACTACGCGAGCGAAGCCGCTGGCGGAAAGCTAGTTCTGTTATAGAATTGTAATTTTCTGGTTTAATTGACCAATTGTTTGACTATTATATCTGTTTGTTTTTATTTATGAATTTTGACGATTTGAATCCCGGGGCTGCCAAACATTAACTACTTATTTTCTGAAGGACGAAATGTGTTGGATATGGTAAATTTTAATGTATAGGACATTAAAATGTATGCTCGTCAATGAGAAATAGGGCCATTTTTGTGATATTATCAATGATATTACAAAAAAATGACACTTTATAGCAGAGGACAGAAACGAAAATCTATATTTTGGCTTCTGTCCTCTTAAACGATGACGAACATCTCAGTTTAGAGACTGCCTTGTTGCAAAGAAGCTGAAACATATATAAGTGTAAAAAAAACAGAGTTACAAGCGCTTACCGTAATCGCTTTTGTGGTGTAATAGTACGCAGCGGAATCCTCCAGGCGAAAGGCACCATGCTCACTATCGCACTCTAGCAAAATAGTGTTTCTGATCTGAGCAACATAAAAGCATACTATAACCATAATTGTAGCTCAACCCTAAAAGGTGAACAAGGAAAACGCCAAAACAACGGAAGCTTAGCACTCCAGAGGTTGAATGTCTTTTCGACCGTTATTATTTCTTATATTTGTTTTTACGGTACAGAAATCGTGATGAGAATGGCGCAGAAGTGGAGAAGACGGGCCGAGGTTGGGCTTCCAGCACAAACCTCACCACAGACGCTACCAAGAAAGACGCCTTCTCCACGGGTAATAGCATTATCTAAAGTTGTTTAATCTAAAGTAAATAAATGTACCCGTGATGCAGTCCAGTGATTTATTCAAACTTTTCTTTATTTTTCTTACTATAATTTTCTGTACTTATTGGCTAATAAACGAAATGATAATTCACTGACAGGGTTCACCAGAACTAGCGCATCGTGGACGTCGACGCCAGACTTGGGAGCTAACGATCCCGACTCTACGACCGCCGTCACCATCAGCCTTAAGCTGCCCAAAAGGAGGCTCACCGGTCCGCTGCCATCGCTCGATACCGGCCAGAGTCAGAACACTACAAGTAAGTTTACTTGCGAGATCAATGTCGCGACAAAATTCATTGTCCCTCTTACCGCCATCCCATCCACTAAATAAGTCATCCACTCAGACTACTTAGTAGTTAAAGCAATTTAAAGCCTAAAGAAGACAAAAGACGAAGATAGCTAGTATCCAAACTTCCTCGTTTGCAAATTAAAAGAATGGTTGACGTATAAACTTCGATTTCCTGTAGGATGGATGATAATACTCGAACAGTAATGAACTATAGTTCACGGTCCTATTCGCGTCGTATTGAAGTGACATTGAAAGTCAACGACCCTAACTTTATAGCCACCGTCACCGCCAAACTAGTCTGCTATTGCCGTGAATATTTGGAAATTGGCTCACAGTCAACTATAGAAGCCGTAGTTAGCTGCTAATTGTACGCGTCTAATGGGAAACAAGCGCAGTACTATAACACGGCACTAAATAGAGACTCCCTGCGGATTTACCAACATTAGGTTGATTTGACATCTAAAGCTCTTTTTGCCGCAGTTTATACTTACACCTTTACTTGAACGTTCAGAGCATTGAATCGATTCAATGATGGTTGTATGAGGTTCTATTATACCGATAGACCCTGGTCTTATTATCATCACTAGACAAATGACTAGTTGGCTCCGGTAGAACGGCACATTATTAATATACTCGTAAGTACGCTGTGAGAACTGATCGAAGTTTATTTTTCTTACAATGAACGACTTCATGGTCAAATGGCTCACAGACCGTGCAAGGTGTCGCCGTCTTATTTAGCCATTATAGTTTCGGATATGATTATAAATTTCCTTTCTTTCCTTCTTTTTAAGATAAATAATAACTATACCTTAAAAAATTATCACCATTCAGCTTTGTTTGTCTAAGCTAACCATATCACATTATTAAGACACAATTGTACATAACCGAATTAAAAAAAAATATAGCCCTCTACATGAGACTCAATCCAGAACTCCGCGCATATAAGACTCTTTCCGTAGTACATTACTCGTTGGTAAGGAATAGTGTTACAAATAAATTAAGTATTGGCAGCAATAAACCTGAAATCGCTAGAATTCGCACATTGTGCATAAGGTCTAACTGTAATCCGCGTCTTTAATCGTGGCAAAACCTATAGGGACGCAAAATCACACCGTTGCAACATAAAAGAAGAAGATACCCCAAGCTACCCAAACTGGCTGAATAATCTCTGTATAATAGCAAATTTAATGACTTACAGCTGCCATAGTCGACGGGTTAACGTTTGTATAAGCGCTTTTACAGACGATATTCAAGCAATTTGGACACGAAATAACTGGGTTTGATTGAAGTAATAGCTGGTTAATAGTCAGTAAATCGCTGTATAAGTCTACAAAAAGCTGCGTAGCGCTGACCTTTTTATAAAAATTTAGTATTCTATATGATTTAGTTATTATTAATTTCAAAGTGAGCGCTATCTTAGTACCGAAAACAGTATGCTTATTCAATTTATTAAGGTTGTTTAATCTTAAAAGAAATTCAGTTTATTTTGTCGTGCAATTCGTGAACCATTCGACTGAATAATATTTAATTATTATCAACTCTAAAGGTAATTAGCTGTAAAAGTATCAACTGTCTTTTACAGCCTCTTGCGATATATTTTTACTCACTGCCCATTTTTCAAGGTTATTGTGAAAATCATATTTCCTTGTAAATTCTATCTCATCTTCTTCAAAATAAGTAGAATTTGAAATTTAATCCCCACATGACCTGTAATGTGGAGCATGCCAAATTATGATGTAAGGAGTGCACTCATCGAGTGTATAAGAATTCGTACTTGAACCTATATTGTTATTATTTGTATGTGCTAAACTCGTTTCTGTTGCTGTACAAATACTAATTTTATTTTTCTATATTCCCTTAAGAATTTTCTCCTTACTCCTCCGGTTCTTTTTCTTATTTTCCATTGAGTTCTTTTCGTATTTACCATTGTGAGACAGCATTTTACTCTAAAATAATGACTGATATTTCTGGATAAAAACGCAGAATTCTTTCAACACTCTAATAATTTGTGTATAACAAAGCGAGATTTCTATATTTCTCAATCTTAAGCTAAATATAAAGACAGTTATACGCTCTTATAAATTTCGCGCTATTAGTTTTTTATAATATGTACATTACTCATTTTCATATATGCAGTCGTTTTCTGTATAAAAACTAAAAACATCGGAAATATTCAGCCTCTGGAAAAGTGAGTGTTATTAAAGCGTTATGCATCTTATAAAGAGTATGACCATGCTTTATGACCATGAATATTCAGAATAAAGCTTGTTAAATTGAATATTTGAATTTCCAGCTGCTATGGAGCTGATAGTTATCTGAGCTGATTTTATCTGAATATCGTTTATGTAATATTGCTAATTTTGTTAGAATAGTATCAAGTTTAAAAACAGATGTTCTTAAAAGTAAATCTTTTAACCTAAATATTGCTATCACAACAGCAGTTATATAAGTGTTATGAAGCCAGATCGAACTGCTTATTGTGAGTTCACTTTGCTCTTATTTGATGTGTGTGTTGATTGGGACAAACACACTTTCCCATTTATAATATTTATAGTTTGATATTTATTATTTCAGCGTCTGACACGGTAACGTTGCGACGACCGTCTCCATCGCCCCCGCCCACCAGTGCAGCTATCGTTATATCTAAAAACGATTCGCTAGCGGAACGCGTGCGCAAGGTAAACAAACGCGCATACCATTAGCGCATATTAATTTTCACATCTGATTTGAGTTTATTAACGGGAAGACTTTAGTTCCGAAAAAATAAACATTTAATATGGTTTTATTTATTTGTCCATCAACCGTCCACAAAGCTATCCTGAAAAAAATAAATCGAATCTATTTTCAGCAAAGTTGAGAACAAATTAACAAACCCACCTCACAAACTGTTAACATATTTTAAAACTACTACTAACGAAAACAGTTTTGATTGAAAATAGAATTAAACTGAATCATACGTAGCAACACAACCCAAGACAATGCTAACCAAAGCTGCAATGTACTTAAGTGGGTCAAATCTGTTGTTATAAATAGCTAAATTGGAATGCATCAAAGTAGAGTTTACAAGAAAATTGTTATTGTTTATTGTAGGAAAAATTATACTAATAAATTAACAAAGGTTTTTCAACTATAAATCAACTCATTTATCTCCGTCAGTTATAAATATATACATACACTACGAACACGTTTTTCATAATTCCAGTATAGATAAACTAATATCCGCCTTGGCAATCTTCTGTGCGTTAAAAAATACGTTTCGCGTGAAATTTATTTACAGCCAAGGGATCGACAACAGGATGGCAGTGTTAAGACTGCCTCACCTTGAACGTTGTGAAAAATGTGTGGAAAAAAAAGTGGGTCAGGCCGATAGAACTGTCTGCGAGTAGTTCCACAGGGAGTGCTCAGTGTGTTGCTCGAAATAAACTTAAAAGGTCGCCATCAAACAGACGCTGGCAGACAGCAGTGCGTGGCGTTATAATTAATTGAGGAAATGACCTACTCATTACATAGTCATTATACTTTGAGTGCAGTAATGAGCTTTATGCAAAAATGTCATATACGATTAAAGGGATACTTATACAAAATCAATGGCTTAAACTGTTTGCTACACTTAGGTGCTTTCCAGTTACAATACATTTATTGATAACACTCGTAAAGTAAATGCTTCATATAAGTCACAAGCAATAATCACTCTTAATGTTTGTTTACAGATGAATATATTGAAAAGTCAAAACAGTTTTGAAAAAGAATCTAGCATAGAAAAAGAAAGAGATAAACGAAGTTTATCTAGAAGTAGAGAAGAAAAAAGTAGAGAAGAAGAAAAGCAATCAAGACTTAAAGAAGATCGGTCAGCTAAAGAAGATATAAATTTTATGATGCAGGTAAAACTATCAGTGTTATAATTTCTAATTATATCTACAAAGTATTAGTTAATTTACACAGTAAGATTTAATCAAAATTATATTTGACACAGGTGAAGAGTTCTCGAAACGCATCATCAAACTCCAAACCACCTATGAGAGGGGGTCCAGCAAAAGAAAAAGAAGAGTCTGATGATGATGCAAGTACAGCAGGCACTGTTACCACGGAAACTACTCTCGTTGACGCTAACGTCAAGGATTATCAGGTACATAGCAGTTACATGTCGATAACGGATCTTAAGCTTCTTATATGCATGATTGTTTATCGTGTCAATGTCAATATATGCTATAAAGTTCGAAATTTACGTGAACAAAGTAAATATTTCAATAATTTATTGAGATATATAAATTTGATATCCCAATTAGACATGGATTAAATGTATTCTAAATAGTGACGTCACAGTCTAGTAAGAAAACAAGTCACGGGCATAAAGATTGGACACTACAATCTCACCACATTAATTTTATAAGCGAATAATAACGAATTAATTTGAATTTTCCAGGACCAAATTGAAAGTTTAAAACAAGAACTAGATATATTAAAAAAGCGCTGCGAACGCGTAGAAAAAGAGAAAAGCGATATCCTACTACGGCGATTAGCAAATATTGACACCGCCAACAAGTACACCACTGGTCGTTCATCAGAGGTTCTCAAACTACAACAGAAGGTCAACGAGCTCACCGCATTGAATGAAGATCTTAGGGACGAAAAGAAACATCTAACATTGAAAGTGAAAGAAATTGAATGTGAACTCGATGTAAGTAGGAAACTTTGCCTTATTAAATATTAACATAATTTCCAGGATCCAGAAACCGTTCTGACTTATTTTAAGACATTCGTAATGTTAATATGGTCCTTTTTTTAAAGTCAACTATCAATAATGAAATTATCAATATTGTAACAACACTGATATCGTCTTCGGATAAACGATCTTTGCCAAAGTTGTGTGCCTTATTACTTTGCAGAGTAAATTTGCGATAAACATTCATTTCACATACATATAATAAACACAAAATAGAAGTTGACAATGAAATCACTTTACACGATTTAATAGAATCACGTATGAATTGAAAGTTACATACTTCGTGAAAAATCCACTTTGACCCTGGCACTCTGAAATGGGACTCGAACCCATGACCTATCGCAACCCAGAACCTAACAGGATTGACGAATTTTTCAAGCACTTGTTACTTTTTAGCTACTACATAGCGTATTTTCATCAATATTCAGGCACTCCTCCCAAACAGCCGAAAGAATATATCTTTACAAATATTTTTGACAAAGATGAAAATTTATTGTTAATATTGTATTTAATAAATTTTGTATTCACAATGCTATATAATTCAATTCTTATGAATTTTTCATTAAGAATTTTTCAGTATAGTATTGTGAAAGCAAAATTAATCAAATATAAATTTTCTAGCTTTGCATATGTCCTACGAGAAGTTAAAAATCTACAGACAAATACAGCATTAACTACCTACTACGCGTAGGCACATGCATGGCTCTCCTACAGTGTTATCGTTTGGGACAGTACAGACATTCTATCATTATTTTTATTGCAGAAAAAACTGATTCGCATCATCTTTACCTATAAAATACAAACAGCCATAAACCATACTTTTATAAATATGAAATTCTTACATTACCCTGCATTTATATTTTAGAAGTATGTAAGTTCGTACGAAAATACCCGGAATTTTATAAAATAACGTGAACTTTTGTAAGTTTATATTGTACCGTTCTGATGTATTAAACTATTGTATTCGTTTTGGTGAAAAATGAAAATAATTAAAAAGCAACTACTTATAATTTACGCCATCGGAATAAACTAACTATAGCAATCTCTCGTTTAAATTTACACTCTTCTAGTCCACTAGCAATGTCTATAAAATATACAATAATTTATATTGATTTGTTATATTTTCACGAGCACTATCCATATATGGAACAATTTTTAAACGGTTTATCGCGTTTGTATAATCTTATGTGAACACGGAACCTGTAAAGTATAGGGCCCGAAAAGTCAATAAAACTAAATAGAAAAGCTATGAAACCGTTTAAAATTTGTTTCATTTATACAAAAATTTTCCAAACTCAATAAAAAAAATAAGTAAAGAAAATATTGCATGAATCAAATAAAGAATTTATTAACTAAAAAGCATTATACCATACAAGAATACCTAAGTGAAAAACTTCAAGTCTAATTTAAATATGTTATTAAGTTTTGTATCTTCACTTTAATATGTATTTAATTATAAAATATCTATAGTATAAAAATTTAAGAACTCAACAATTTTGCAGGCTAGGCCGTCAGCGGAAGCACAAGCGCGGCAAATCGAGCAGTTGCGAGCGAAACTGTTAGCTGCTGAGACGTTATGCGAAGAGCTCATGGACGAGAACGAAGACATGAAGAAGGAGCTGCGCGATCTTGAAGAGGAAATCGAGGAGATGCACGACAACTTCAGGTAGCTTCATTTGAACTCATACAATTTTGGAGAAATTTTAGATAAATTTTTGCATGAAATAATTTTCGCTTTTTTATGTTTTCATTAAAATAAAATTAGGATGGACAGAAACAGATATACAAGTACATATAAAATTCAAATTTATAACAATTATCTATAAAATTATGCTGGAGTACAAATACATTACAATTGCAGGGACCCCAAAGTTTAATATTAGGCCCATTGCATTTCTAAATTAATATTAATGATCTTTGTCACTTTGCTAAGAATTTATTCGAGGCAGTATTATTTGTAGAAAAGTTCTCTTTAGTGTTTTAAGATAATGACAAACATTGCTAGTTATGACGATATAAATAATGGTATCTCCAAAATTGTATGAGTTTCGCCCATTATTGTAATCAGCATGTCCAATATAATAATATTATACGGCCAAAATATATATGATTCTGATTTGAAACAGCGAAGGAAGGGTATAATCTTTATTTTCCGAAATAATAATAATAATACTTCTTATAGCAAGTATAGTATTCTTATAGCAAATATTACGACCGAAACCTTGAAGGAAATCTCAACGCAATATTGTGATAATTTTATTCACAGGGAAGATCAAGCGGACGAATATTCATCTCTCCGAAGAGAATTAGAACAAACAATAAAGAATTGCCGTGTGTTGTCATTCAAGTTGAAAAAGACTGAGAGGAGGGCGGAACAACTAGAACAAGAGAAAGCTGATCAGGAGAAGAAACTTTTGGAGGTAAGTAAAAATGTTTATAAGAAATTACTATGTACACAATACAAGATTACGCAAATAATGATTTGTTATTATGACTCCACAGATAGTTGGAGGTCAGGAAGGTCTATCACGCGAGAATCGAATCAAGGAATTAGAACAAGAGGTAGCTCGTTCGACGGAAGTAGCTCTACGGTTGCAGCGCGAACTAGCAGATGCCAATACTAAACTCGCAGCGGCCTCAGGAGCTGCGCCAGCAAACGTCAAGAAAAACACTCCGCTACCTGATGGCGTAAGTAAATAGATTTAGCTTAATATTAGATTTTAAGTCGCAGAACGACAAAATATTATTAAAGATACTTAATTTCATTGCTACTAGTATAATATTCGCTCTACGAATAACCTAAAAACCTAATTTGCATTTAAGTATTGGATTCATCTATCTGGCAGTATCTCGATGCTTCTTTAACGTATAGATTTGGCATAATTCTCTTTTGATCAATACTTACAAGACATAAAAAATGTAAAATGTAGGTAGTTGATATGCCGCTGACAAACGCCATTACTACTACAAAAAATGTGTCTCCTTTTTATGTCAAAAAATTTAACCATCAATAGAAGCTAGGATAAGCAAATGACCAGTGGTTAAAAGAACAGATGTAAAATTACGTTGTATTTACTTGGTCCCTTGTTATTGTTTTACGTTGTTTTTATAACCTACATGATTCCACAGTGAATTTGTACTTAAGTAATTTTTGTGATTTCGTTTTATGATTTAATTTCGTAGGAAAATATTAATTGTCATTTTTGACTTTTGGGTTATTGAAAATAAGTTATATTTGATCTTGATCATCCGTAGAATATTTGTACCATATTAAATAATTTGTTTTCTTGTTTCCACGGGCATATGCCAAATTGTTAAATTATTAAAAATCATATATAATCAACGAATAGATAATACAAAAGGTAAATATGGCTACAGTGTATAAAATACATACTCCTCGATTTATTTTTCAACATTACAATCCCACCTTAGATACTAGATACTATTAACTTTTCACGTATTTCTCTATAAGATAATGATAAGATAAATAAAAAACAAATATATGCTTTTTATAAAAAAGTTAAATCTAAAATAACTCGAAAAAAAGATATCTTTGTTGCTTTCTAACATTATTAGAGAAATTACCTTATATTTCCTGAAAAATAACACATAGTGCACACAACACAACAACCATAAAAATTAACACTGTTTGGTAAACTATAGATTTATTTTGTGTATTTGATATTTGGAAGAAAATCCTAATGTCAAGAATGGTATATAACTCGCTCCGTTCATTCAAACCGTTAGTGTTGTCACCCAGAAAAAAATTACTCATGTCAATGTATAGCGAAAGAACGACTCAATGTACTGCCAACAAATTGACCAGTGGTTTTTGGCTATGGTTTAATTTAGCATCAAAAAACGAAACAGGGTGTTAACAACTGGTTAATGTTTTGATTTGGTGATACATATAGCTGATATAAAATCTTGTCTTTTATAGCAAAAAGTATCTCGATCATCACTGACGCGCGGAGGAAGTCAAGAGGACCCAGCTCAATTGCTGCGTGATCTACAAGACTCGCTAGAACGTGAGGCAGACCTGCGCGAACAACTTCGTAATGCGGAGGAAGAGGTCAGCTATTTTACCACCACTTATAACTTTCCCTGTCGCAAATTGAAAACCGCTTGCAGATTTTCGATTATCACGCATGAAATTCTACATTATGACTTCAATTGCTTCCTTTCCGAAGTGGCACCAATCGACATTCTACACAAGCGTGACAAAACTGTTACAATTTTCTTAAATAATGAAAAAATAATATTTAAGATAATTTCATTATCTAATATCTATCTATTTACCCCGTAAAGGAGGACCAGAAGATATAAATAATAAAATACATAAGTATAAAAATTATGCGCGGTAAAAACATAGCTATGTTTAGTTTTATACAATTAATTATCAGCTAACGTGCAATTAATATATTATGATTCACTAGAGGAGAAACTAAAAACGATCGCCGACCTTATTGATTAAAAGATCTAGATGAGAAGAGCAATCGCTGTTGAGTTGATAATGTGTTTAAAGAATAGGCGTTACATCAGCCCTTTTACGTCCTCTCTACAGGGGCTCGGGACTTCCTTATGGATTATTAAGGAGGATCACAAAACCGCTACTATTAACACAAATCTTGCATTTTTATGCCTTGCCCATTGTTATTACTCTAATACTACTTTTACTAAAGAACTTGCATTAATAATAGAGATAGATCATTAACTCTTATTCGATAAGACGCCAAATGGCACTCTGCCAATGCGCGATGACTAAACCTATGCGACACAAATATTCAAATAAATTAAGACATGCTTATAATATACTTGGTACGATATTATTCAACGATATATTTCTTTTTAATATATAAAATACAAACATACTTACGAAATCTGAAACTTATAAATTTATGGAAATATTATTTTGGAACAGGCAAGTCGTTATCGGCAACGCTTCGGAGGCAAACGGATACCGCCACCACCAAAACCTCCTCCATTTCATCCTGATCTCATTCCATCCCAAGTCCCAGCTGATAAAAACATCGAAAAACAACTCGAAGAACATACAAAACGTCGCATTCTCGAGATGCAAATGACGCTAGAAAAAAAGATATCGTCTCTGGATATAAGCAATATATTGATCGGTGTCAATCAAGCGATGCAGTCACCACAAGATTTAGTGCTAAACTATTCTCAAGGGTCTCAAACTGATCTTGTAATGACGCATGATGTAGCGATAGATACAAGGAAAATAACATTAGACTCCACAATACAGTGCGATAATAATACAATAGATATGTTCACACAGACTGAAACAGCTTTTTCGAAAAATAAAAATGTACAAACTGCTTTCATTAAGATCAACAATTATTGTCAAACTGATAAACACAAAACAAGAAATAGTGAGATACAGACGGCAAATATTATATTAGTGGATAGTTGGCAACAAACATTTAAAACTAAAGAATATGCTGATATCAGCACGCAGGCTGAAATAATCATGTATAATCAAGAAACTACAGCAGATGCTTCAGAAATATATGAAATGAATAACATAAAATTGTTAGATGATGTAAATAATACAAACTCAAAACGAAACAAAAGCTCAAAAAGTGATAGTCCACCACTTACACCCGACGACAAAGCAGCTGCTGGTCCTTCAACACCTTTCACCTTCCCATTTTCATTATTCAACCCTTTGGCGGTTAGATTACCAATTATAGGTACTTATAATTCATATAGTCAATTTATATATATGTTGTTTTATACCCAATAAAACGTGCCCATAACAGTATAAAACACAAAAAGGATTGTAAGACTTAATCTTCAGTGTCCTATAATGACAACTAACGAATATTTTCAGGCAAATAATTTACGTAAAACTGCATCACGGGTCGAGGATGACAATGAGTCCTTGCTACTTCAGCTGAAGAAAATGGCTACCAAAGCCAGAAGTACGTCAAACATGTTATAACGATCTACTTAAATAGATTTATAATATTTATACCCTATTTAAGTGCATATCCGTATGTATATCGAGTTTCATTTAACATTCTACAAGTTCTAACTACCCACGTCTTTGCTAGTATTTGTTTTTTTTTCTATGCCACTTTCGAAACCACTAACCCGCTTTTAAATTCAGGCGCAGGAGGCGTATAAATGGTAGCCATTTTCTCCAGTTTTACAAAGACCTTCTTTCGTTTATTTGTGTTAAGAAAATAAACACCAAACGATTTTTGTTATACCATCATGGTACTTGACTGGTAAAAGATATTTTTTTACTAAAATAATACTAATATTTCCTTAACATGAATACTAATTAACAATATCCATTGTTTGTCTGTTTGTGGTGATCGTTATGTTTTAATTCAAAAACTGTAACGGTAAAATATTCCTTGAACAGGTCGCAAATTATCTCCAACACCGCCTACAAACAGACTTGCAATTGAAGCGCCGAACGAAAAAGATGAAGGTATCTCTGATGAGGAAGATCCAGCGGAACTACGACTTCTTCTTGAACTCAATGAACAGGTATTCCTGATATACATAATTACCTAGTCTAGGCATAAAATCTGTTACTGGCTGTTTACATACATTAAAAAAAAACATTAATTTGAATTCCGAACCTTAGCTTCTACGACAAAAAAAATTACTTTCCCGCCATTAGAATACTCTAATGGCGGGAAAGTAGTTTTTTGTTTAGAAATTAATTGTTTTAAAAATGGAGTGAGGCACTAAAGAGAATAGGATAGCATTAATTGCACTGTACAAAGTAGGTACGGAGCCAGCCGACATTATTGATACATTTAAAAAGCTGGGGATTAGCCGAATGTTTGTATATCGTACATTCCAATGGTACACTGAAACCATGTCTGTTGATGACCGTGAGAGGTCCGGCCGTCCGCGGTCTATTCGAACAAACCAGGCCGTTAATGCAATCAAGGTCAGAATTCGTCGAAATCCCATAAGGAAGCAGAAAATTCTTTCCAGAGATCCCACCGAGGACACTTTTTCGGATTATCAAACAAGACTTAGGTCTAGCGACCGGAGATACACAGGACTTACCTTAAATCAGGCACTAAAACAAAAGAGAGACGTAAGATCAACAGCTATTACTTCGATACCCAGACGAAAAACAAAAAATTCTCTTTACCGATGAAAACAATTTTACAATCGAGGAGCACTACAACAAACAAAATGATCGAGTATATACACACAGCTCTAAAGAAGCTTCCGAGGAAGTGGCCAAAGTTCAGCAAGGTCATCATCCAGCATAAGTCATGGTTTGGTGGGGTGTCTTCTACCAAGGGGTTATAAAACTCCATTTTTGAGAGTGAAATTTCAGCCAAAGTATATCAAGATACCGTGTTAGAAGCGGTAGTTAAACCTCTCAATAACACCTTATTCATAAACGAAGTGTGGATATTCCAACATGATTCAGCCCTGGGTTATAAGGCGAGCACTACCCAAATTTAGCTTGAGCAAAATGTTCCAGACTTCATAAATGATATGATTGGCCTTCCGCTGATCCGGACTTAAAAGCTTTGGACTATAAATTGTGGTCTGCTCTAAGCGTCACCCAATTATTAAGTCGCTCAAGAAATCTTTGGAGGCAGCAGTGACCAAATTTCCAAAGGAAACCGTTCGTAAATCCATCGACAAATGGCCCGACTGTTTAAAAGCGTGCGCTAAAGCTGAGAGTGGACACTTTAAATAACTAGTTTAGTTCGTTAACATATCTTTTCACTCTACATAATCACATATAAAACTTAAAAATAATTTGTTTTTTTAGAAGTTATCGGATATTTTCTTTGTAACAGAACTTATGGCTAGACTAGGTACTTAATTGATCTTTATTATAAACTGCTAATTTTTCCATAATATTTATTGAAGGAAGCAGCAGTGTTACGACGAAAGGTAGAAGATTTAGAGCAAGATAAGGAATCTTTAAAAAAACAAGTGAAAGAACTAACGGAAAAAATTACCACAAATAATAAATCGGTAACTGCTCCCATAACAGTTAGGAAAAACACGGCGAAAAGCAATAATTTATCAGAAGAAAAAATTAAGGTAAAGTAAATAATTTATTGTTTACTTCATGTTATTACCTAAGAATTAACTTATTACTAAAATTGTTTTCAATAGGTACTGGAGGATGAGATAGCTGAATTAAGGAAAAAATTAATTGAAAAGGAAAGAGATTGTGAAAGGTTGCATGCTGAATTGAGTTTAGCACAAAAGAAGTCAAAAGGATCACTTATAAAAAGCAAGTAAGTAAATTGTAAAAAACAGACACAATAGTTTTGGTAGAATTTCTCATATCTTCATTATGTCGGATTCAGGTCACTAGATGGCGCAAGTGAACAACAAAACGTAGATTTAAAACGACAACTCCAAGTTATTGAACAAGAAGCAAGTGTATTACGAGCAAAAACACAAAGTCTTGAAGCTGATAATGAAAAACTTCAAGCTGAAAACAAGAAATTACAGGTATGGACAAAGAAAACTATTCTCAGGGGTTTCTATTTATTTTAGGTGTGCTATTTTAACATTTATTTTTCAGCTATTGAAGAATACTAAAACCTTAAGGACAGACAAGACGGTCGAACACAATGCAAATAAAATACTGCAATTAGAAAATGAATTGAAAGAAGCAACAACTAAAATTAAAGAGTTAGAAAATAACAAAGAAAAGGAAGAAAAATCCGAAAAGAAAGTAAGATTTGGAGAATTTACTAAAAAGGATACCGACGCTCTCAAAGCAAAACAAGACGAATTGGATAAATTAAAAATTAATTTGAATAAGGTCAGTACTGATAATAATTGGCTTACTAAAAAAATACATATTATGTTATTATTTTAGTAAACCAATAATAACACTAAGGTCATGTCTTTCAGCTAGAAAAAGAAAATGCAAAACTACAGGCAACGTTAAAGGCATTAAAAGAAGACGCAATGAAATCCTTCAAACCACGCTCGGCTAAAAAACTTACTGATCTCACAACAAAACTTCAAATGAAAAAAATGGTGGAGGACCTTGAAAGCGAAATAGGTGCCTTGAAAATAAAATTCTATTCAATGTTAATAAAAAAATTAAACGGAAAAACTAATTATCTCACCTTTCTTATAGGAGAATTGTATGTTATCATGAAAAATGCTGGTCTCTCTTCCAATGAAATAAACGCAAAAGTTCAACGAGAAAAAGATATTGAAGATATTAGGTTAAAGTTATCAAAGAATGAGTCAGAATATATAAATGAAAAGAACCGATTACAAACTGAAATAGCCAAACTAAAGGATCTCAACACTAAGATAGATAATGATAAAGCAGAGCTTCTAGTTAAATGTAAAACATTAGAGACTGAAAAAGACAAAGTATCTGGTGAATTAAAATCATTTAAAGATAAGAATATTAATCTAGAGGCTCAAATTACTAAATTGAATAACGAAATAAGTAAGTATATACATTTTATAACATATACGTTTATTAATCATAATACCAAGAAAGTATTTGTACACTAATGTTTAATTTAAAGCTTAAATGTTTCACTTTTTAAATCAATTATTTTTTAGGTAACTCTACCTCTCAACAAACAGCAATGTCTGATTGTATGAAGAAGATTGAGAACCTCAAAAAGGATATGGACTTTAAAGATAAAGAGATAGACAAATTAAAAAAACAAATAGAAAATGTCAGTAAATTAGAACAAGATAAGAATAAATTGCTCAAAGAGGTATTACCAACATATAAATGTTTATATAGTCGTAGGTAATGCTGGTTCAAACTATTTTAACAAATACAAAATATAGCTAAGTTAAGCACTGTTTTCAGGTTGGAGATAAAACAAAGAAAATTACAGAATTGGAAAAGAAGTTGAAAGAATCCGATGAAAAATGTAAACGTTTAGAAAAACAGCTAACTACACGCAAAGACCGTGTCGCCAAATTAGAGAAAGAGGTAAACGAAATTATATTAGGTTGGGGAAAATAATCTTTTCGCATATAATATGCATAAACTTCTAATAAAATCTTTCCGACTATAAAATTCGTATCTGACTGGTTTCGGCATCATTACAAAGTTTAAATTTTAAACAAGAATGACTCCCGATTCAAAGTAGGCAAAAGTGTGATTTTAATTTGTTTTTCTTACTGTCAAAATAAGTGAATGAATTTTAAAATTTTATTACAAAAAAGGTAAAAACGCAACGCAAGCCGCTAAAAACTGTGACGTTTATGGACCTAGTGAAGTTTTTGTGAGAGTAGCACAAATTTGGTTTAGTCGTTTTTAGTCCGGAAATTTAGATGTTAAAGATGCACGTCGCAAGATCGGCATATCAGTAGTAACGAAGTAGCTGAGGAACTAAGGACTGACCACAAAACAGTTTTGGCGCATTTGAAAAAAGCTGGGTACACAAAACGTTGGATATTTGAGTACCTCACGAGCTCACTGAAAGAAACCTAATGAACCGTGTACTCATTTGTGATTTTGACCGATTTTTTCGTGATTAAAGATCGGTCAGGATTCACAGACTGTGGCGAAACCCGAGTTAACTCGCAATAAGGTGACGCTGTGTATATAATGGGATTGGAAGGGCATTATTCATTATGAACTGTTACCGCCAGGCAGGATCATCGATTTTGAACTCTTCTGTGAACAACTGATGACATTAAAGCAAAAAATGAAAGGAAAGTCCACTGTTTTTGGTGCCAACTCCGCTGTACCTCGTCTGTTTTTTGATCAGAAGCCTCAAAATTTCTATAGCAATGGGATACTTACAAGATGGCAAAAAGTTATCGAACAAAATGGTACCCTTATATTTTAGTTAAATGTAAATAAGCTTTATTTAAAAATGTTTTGAAGTGTCATATAAAATGCGAAGAAACTTTTCCTCCGATTTATTACATTTTTATATTTTTTAAATTTACTAATTGTTTTGTAAATATAAATTTGGGCTCAAAGTAATTTAAGCCCAAATTTATAATCTTATATCGATTGTTATAATATTAGAGGTATATAATATATATTTATTTCCTGCTCGATAAATATTTGGATTAGATAAATATATGTTTCTGTAAATAGCTTTCGGAAGAAAAGGAACAATCTGAAGCACTGGTCAGTTCTCACAGGCGATTATCGGTCGAATTTACAAGCGAAAAAGATGAAATGTATACGAAACTCATTAAATCAGAAACTAAAGTAATTACACTAGAAACTGAAATGAGAGAAATGAAGACTGATTATGAAAGTAAATTAACACATTTGGAATCAACTGTAGCCGCAAAAGAAATTCATATTAAGCAACTGGTACTAGCAAAATGAAATAAAACAGCATGTATAGTATCCCAAAAGCACATAATAGATTACGTGCACTACTCCACACCGTCCGTACACCACGCATGCAACACCTTTTACCTTTAGCGTGTGAACAATGGATCAAAATACGAACCTAGCACTTAACAGCGTATTAATAATACCTATTATTTATATGAATTCCTAATTATTTACATAAATTATATCAGGTTGATATACCATGTCTAGATTAAAATATTCACATATTTGCAGGAGGATGCTCTAAGAGAAACTTCGAATCAGAAATACGATGAAGCGATATCATCTGTGGAAATGGCACAAATGAAAGATAAACTTGAGGTCACACGGAGAGATCTCGAAGATAAAGAAAGCGAACTTGTTACAGCTAAACAAGCGCTCGATAAGACTGAAAAAGAATTAACCGCACTGCAATCAGAAAAGTCTCAACTTAAATCAGAAGTAACTAAATTTGAAAATGAAAGAAGAGAATTAGAGAACAAATTACAAGCGGAGAAAAAAGAATCAGGCTACTGGGAAAGCAAAGCTTCGGAATTAGAGACTGACTTACAGGTAACTATAGTAACTCGAAAAATGTATTAGTTGTACATTTGCAATTTATTTTATAAAATAAAAATATTATAGGCAGAACGTAAAAAGTTGGAACGTATGCGTATTGCTCACGATAAGGATATCAAGAATAAGGAAGCAGAATTAGCAACACTAAAAGGCAAACTCAAAGTTCTTGAACAAACATCTGGTGCAGGTGTTAAAAGAATTGCTGATCTCAAACAGGAATATGAAGAAAGTGTAAAAAGTATGTTTGTTAAATTATATTTAATATAGTAATCATCTCAAAATGAAATATGTGTTGTATATTAAATTTCAGAATTGCAACATTCGCTAGCTGTAGAAAAAGCCGAATACGAAGAATTAACGGGTAAATACGAAATTTTAGAAGAGGAGCACGTAGTAACTAAAGCAAGACTTACCGTAGAGAAGGAACAAGCTCAAGGGTAATTGTCCTAATGAAATTGATAATTTACACTAATTTTGATAATCATAGCAATTATATAAATTTATAATTTTAGAGAATTAATGCATGTCAAAAAGGAATTAAACAGTGCATTATCAGAAATGAAAGCTCTACAAGAAACTCATGAATCTCAGTCCACGACTTGGAATAAAGAAAAGACTGAACTTCAGGTAAGTAATTAACTGATATAATAACTACTCTAGTCATTTTGAAAATATACTATTTAGTATCAAAACTAGTTTATTTTTTTTTATAAAATAACTATAATATATTTATTTCTGTTATAGAAAGAGATTTCGTCGCTACAAGAAAGACTTTGTGGGGGTGGATGGGAGGTAGAGAAGGCGCGGTTGACGGCACGTCTGGAACAACGCGAACGCGAACTGCGCGCCGCCACTGACCAACGCGACGTGCTAACCCATCATCACGAGCAAGCAAAAAAAGAGGTTATCTTAAAGACTAAACAATGTTTAGTGCGACTGCTTGTGACTGATTAGATTATTAATGTAAATTGAAGCAGATATATTTTGACAATTATTATTATGACATGTGAATTAATTTTGATAATGAAATTATTATTATTCAATACTTTCCAAAATATTTCTATTCGATTTATTCTACTGAAGAAAATATGTAATAAGAATTATCTTACCAATTTTATATAAAAAAAATCTTCTTAATCAGTGATGTGCTCAGCAAAAATAATAATTATTACATGTTTAGATGACAATGAAAATAATTAAATGAAACAACATTTACAGGTTCCGTGTTCTTAGTCTTATGTGAACACGGAACCTGTAATAGGTCCGAAACGTCTAAAACTAAACATAAACGCAAAGAAACCGTTTAAAAATTGTTTCATTTATGGACAGTGCGCGTGAAAATATAAGAAATAAAAATATAAATAATTATAAATGTATATCTTGTGGTAATTATTGCACACTGTCTCAGAGTAAAATATGTGATATCCTTATTTATATGTAACCTTTGTACTCCTTATTTTAGACAAATAAATGATTCATTGATATCATAACTGCCAATATTAAAATTGTTGTTCGAATACATTTCAAAAATCTGCAAATGTGTGGACTGCAAAATAAGGAAATTCCAGGAGATTTGAACAGACCAGAAGAGAGCATAAGACTTCACAGTTAACTGGCCAACATGAATTTCAGAACGATATATGCGATCATGTATCTCAGGATTTCCCTACATACTATATAATATATAAATATATAATTGCATTATTAATTTTGTAAATTTGTATTACGTAGCTGGAAGAATTAAAAAAGAAGCTAGAAGACTACGAGAAAGTGGCCAAAGTGCAAAGAAATTTGACATCAGAGAACGCGGAATTGGAACGTGAGGTGTCTGCTCTAAACGCGCGCCTCGAACACGCAGAAAAATCTAGGAAGGCTGAAATCACAGATACTAAGATGAGATACGACAGTCAACTGAATACTATGAGGGATGAGCTCAAGTCTTTGCACAACCAGGTTAGTTCGTTTAAGATTGATATCTTTATAACCTATACATACCTCCATGCTAATATTACAACTTAAAAATGTGAGTTTCCTTCTTAAGTAATATGTAATTGATAATCTATGAAATTATATACATGGACGTCAGAAAATGTAAATAATGAAGTGTACTGAAGTAATTAAGTATAGTCAATAATAAATATAATATATTTAGGTTTCTAGATTCAGACGTGAAAGGGACAACTACAAACAAATGTTGGACGCCGCTCAGAAAACAATGGCGTCTATGAAGACTGCTGACAAATCTAACAGGACACCAAGATCATCAATTTCAAGCACAGATGAGGTAAAAAAGAAAACATTTTTTTCCACTAAAGCGTAAATATTGTTATTGTGATAAATTGTAATTTTATCAGGAGGAATACCGCAACAAATTAGCAACCTTGGAACAGCAAAATGCGTGCCTTGAAGACGAACTGTGTGAGGCGCGCTTGCTCGCATCCAAACTCAAGACCGAATTAGTAAGCGAGAAGTCTACCTCCGAGGTCCGCATAGCTGAGATGCAATCACGACTCAACGAGGTAATTGTTTCATTTGATTTTGTCACTTGAAGAACGTAATCAGTTTGTGTCGAAATAAAAAAAATTATACTGGAACCTCTTTGTATGCTGTATTTTAGAGTTCTATCTCTATTTTCACGATATACAGAAACAAAGGAACGCCATCAAGGCATAGCCCATAAAGTTGTCCAATTTCTTAACACTTATCATTCGATTCATGCATGCACGCTAGTCTTGATTTCTTCTCTTGTTTCTTAATTGCCTTCTATTTTAGAGTTGTTACTGTTTAATGCCTTGAGGTGAACTCTGATTTCAACATAACCAGGGGAACAAACAAGCAATTAAATGAACGTATACTAGTATTATCAAGAGCATATATTTGATGGCGTTTGTTCGCAATAAGCTTCAAAACTCCTAAACCGATTTTAAAAATTCATTCATTACGGGAATCAACAACATACGCGCGTAACATACCTATGCTTTAATTAACGCGACCATTACTCACAAGAAAAACTATATTTTTTTAATAAATAAATTCATGTAGTATGAAGAAGAGCGACTTCTCTCCTCGGGAAGAGCGCGAGTAGCTGGCCTTGCTACTCGCATGGAATTAGCTTGGCACAAAGAACGCGACGAGCAGCAGCGACTACTACAAGAAACATCAACGCTCGCGCGCGACTTACGTCAGACTCTTTATGAGGTGAGCTATTTTGCTGGCTATTTGTGGATTATTCCCAGTTGTGCAATCGGTACTCTGTTTGGTAGGAGGAGCAGGAATACTTTTCACATACCTCCGATTGAATGGGTTTTGTTTTTGAATAATTGAACTTGTGAATAGGTTAATTCATCAATCACTGACTCAGTCATCTATCATGAAATCTCAGAAACTTTCTATTGGAGATATATAAAACAGTATTCCTGACCCTACCAAGGCCATTAATTATCGCGTTATTTTGAAACTAACAGTAATGAATTCTATGTCTCACCTATCGCTATTCTTTTTTTACACCATAAACCGTAATTCTAATTTTTCACAGGTGGAGCGTGAAAGGGACAAAGAGAGATTAGATATGAAGAGGCGAATAGAACAACTTAAGAGAACAACTGAGGAGGAAACTGAAGAAGCTAAGAAAAAGGTTAAGTTTCATTAACTCATTGTTTAAAATATGATTGGTATCACAGATGCGTAATTATAATACGTTTGATATTTTCTTTTGTTGTAGGTGACAGAGCTGCAATGTGACCTTTTGGAACTGCGAGATGCCCACGCTAAACTACGTACAGCCAATGAGAAATTACGTCGTGACAAGGACCGGAATGATCGCGATCGCGACCAGAACAAATTACTGGTCGGATCGCTTAAAAGAGCACAACAGGTATGTGAAATGTACAGTATGTCATGATACTCAAACTGGGAAATTTCCTTCGATTAAAATTAAAAATAAACGCAATGGACTCCTAACAGATTGCAGAGATCATGTTAAGTCGTAATACTTAGTCAAGATTATCGATTCTTTTTTCAAATCATGATAAATGTCGATGTAACAGATTATGTACGCACTTCAATCATAAAAATGATTACTTAATATTACAGGAAGACGATAGAATCATCACTCAGCTATTAGAGACTATAGAAGATCTCATGAAGCAGAGTCCAGAAATTTTCCGCAGTGAGCCCAGCGTCAAGCCAGAAAAGAGTTTACTCACACCAACACCACCCAGAAGAAATAGAGTAAATAAGTGTTATCAATTAAATTAACGCCCTAATTATAATATGTTTATAAACGTATCTGCAATCCATCCAATATAATTAGCTAAATATTTGCAACATTTGCAGGACTCTAAGAATGTCATAAAATTATATTACAGATACATCTGGGGTGCTACTTTTTAAATCTCTAGTCACAGAATCTCGTTGTGGCGTACTTTGTCATGTACTTTAATAACGACGAACTAAAATGAGAGTTGAGAGTTTGACAATCGCACCCCAGTAAATCAGGTTTTAAAAAAAGAGCTCTTATCGATTTCAAACCTTTACATATTAAAGATAAAGTTCATTATCCAATACGGGAATTCGTTAGTAAATTGATATTATGTAGTATCGTCATGTGACTTTGAATTGAAATACAATAATTAATTTTATTTCAATTCAGAGAAAATTCCTTCCTTATTTTATTTGATTTTTGCATTGACAATACCATGGTGACAATTTTTGTACACGACAAAATACAAAAACCGACGTTCGAATTGAACTATGACTGAGCGTGTTACTTGTACTTTTTATAACTCAAGAACGGCCGGACCGATTTTGATTAAAGTTGGTACGAAGATGACCAACACCTGGAAATAGGTCATATGCTACTTTTTATTGCGATACAAATACTACTAAGGGGGTAAAAAACGAGGGTGAGTATGTATGAAAGTTTAGGGGAACAAACTTCGCAGAGACAGCTAGTTATCTATAAAAAACACGTTTGTTGTATGGAAGCCACTCATAAATACTTTTTTTATTTTCATTTATTTAAGTTCGGAATCCTAAGACGGCGGGTATTGGCTAGAGTTAACAATGAACGAATGATGACGGTTTTGGATCCCGTCTCGGCCTAAATATAAACTAAGTATTGTCTATAAGATTTTTATCTTATAGACAATACTTAGTTACCAATTTGTTTACAGTCATCGAAATCTCGATCGAGATCCGCTACTCCGGAAGGCGGAGAGAATGCTGCGAACGCGGCGGCGACAGCGGCTCGTCTACGGCGTCTTACAGATGAACTGCGAGCTTCGCGTATAGCTGAACGAGCAAGACGACATAACGCTACTACAGCCAGACGGTCAGTATATTATAGCCAGCCCTGGCTAATTGAAATTTGGCGGCTTAGGCAAAACACTGGTACTTGGCGCTCTAGGCAAATAACTGGGCAAAACTCAGGAACTTGGTGCCCAAGGCAAAACACTTGAACTTAGCGCCCTAGGCAAAACAATAACTTGGTGCACTAGGAAAAACATTGGAACTTGATATATTAGGCAAAACACAGAAACTTGGTTTACTAGGCAAAACACTGGAACTTGGTGCCCTAGGCAAAACACTGGAATTTGACGCTCTAGACGAAACACTGATAGGACGCCCCTAAATAAACACAACAAAATAAAATACTTACGTAATAAGTACACCGATTAAAGAGTGTAATTTTAAAGTTGGTCTGTATCTTTTATATTTAATAATATATAAAGATCACCATGGACAAGTGATTCGCACGCCAGATTCAAGATGTCACTGTTTGCGTGACAGACATGTGTTGTATTACCGTCGTTGTTTCATAATTAAATTATATGACGATCAGTCCAGTTAACAGACAAATAACTCCAACTTGATCGAAATTTGTTGCAATAAATTTATATTTTTCTATGGATTTGTTTGAACTTGTAAAGCCAACGTAAGTATGATAGTTGTCCTTTTAACTTCGTTATATATAGATACTACCGCCGTAAGTTTTGAATTTTTACCAACGACTAAACAGTCGTTGTCCCCTTCTATTTACTAAGGTAGGCGACACTTGACCCTTACGAAAATTAGCTCCTTTTGCTCACAAAGAGTTTGCTAAATGTTTTTACTGTTTTTAAAAACCTATCCAACGATGCCCCACACTATGGGGAAGATGAAAAAATATATCATCCCCACTTTGCTGTAGGGGAGGTACCCTAAAAATATTTTTTCTAAGTTTTACTTTAACACTTTGTCGACGTAATTAACGTGTATATTCATGCCAAATTACAACTTTCTAGTGCCAACAGTTTTTGAGCTAAACCAGGGACAGACAAACATGGCGAAACTATAATAGTCCCTCGTTTACTACGGAACCCTAAAAATATATTTTGGCCCTAATATCTGATCAAGCATCAATTTACAGAGCAATGTCTACGGAGCCTCGTGACACACTGTCAGTGACAACAACCTCTAGGACACCTTCACGGGCGCCTTCACTAAAGAAGCGATCTGTGTCTTTAGAACAGACAACAAAGGAACAGGTACAATTATATTGAATAATTGAAACATTATACATTTTACTTCGCATTATACTCCAGCATTCGTAAGATCCGAAACCCTAAGTTTATAATATAAAACCTTTTTGTTATTTTCTCATTCATTCATTCATTCAATAGATTAAATAAATTCTTATGTAAGAATTAGATAGACCAGCAGGCCAATTCTGATAATATTTACGTAATAATCACATCTCGATAGAATCTCAACTAATTGCATTTTGCCATTGTACTATAGATAGTTCAGGTAGACCTGAAGTCCAATATTATTATATATCTGCCACCATTTGTGTGAGGAAGACATTGCACTAATAATGTTTTTTCCACATAGAATGTAATATGGAAGTCTGTTGAAGACACGAGTGTTTCGTCGATGCAATCTTTGGACGGAGACATAGACTCCCGTCTTTTCACGATGCAACGTGACACAAGCATGGACAGGTGCGTTTCATTAAAATCAATCGACTATTTCAACAAGTCTTGTTAACTCTCCACTGCTTGGGCACAGATCGGGTCATAATCGGTATTAGTGGATACTAACAACTGCAGATAAAGCCTGGACCAAAGGCTAAACATACTTTTCAAAGCACGGAGGAGATTGGACTCCTTAGATTATAATTTTTTGGTCACCAATCCTATGATAGGCCCTTGTGAAAGTTGCTTAATACTATCTGAGATAAGCCATTGCGCAACCGAATCCTTGATTTTTCACTATATTATCGACGCCATTCAATTTATATTTTGTGATAAAATATCAAAATTGTGTGTCGTAATTTCAAATGGAATCCCCAAGAATTTTCATTGCAGCTCTGTATTACGTTGATTTATACGAAAATATTTTTTCAGTCGACTGTCAGGAGGATCAACACAGAGCGATGTGTTACCAGCAGATAAAAAGAAGAAAAAGAGCATTTTCGGTAAACTAAAGAAATTGACGAAATCGCGTTCAATTGACGACCAAGTTGACCCTGAAGTTGTTGAATTTCGACCAATTGGTGCTATATCACAGGTTAATATAACTCCAAATTATTCAATATATGTAATTTGATGGCGAATCTGGCGTCGATTAAGCTCGCCGAGCAGTCTAATAGAATCGCAATAATTCACCTCCTATAAACTTACTAATAACAACGCTCCCGTAACCGGCCGCTGCACAGTCAAAAAAAATACTCGAGTTTTATCACTCGGATTTCTGCTGCGACGCGTTTAGACTTGAAGCACGACCTCTAGTCGAGTCCAGACTTAAGTAAATTTTATCAATCAAGTTCTAACAAAGTTGTGCAAACTTTGCAAACGTAACGATAAGTCCGATATAGATATACCTACACCATACTATAATTATCTGTTTTAGGGTTCGGATTCTGATATGAGTGCAGCTGGCAGCAAAAGAGATCTGCGCGGTCGTCTGTCCGACATGTTTAGTAGAAAAGGAGCCGCGTCACGTGGCAATAGGTGAGAACTAACCATGCATACGTGCAAGAGCTTTCGAAAGCTTAATATTTCAGTATGTTGAAGCACTAATGGTATACATGACTCTGTACCGATTGCGGAGGTCAGGTGCTGGAACCTGATGGCAATGTAAAGTACGACAAATCATAGCACATACTGACGGTGCTTTTTGTGTAAAATTAGAAAAAAAACTTACCCGTTATATAAAACAGGAGACGAAACAGCTCAGATTGCACAATCTTGATACAAAAAAATAAAAATATTCAGGCTTTTATTTAATGGAATATAACACATTTAATAATCGCTAGAAATTTATTGCAGTTGCTGATATGTAAACCATTACTTCAACATACTAAAAAATTAACTTTCAGAAGCAAAAGCAATTTTTGTAACGACTTGTTACGAACACAACATAATTTGTATACAAATTTCAAATACCACAAAGCTTACATCACTTTAATAATTTTCTTTATCCGTTTTACAGTAAAGAGAAAAGTCCAGAGCGGCCCGCAAGCGCGATGGGTAATGTGGGATCGCCATCGTCTCTACGTAACGCCAGTTCCGCTACATTTCCACGATCACCGTCCTCTCAGGTAAAAATTAATATTTTACTGGCGGAAAAGCACTAAAAGTAAATCAAGAAATAAACTACAGTGAAATCTCGCTAACACGGCACTTCAATAAACTGACTTCTGCAATAATCCGGCACCCTATCGCCCCAAATGATGACAAAAATATACTGTATCATCTTCATTATCAGCAGCCTATTTTATGTCGTCACTGCTGAGGCTCAGGCCTTCCATACGCGGACCTAGCGCGGATTGGTGGGTATTAACGGCTGCAAATACAGTCAGGACCAACGGCTTAATGCCCCTTCCAAAGCACGGAGGTCCTCGAGATAGTAAATTTTTGGTCACCCATCATATGATCGGCCATATCGAAAGTTGCTCAACAATCGTATCGCAGATCGAACGCGTTAACGATTGCGCCATCGAGCTATTGTATCGAAAATATTGTATATTCTTTATGAAAATCTTTATAACTAGCTTTACCCGCGTGAAATAGTATTATAATATCGACGCTGCAAAGCAAACACGTAGGAACTCGCAAAACCAAAAACGTTCTTCAGAGCGGAATAGCTTTTATTTTTTTCAATTGATAATTTTTATAAACGTCCATAGTAACAAATAAGGTGTTCCTTAGTCAATTAAAACGAAATTCAGTTTTTTTTTTTTTTAAGTATAACGATTTTCCACTTTAAATATCCATTTTGGTTTGCGGGTTACTACATGTTTGCTTTCCAGAATCGATATAAACATTTCCCTTGAATGATGTAAACCTCATTAAAATCGATTGTGTAGGTTAAAAATCTCAGTGTACAGTGTAGCAGTGTACAGACAATGGGAAGCAACTTTGTATCAAATCATATATTAATGATTATTTCTTCTATGTAATCCAGTATCCCAAACATTGAAAAAAATCTAGAGCCTTTATTTGACAACGCCGGATTAGTAATTCTACTGCATAGAAATGTTTTTTTTTTACTTTTATGCCAATTGAGTCCACTATCAGCAAAAGAAGACTTTTTATAGTTTTGATAATTTCATTTGGAAACTACATTTCGATTATTGTCTACAGAATTCAAGAGCGTCAAGCGCCACCCCAGCAGCTAAGAGGAAAGGGAAATAACTAATAATATCGTATTTCGCTTCATTATAAGTGTATTCATCCATTTTCCTAAGAATTTTCCACATAGCTTGTAATATCACAATACATATCAATTTTCTGTATAACTATCGACGACACGATATATTTGACAAAATCGCTCACTTACACATTTACCATTTTTATAACTTAATATTTATCTGAAAAATAAAATAGTAAAAATCATCACTAGCATCGATACTCTGTATGCAAAAGAGAATAGTTATGTATTCCGATAATCTTTCTATGCGATAAACTAATAATATAAATTGCTATAGTATCTTTAATATCATTTCAATAAGTAGATTCCACCCATTGATTGTTTCGTATACTATTAATCCATTAAAAAAATGTTGCAAGTGTACTAGTCAAATAATATTAGATAATCAGATCATTGAAATAGGCTAGCTAAACACAAACTACAAGTCGATAGTTATGCAAGGCTAGTTTTTTTTACATTAGTCACAATATATTTGTACAGTGACAACCTAAGTATTTCTAACTCCTACTTCCCTCCCTTAGTAAAACATCGCATAGATTCCGACATAGCACTCGGATATCAAAAGCAATGTTTATACTTACGTACTTTTAATTTTATAATAAACTGTTGAACGATTTCACATGTTTCATTTGTGGATTTAATATCTATAATATAAAAATAAAAAAAATAACGAATGGTAAATTGGTGACGCAAAAAAAAAAGAGGTAAGTCATATATCTGTCTATTTTGAATTTTTTCCCGACAGAAGCCAGATGACGAAAAAAAAAATTCGGTACAAAAACAAAACAATAAAATAAACTAAACAGTATTGTGAACCTCGTATTGCGAATTGAGCGTGTTACAGACGACGGCTAGCTCTGGTCCATGAGGTTAGCATCCACGCCGCCGCCGCCGCTCGAATCCTTCAATATCGACTCGAATATCGGCTGCAGATCGGGGAACGACTTGATCTGAGTCACGAAGTCCATTAGATGAGGATTCTTCTCTGTAAAATAGAAAATAATCTTTAAATTTTACAAAAATGTGGCTCAAATGCGTGAGTTAAGACGGATGTGTGGAAAAAATGAACAAAGTAAAGAAGACAGAATAAATTTGAAAGTAACAATACAAGGAGAGAAAGATCGTAAAAAAAGATAAAACTGTGTGAAAAATGATATAGCCAAGGGCTACTGCTGACTGACATGTATGGATGAAATAAACACAAACCGAATAAGGAAAGAGGAAGCAAATAATCATAAAAGAGAGGATAAGGTTAACGCTAAATATTAATTCTGTTATAGCCTTCGTGGTGTTTCTTTTTCCTAATAATGCAATATCGGGAAACTGAACTTATATATGTCACAAACAACTGGTTATGTTCATTGAAATGTGACGTCACTGCTCGAAATTTCACGTGACTGTTTGTTTTGCGGGACAATTTAAATTAATAGAGAGTTTTAACTACCAATAAAACTTACCTATTATTTTTCCTAAAGATATCCGGAATCCATCTTGAGTCAAGCATCATCCTTTTTGTGACGTTTCCGGTCAAAACACTACCTCCCCTCTTACTTCCGGCGCCTGTGCTGCCATCTAGTTTGCGGGTAGCGAACCAATGACTTTTAGGCACGAACGCTTACCGTCATTATACCTACTCTAGATGCACCAGGTAGAACTTACCTGGATTCCGGATATCTTTAGGAAAAATAATAGGTAAGTTTTATTGGTAGTTAAAACTCTCTATTATTTGTTCCGTTCGATATCCGGAATCCATCTTGAGTGATGTGTTTGTTATCTCCTGGTGAGTGCCATTGGTGACGCTATAATGTGTTGCAGGTATAAAAAGTCAAATGTAGTCTGATGAGAAAAAATAATGCATATTATAAGTATATTATGCTATTACCTACATAGTACATATATTATGCTGTTACATAACAATGCAATTATAATAATTATTCAAGTATTTCGGTAATATAAGCTAAATAAATATTGGCTTATCTGTTATTGGTCAATATCATTAATGAATTGAATGGAATAATAAAAATGTAAATACATAGATATCGGAATTTTCTTGATTGTCCGATTTATCAGTTTTCGATAGGACTTCCTAAAAGTATATTCTTGGCGCCAGTTTACAGTTTCAGTAATTTATCCATCGGAAACAGTTCCAGTCAATTTAGAGATGGAACTGCAGATGTAATAGACCCTGAAGAATCTTCTACATTATGTGCTTCTATCTAGCATTTTTGAGAACAGAGTAGTTAACTCGTGAAAATTACTTCTTTTTGGGGCTCTTTCAATACAAAAATTGATCGCGTGTCCAATACATGCAATCGAATGATTTGTGTCAGTTTATCATTTCTGTCCTGGCTGTCATAATTACTATTATCTGTTTTTAATACAAAATAAGGCCATAAGACAAAAAATCATTTTCGTCTCTATACTTCAAAGGTTAAAAGGGTTAAATAATGGATTCTGCGATCTTGAAGATTGTGAAATTATGCTAAATTTCCAGCAACTTAAATAGAGTCAATTCTGCCAATTTCTACGTAAAATTTCCAATGTACTATATACCTGAAGTCTAATATTATTTGTGCAATGTCTTCCTAACAATTCAATATCGACAGATATATTTATTATTTTATGATCTAGTAACAAGAATGTGTCATAAAGGGTTGTAGTCAAAGCGCTATTGACCCTCCACCATTACGCCGACATTAGCAGAATTTCCCTACCGGGCACTTGTTATTTGCAGAATTAATACTAGTAGATATTTATAGTCGCTTTACATTAACTCGATAGTTTCAAGATTTTCTTTATTTCATTTTATTCTGCCCGACTTTTAAATAAATTTTCTGAATTTCGGGGGATGAACACCTGTTGCCATACCTATTGCAGTATTTGCGGAAACAAATCGTCAGCCAAGACACTTTGTCCCATTTTGGAACAATCATAATGTACTTACTTGCCTTGACACTTACTGGAGTCGAGAAAGTATTTGCGGAATCATGTTTGAATAAGGCCAGCTTGCATTTGCACTGATGACGTCATGCGTTATGACCTATTAGCTTGCTCGTCCGTCACATCCATTGTCATGAACCTGGGAATGACGTGTGCTTTTGTCGATGGAATAAGTTCACATCTGGTGTACATTGGGCTGGTAGATTTAGTATTCAGGCTATGCATAATTTCTGAATCTGCCTTGTTCGTGTCATAATTACAATAATTTCCTAGATTTGGTCCCCCATCTTTGTTTATGTACGGGAATCTGTACAGTTCTCTTAGCATTTACATCTAGGCATTCCGCGAAATGAAGACTCGCGAGAGTAATTGCCTCGAGTTGAGCACTCAAACAGATTTCCTATGCACCTGTCCTCGGATGTTGAGCGATTTGCGTTGCATTTATTGGAAGGTACAACAGATACTTACCATTTTAAGTCATTCAGTACTGGGTCTGGTAATCCGAATAGGTAGTAATTTAAGCTGTGTTAGTATTGCAGTGTGCGACAGTGTTATCACCCTGTTCGAATCACAAACAAGGCAAAGTCGAGTCTCCCCATTAGGAACTGGGCCTGTCTGAGGGACCAACCGCCTTGTACAATCTGATGCTGAAGTGCCATGCGTAGCGTGAAGCGTTCAGTTCAAACAGGGACTTCACTAAATGTTCAGTACTGAGTCTGGTAGTTTGATTCGGTGGTAATGGTGATCTTTGGGCAACTGTCGATGGTAGTATTGCAGTGTGCGACAGTGTAGTCACCCTCTTCTAATCACAAACGAGGCAAAGTCGAGTCTACTCATTAGGAACTGGGCCTGTCTGAGGAACTAACCGCCTTGTACAATCTGATGCTGAAATGCCATGCGTAGCGTGAAGCGTTCGGTTCAAACAGTGACTTCGCTGAATGTTCTGTACTGAGTCTAGTAGTCTGATTCGGTGGTAATGGTGATCTTTGGGCAACTGTCGATGGTAGTATTGCAGTGTGCGACAGTGTAATCACCCTCTTCGAATCACAAACGAGGCAAAGTCGAGTCTCCCCATTAGGAACTGGGCCTGTCTGAGGGACTAACCGCCACGTGTAGTCGCCTCGTGCTGAAGTGCCATGCGTAGCGTAAGGCACTTCGGTTCCGACAGGGACTTACCCCTGACCTCCCCGGCACTTCCCAGCACCTCGTGACCGTGTTGGTCACGATGCACCAGGCAACGCCGAGGAAGCTCAGAACCAGCACACACTGCTCGAAGTTGAGAGACCACCCTAAGCGCTGCTATTGTGGTAGTGCAGTTGTTGTGTTGGTCTAGGCAGCAAAGTTTTTGAGTACTGATGGTAGTTCAAAGAGACACTTCAGTTGCATTAGGTAGGTTGTTGTATGCCAGTCTCAAGAACCTGTGAACCAGATGTTGTTCGGCGATACTCAAATGAAAATACTTTTGGCTCGGATATATTTTCGTAAACCATTCGTTTTGTATGAGAATGTTCGGTTTAAAAAAAATTATTGATCAGTCGAAAAGGTTTCATTTTGACAAATCAGTGTCGTTTTAAATGAAATTGTCGGGCTTTAACATTAGAAGAGGAAATGATACAAAACAGGGTGGTTTTTGTAATCTCTAGTATATTAATTTGAGCATTGCAAACGATATTTGAAGATGGCTTAAAATCCCAGCATAAAAATATAATTTTTATATCATCACATACCTACATAGTTTAGATATCAAATGATATATTTAAACACTTGTATTATTGAAATCTGAAACAACGAAGGTAACAACACCCAGACCAGAGACAATATAGAAAAGCTCATTATCTGCATTAACATGACAGAGTGGAATGCGGGAGCTCAGAAATGGTGACACCTTGGAACTGGTGAGCCACTCGCCCAAGATCCGACATATGCAATCTGGAACATCCTGATTGTTCCATAAACTTACAGATCGCATTAGATAGCCCCCTCCAATGTGTCATGTAATGAATTGTATTTATTTCTAAAGTTTAATGAACTGGTTTCATTACCATTTAAATATTGGTGTGTACTTCTGGTAATCTACCTTGAATCAACTTGCAGTTGCAACCATTTTATGCACCCCCTTGTTTTATGGGTGCAATGTACTATTATCAAAGAAGAACTTGTTCGTTCTTCCCATCAGCCAAAAGACGTCCTGAACGAGTGGTGGGGAAAAATGTTGGACGATTCAAAAGAGAAGTCTATTTGAATAAATATTATTTTGACTTTGACTTTGAACTCTGAATTTGGCAAAAATTTCTGTAAAGACACCTCAGAAAACTTCTCCAAGGCTCTGAACACATCAGTGCGTCAGCCACTTAATATTTGGAAAATATAATCCTTGTTGAATGTTGATTAGATTTTATCAAAAAGCATTAAGGTCTTTAGCAATAGATCAATCTGCAATTTATTGTAAACTAGTTCTAAACTAATTGATTCATACTTTAATTCTGTTAAGGTATTTGTTAATGCTGTAGATTGTAGCATTTCTATAAAATTTAACTATAATGACTTCTATTTTTGCAAATAAAGATCTTATCTTAAATCATCAATTGTTGTAGCAGAAACAAATCGCCTCAACTTATAGTTTAATTTGAGCATGTTTCATCTAATTTGGTTTCACCATAAACTGGGTCTTTAAAATCCTATTTGAACTTGTGTTGATTGTTTTACTATAGTAGGTACATAAAGAAAATTATCACCAGTTGTAACCGCTGCAAGTAGGAACTGTTCAGGACCGTGGGGTCGAAGGGAACGTGATGGTGGCTGTGGTTGCCATAATTGCGGTCCTGGTATGGATACTATGTGCTATTTTGTTATGGAAAAAGGCACAGGTGGATTTAGTTTTCCAGTTTTTATCATGCATTATCAAAAAATGTCACTGGTTGGGGTAACAAATCGAATGCAAATCACTTACAGTTTTTCTCGCTTCTGTACCTTACTTGCTCTCTCCGAGCTGGAATCCGACGACGCTGTTAGATGAGTTCGAAGACAATAAACACGCCTGCTTCAATGCTGTTTTCTTTGTTTATTTCACTGTCCCGTTGCTCCATCGCGAAGGGAGGTTAATTTTATTTTAATTTTAACACTAAACTATATAATAATTTGTGCACATTTTATGTAGGACCGATGTTTTCGCCACGAAAAACGACGCTATAATGACGGTAAGCGTTCGTGCCTAAAAGTCATTGGTTCGCTACCCGCAAACTAGATGGCAGCACAGGCGCCGGAAGTAAGAGGGGAGGTAGTGTTTTGACCGGAAACGTCACAAAAAGGATGATGCTTGACTCAAGATGGATTCCGGATATCGAACGGAACAAATAATAAATAATATAAATGTTTTTCCTTTATATAACAACTTAGGAGAATAATAAGTACGATAGTGATTTAATACGATCGAAAGTTTTAAAATGCTTTTCCCAAAACAATTACGTAGTGAATTGTGAGCTGTTTTGATCAATTGAATGAGACATATATGTAAACGTCCCATTCAATTGATCAATTGAGTATATATTCAATTCCTTAATGAAGAATCGACTCACCCGCTTCGGGTATCTGCAACAGTGCAGCGGCTGCTCGCAATGCGGACCGTTTTAGCTCGTCCTGCTTCTCATATTCTTGTTTCACGGAATTGGCTTTAACTTTCATTGTACAGGTAGCCCGTAAAGGTTCCACTAAGCTTTCTAGTCCTATAAAATACATAAACTTATAAAAACAAAGTAGAGAACTTTGCCTTTTGATTTCGCTAAACAATAAGAGACATACGAATAAGGAAATATAAAATTCATCAGAAATCATAGTATTTTTCTATCTCATTGACCTTGTAACGGGATAGATAGGAACAGAAGATAGCGAATTGCATGACTTAAACTGTTTTTAACAACGATTGTGGTGTTGTATATAGCTCTACAAAATGAATCTCATGTTTATTAAATTTTCCTATACAAATAGAGTATAATTACAGAAAGTATTCAGGAAAAATGGTGAATATTAAGGTCAAATTTATGGATAACAACTTATTGGGTCATTATTTTTCGGTACAAAACCAATTGAAATTTTCGGTGTCCGTGCCCTTTTCAAACTTGCAATATACCACCAGCTGTTATTCCGCGACTTCGCCCGCGTAAATTATAGTCTATGTCACCCGCTTAAGGTGAAAGAATTTTCATGATCGGATCAGTATTTCTGAAGATTACCCCCTACAAACAAACAATAAGAAACTTTACCTCTATAATCTATACTAATATTATAAAAAGGAAAGATTTGAATGTTTATTTTTTTACATCGAATATCAATTTTATCAAGTTTACTCCGAAACTACTGGACCATTTTAAAAATTCTTTCACCTACTAAAAGCTATATCTAACGCGGTGAACATAGGCTATATTTTATACCGAAACCCAACTAAAGTGATGACATTCGGAGTGGAAGTTTGTATGGAGAGCTCAAACGTTCCCATAGTAACCGTTGTTTACTATTCAATTTGTCATTACTATTATATCCATGCCATTATATGAATTGATATCCAAATAAACAGCTCTCTAGGAGCAACGCGGGCGAAGCCGCTGGCGGAAAGTTACAAAAGATATATAGATTGGTAACTTACTCTGTAGTACAACAGCGGGACACAGATGTGCAAGTCTCGCGCACATTAGATAAGTAAGCATTTTGATATCGTAGTGGTCTCGCAAGCCATCCTCCACGTGCCGCAGGAACTCGAACACGTCGAGTCTATCGAGGCACGTGCCCAACAACGTGTACATGCACTCGAACGCTGCCTTGCGTAAGTCCAAACCGTCGTCCACAGAGTGTTTGAACGGACCCATCTCTACTTCGCGGATCAACTCTTTCTGCGAACAATTAAAGATATGAATTATTTATTACTCTTGAATTATTAATCAGTAATAAATAGGTTCGAAATACGTGTATTTTGCAAAATAAAATCACAATTTTTGAGTTAAGACAAGTACCCAGTAACATGTAGATACACTCAAACGCGGCCTTCTGTAAATCCTTATCTATACATAAAAGCCTATTTATTATAAAATCAAATTAAGACGCTTCACTTAGCCACGTGTGACGAGAGATTGGGCAAGCGCACCTGGGTGTTTCTCGAGCCGTTTATGGCAATGTCGGTGGAAATCCGGAAAATTGTAGAATAGTAAACATTTTTAATTGCGGCCATTTTGGATTTCTTTTTTTTAGGTGGACTGCATTCTACAAATCATGTCTTTTATTTGATACCTATGTCGGATTGTCGATATAAAGTTTGCTTACCTTGACTTTAGTTTCACTGTAAATAGTAGGCAACACTTGCGGCAAAAGATCACGTACTAGCGACGGTTTATTATGAGCGGCAGAATTGAACGCTACCAGCGCCACGCGTCTAACACCCAGCTCCGGATCGCGTAACGGAACCAGTAACTCGGACATACATGCGCGGAGAAGTGGATCGATCGCTTGCGGCTAGAAAAACAAAAATATACATCTATATATTTCATCAAAGAAATGAAGCTAGAGAAAATATATAAATTGGAAATACTATTTCTAAAAATTAAACAATAGAAACTACCGAGTTTTTTTGCCGGTTCTTCTCAGTACAAGGTCTTCTATCGTAGCTTGTAACAGTCCAGACTGAATAAACGATACTGAATTTGAACTAATGCCCGTTTTCACTAAACTTAGGAGTCGCCCAATTCTGACGCCTAAATATTTGGGAATCTCCTAAGGTAAAAATGCATTTCATCATTGACTAAGCAATATCTAAAGTTATGATATTCGTTATGCGGCGCATTGCGCTAGGCGTTAACGTATGACAAGTCATAAATATATCAAGAGATAAGAGAAAAAAATATTTATTTGGAATTAAACTAATCTGCTTAGGTGATTCGTAATATTAGGCGTTTCCTAGTTAATCTATGCCATGTCCTAAGTTAGTGACATGGCATAGATTAACTAGTTAGAACAACGGCCGTACGACGCCCACTGCTGAGCTTTCCCCATGGATCTCTTCGACGATCGGGTCTGGTCTGCATCCAGACTTATTTTAAGACTTTCTTTGTGAAAATTGCTTAAAAGTTCCACTTTCGCAATCAATCTGCTCTGACCACTGAGCTACCCAGGACGTAATAGGCCTCACGAATTTTTCATGCACTTTTTACTTTTTCACTACTACAGAACGTATTTTCATCAATGTTCAGGCAATCCACTCAAACAGCCAAAAGAAATATTATTACAAACTTTAGATAAAGATGAATAAAAACCTTGTTCTAAAAATATTGTTTGTGAAAATTTTTTGCAAGTTTTTCTGTATAGCATTGTGAATGCAAAATTGATCAAATATAATGACTTTATTTAAATTAAATTTTATACATACCTGATCGGATATAGTGAACTTTACAGCGGTCACAGCAGTGGTTCTAGTCAACGGTTCAGGCGATTTGAGGAATTCCTTTAAGTGTGGCAACAAGTCTTGCGGTTCCAATAGACACAACTTTCCTAAACACTCGGCAACCTATAACATGCAATTATAAACTTGATAAATCACGTTGGTAAATCAAATAATAGAATAAATGTCAGTTCGCGCCTAACCACAATTGTATTCATATCATCCAATTATACTTTCATAGTAATTACACTTTCAAATCTCTTTAGTAATCTTATATAAAATTTAAATAACAAAAGCGATCCAGAAATATCGAAAACAATGGCGCCTTAAAAAGACAAGCATTACATTTAACAACTTGCTTACCACTCCAATCTCATACTTATGACGCAGTAATAAGACCCAAACTTCTTTGTATCGTTAGTTTTGTCTTGAGAAAAATACAAACAAGACGCGCTGTAGATATTCATAAATATGAAAATTCGTATTTTGTTGCCTCTTCACGCAATAACAACTCGACAAATTTTAATACAAATTTGGTATAAAGTTTGGTTTTATAATTTTATTTAAATCAATGCAGACAAGGATGTAGGCAGAAGTCTAGTAGATAAAATACTTACAACATTCCTGGACCCCTCCTCTGCACACTGACAATGTTTTGAAAGCTGAACCCATATCTCTGGTATAAAAGGTCTCAATGCTTCCACGCCTTCTGGTGTACACGATTCACACGTAATAATCTACGAAAAAATAATAGTTCTATAGTGAAAATTTCAGTTATTACTAATATCGATAAATTTACGTATATAATCATCTCCAATCTCAATATTCACATCAACATAACAATCCAGTATCTATACTATATTATGTAAAATCACAGTTAGCTTATAAGAACTAATAAACACTCACTTCTCTTAGCGAATGTAAAAGCAGGTACTGCCGCTTTGGCTGAGCTTCGATCTCCCTCAATATGAATGGTAAGAACTCAGGCAGGTTTCCTACTGCGACTGAACCCAATGCGTAGCTCGCGGCTGACTTCACCTCTTCAGACGATGGCGTGAACGAGTTCAATAGTACCTCCTTCAAGTTCGGAATCGAACTGAGATCCCTGAGTTAAAATAAACTTTATTTTGTTGTGAACAATAGTCTTTAGCAGTCTAGTAAAAAAACTAAAGAAAAAGAGAAATCTGCAATCACTCAAGCTCTATACGTTACTAGCTATTTGCCAGCGGCTTAGCTCGAGTAGTCCCTAGGGCACCGTTTCGTGGCACAAAAATAAGCCTAAATGTTAATTCAGAACACAAACAGAAAAAGAAGTATATATATTAATTCAGAACACAAATAGAATACCTATGAAAAATTTGAGACTGTCAGAACTTGTAGTAACAACGTTTGAAGCAAACTATCAAACCCCAAAAACCCAATGTTACTAATAAATCCATAGGCAAAATGTTCATACTTTCTAATATAAATATGTTGGTAAAGTTGTGCATGGACAAATGATTCCGGTTTTTGTAGAATATCCATTAAGGTTTAACTACAACTTTAAGCATTAATTAATGTTCTAAAATTGAAAATTTGTTTGGGTAATGTGACATTAAACTAATGACAATTTTAATGAAACCCCTAAGGTTCGCATTTCACAAAATCCCATATTTAATGAGCACCTACATCCTAAAAAGCACCCCATGCAAAGTTTGACACGTCGTCCTACGTAGACTGAATAAATTATTATAGTTTCATTTGTATCCCATTTAAGGTTTAACTACGACTTTAAGGGCCGGTTTCACCGGTTGCTGATAAAGTCCCTGATAGTCTATCAGGAACTTATCTGCCAGATAAACTATAACTTTTGGTTTCACAGGTCTCGGATAAAAATATCTGGCAGATAAAGTGTTAGATATGTTATCAGCCGATTCAAGTGGCTGATACAGACGTTATCTGATAGATAAAAAAAAGTTTCAAGTAGCGGGAACGAAAATAGTTTTAGTTTTAGACCATTATTGTGTGCTTTGCGTCGATTGCAGTCACGAGTGTCACAAATATTCTAAAATGGATTTATTTGAGTTTTTAGAAGACGAATTAGATGAATATTTCGAACATATTACGCGACCCCGTAGAAATCGAGTAATTAACCCTAGACCTAATTATTTAGAATCACTTGACGATCAAGATTTTTAGGAATCGATTTCGGCTTACCAAACGGGCTGTTGTTTATATTCTATCGTTAATAGAAAGTGATATAAAAACTACAACGGGCTACTAAGTAAAAAATAAAGAAGCTCCGTTTCTTCTTGATTAAAATTCACACTTCTTTCACGTTTTTGTTTTTCCATTATTAATTAACAAATAAGAAAAGAATACACAAAGAAAAGTTTAAAAAATGAAAAGCGTCTTCTTCTTCTTTTTTTTTTAATTAATGGCTTATCTGCGCAATTCGCAAAATTCTGCCAATGTCAAGTGAATTAATTAATTTTACATGAAATATGAAAATGAAATGAATGAAAGATTTTAAGTACAAAATATCAACAAAGCAAAACATATGACAGTTGCGTTTCGTTTCTGTAAACACGTAGCTAAGTATACGAATATCGTATTATTTTCATTCTAGAATCATAAAATTATAATTCAAAATATGTGAAAAAAGTTTACTTAAATAATATTGAACATAAAAAAAATATATTAATTAAGTTTTAAAAATGATTTTTGATTGACGATAATTTGGGTCGTAGTATTGAAACGCAAAAAAGCGACGTTGCCGTTCCGTCAACTAATAAGTGGCCGATAACTTATCTGCCAGATAAATTATCTAGCAGTTTGATGGTGAAACAGAAAAAAGTTAACAGCAACCTTTATCCGGTAGATAGCGTTAACTATCAGATAACTATCTGAAACTTTATCAGTAACCGGTGAAACTGGCCCTAAGCATTAATTAATGTTCTAAAATTGAAAATTTGTATGGGTAATGTGACATTAAACTAATGACAATTTTAATGAAACTCCTAAGGTTCGCATTTCACAAAATCCCATATTTTGTGAGCAGGTGCTCATTAAATATGGGATTTTGTGACATCCTAAAAAGCACCCCTATGCAAAGTTTGACACTTCGTCCTAAGTAGACTGAATAAGTTATTATAGTTTCATTTGTACCCCATTTGTATTGTAAAGACCATTTTTTACTACATATAAAAATAAATTCATATGAATTTACTTCGAAACTGACTCAATTTATGATAAATATTCTCTATAAACTAAATAGGGTATTTGACACTCACATTATAAACACACTATCAATATATTTCATGTGAATCTGTTCTATTTTCGATGAAATTAAATGTTATAATTTAAATAGCCAAATCGCGCAAAAAAACGCTACCCTATGGGTATGTTCCGATATACACTGCGACCACTGAACAGTATGACGTCAATTTAGTATACTGGAAGCCCGTTCCTTTATAGCTAGTTATACTGGTGACTTTTTAAAACGGAACGCAGTCCAGTATACTGTTAATCCTATTTTATGGCGCCATTTTCAAATTTGTTAATGCAAGGTGAATATAAATATAAAGATTCCCTCTTTTCAAAAGAAAATATTAAAATTGTGTATAAAAAAATTATTTATCAATTAAATCCATCTTATAATAAACGTAAGTATTTTTTTTGTTTATTTAGAAACTTATCATTTTCTGATTCTGTTTCGACTGATCACGTGATCAAAAGCACTGTGAGCACCTTACCTCGAAATCTCCAGTGCTCACAGTACAAATATGGCGGCAATTTATGACGTCATAAATTTCCCTAGGGTACTGTAGCAGTGTACTGGCAGTCCATAACGGAACGGATTTTTCAGCAGTAAGACCACTGCGCAGTGCTCGCAGTGTATATCGGAACATACCCTATGTAATGACGATGATCACGTGGTATTTGTGACGTCACACACCGGTAAATATGTCAAGGCCACATAACCTATTTATCAATATTTATTTACGAAGTACTCTATAGGATTACAGAAGAGAAATTGACGTCGTCTTTTATGTTTTGTATTTGTATCTGCTCTGGTTTTGTTTATAAAATGATATAATAAAAATAAAATATACAAATTTTGAGTATCTTTAATAACACTGTTTTGAGATGACAGTTTCCGGTTTATGTGTGACGTCACCCGCCGGTAAACAGAACCTATCATTGGTTGCGACGACAACCAATTACAGTGCTAAACGCCCGTCGTTCATTAAATTCCTAAAAATGTTGCTTTCTCTTTACGTTATTTTACTAAATCGTAATAAATAAACTTTATTAGATTATTATCTAACAAGATGGCCACAGCATGCAACTTATTTTAAATAGTGTCAAATACCCAATTACAATATAAGAAAAAGGTTTCACTATTAGAAAAACATGTTCTATTAATAATAATTCACTCACAAATGGCGTCCTATTTCCGCGAGAGCTAGTAGCGAGAACATATGCGTAGGATCGTTGGGCGGGTGTGCGGCATCTCGTAAGAAACCGCGGACAACGTCCAGCGCGTCCGAACCGCCCGCAACTACGACCGCCGCTACGCACTTCGCGAGCGAATGAAAAGCCTTCAACAAAATATATTTTTTTATAATATCAAACAGTGAAAGCAACTACTGACATTTGAAGAGAAGTTAACACAAAAAAAATATTTTAGTATTATACAGCAGTGATGAATGAAAATTAATAACGTAGCAAGTCTTAAATAATCTTTGAATTGTATGAAGAAAAACATTACATTTTTGCCAGTTATCCTAATGTATGATGGCCTTTAAATAAAAACACTTTGTAAATGCAAAAAAAAATATAAAGTCACTTAAATGATTCGAATCGAAAACTATAGAAATACGTTAAGGTTTTGATAAATACAGCCAAAACGTGAGTTTTATAAAACTTACCTCAATACAAAAGAAATTAAAAAATACCCCTAAAATTCAGAATATTTATATTTATTACTGTAATTAATTATGAAGTTTATAATTATACTAGCTTTCGCACAGTGGCTCCGCTCGCGTGGTTTCGAGGGTACTGTTTATTTGGATATCGGATTCATATCATGACACAGATAAACTTACAATGACAAATTGAATAGTAAAAAATGGTTACTGTGGCAACGTTTTGATTCCCTATACAAACTTCCACTTCCATTTTCATCCCTTAATTTTTTTGTTTTTCGGGATAAAATTCAGCCTATATTCATCGCATTAGATATAGCTTCCCGTAGGTGAAAGAATTTTTAAAATCGATCCAATAGTTTCGGAGTCTATTCGTTGCAAACAAACAATCAAATTATTTAAAATTTTAGTATAGATAAGTCACAGAGTAGCCGAGTGTCTTACGCAGTAGTATAACAATAATTGTAAGTTTGCGCGTAATTATTAACATAATTAAAAATAGATTTTATGGTGCAATTAGCCATCCTCTGTCCCTATCTCTCTCATGGCCGGGCGTAATAAGATAGACCGGAATAGCCTTATCATTACATCCCCGCTTAAAATGTGTCTATACCTGTTTGATGTGATGTGCCGAGTTCGCATGATCTGCGGCGCGATGTACTGGTGCCACCAGTAACGCCAGCAGCTCGCGACGAGAACAACCAGCCACGTCCGCCGCGACCAATGCACTCAGTACACTCAGCATCGCCTTAAGGGCGCCACCTATGCGTAAACTACGTTTTAGAAATCAATTGTGACGAAAGCACAGCAAGTTTCATCATCATCGGCCCTTTTACGTCCATACTGCAGAGGCACAGGCCTCCTTTTGGATATTTAATGTGTGCCATGACCCTCCCGCTGGCCTAATGCGGATTGCAGGGTATTAACGGCATAACGTGCCTTCCAAAGCACGGTGTAGCTCGACATAATAATTTTTTAGTCACCCATACCGTGACCGACTTATCAAATTAAAGCATTAATTAACTCGCTAATAGTCATAGCATTTAGTTTTCAGCGTGTTAATGTATTTTAGTCCTTTTAAACATCTCTAAAATGTATACAAAAGCGACAAAACTTCAAAGGCGGTGTCTCACTGTAAATTTTGACACTGTCTTCTTTCTTTGTACCTAATTGATTGTGTAGTGTTTAAAGCTGAACTTCAGCCAAACCTAAGTATAATATATGAAGGAGACGCCTTCACTGAAAGCGTCGGCTTGCGTTTCAGCAAAAAGAAAACAGAATAACGCAAAGAAAGGAATAAAACAAAACAGTAAAAAAGAAAGTGTTTATCTATCTATCTATATTTACCTTGTAGCAGCGGCGATTTGGCTAGCGCGAGTATATTGGGAGTGAGTGCCTGACGGGCATCTGCCGTGAGCGCGGCGGGACAACGTAAACACGCGCCTCGAACTAAAGCTAGTGCCGTTTGCGCACAATGTAGATCCGACTCGCATACCAACGGCGGGACCTCCATCAACACCTATCACACGATACGGATTATATTTCTTGCTTTCTCTTCTACATCGGAATCGTAATTCGGAGTGATAAATCATATATTATGATTAATGTATTAGATATTCTAGTAAACTATAACTCCTATTTGCTCATATGTCTGAAATATTACCATCGATTCAGATATAAAACAACATCAACGTAATATTACGTGCTGTCAGAATAATAACACTACGTTTCACAATCTTAATATCACACAATACTCTTAAAAAAATAAACTGTATATATATTCGTAACATAACAGTCGAAATCGTGTCGAGCACAAATTCATTTATTTTTGTTACAAAATTTGAACATTGCCACTTTTTACGGAAAATAAAACAACATTGGTTTCCAATATAACAATTTTACATTTGTACTGTATACGGCTATCTATAATTCTACATAATTATATCAATGGCGAAGAAAAACGTCAAATTAATAATACCATAATTTCATCCCAACAAAAAACAAGAAAAGAATATAATAACGGTGTCTAATCTTAGTTGGTCTGACAGTAGCCATTTCGTAGTTTTGAAAACTATTAGATAGTGTACTAAGGCTTAAGACTGTGCTTCACTTAATATCTATATGATAGGCTCTAATGATTAATGTTTATAATCGATTGGCTGTTTCCTTCTTTGTGTGTGGGCTATACAAAGGCAGAGACTACAACAACGCCATTTGCTTCAACCGGCCATCTCCATTCGCATTAGTTGGTTTATCATGCTAAGTCTACCCCTACAAATGATCCTAAACATCCACATTATGTTAAAATAATATAAAATACCATTACTGCAATACTTTTTCTATATTTACAAGTGATCTGTAAATCAAGAACAAGAACTTTTTTGTCTCAATATTATTAATAAATATAGAATATTTTAGAAGACGCTAACATTAATGATTTTTCTTACCTTGCTAAGAAGTTCTATGCTGATAGCATTACTGTAATTTTGAACAAGAGTATCCAGCAACACTAATGTAGAGAGCTTTAGAGCCCTCTGATTCTTACGTAAAAACGATCCTAGAATAGGCACTGCATCAGACTGAAAACAACAAATGTGTTATTCACGCAGTCGAGACTACTATAATAGAAATATGTTTTTTTTTTATATTATCATGTACTTACCAAAATGGGTCTCAAGTCTATCCTCAAAGGAGACGAAGCAACTTTAGTCAATGCTTTGACAGTTGTCAAACGAGTTATTTCATTGCGCAGACGTTCTAAAAATATTGGCAGACACACAGGTAGTTCGTTCTGCAACAAACAACCAATGAGTAACAAGTGATAGTTATATATTTAAACATAAAATCTAATACATGAGTTTGAAGTACAATCAAAAATTTATTTGTGTACAATCATCATCAGGTAAAATCGTCTTACAATCTATTGGTGGTGAAATGCACTCCTGAGTAGCTTCATACGTTAAGACTAATTTTTATCGGAAGATAGCACCGACTTTATATTGAGAACGGCCGTTGGCACAAGTCTTTCAATCGATAGACGTGCAAAAATTTAGAAATGATAATAAAAAAAATAAAACAAACTCAGAAAAGAGGTTTGTACTGTAGAGAAATTTTAATATCTAATTAAATTTTTGGATAATATCTGATGAATCTAGTAGTATATTAAACACTAACAGAAAAAAACAAAATGTATTTATTTCAGTTTACTGTCTACACCTGTTCTGAGCGTTTGTATCTTGCAGACTAGTCTTTCTCTATTGGCCAGTGAAATCCGATACTCGTATGCGGGTTGTATCGTAAGCGTTGGTAGAAATTCATAACCTCAGAACAAACACATATAATAGTGAAAATTGCTATAGACAAATTTTCATGAAATGAGTTACAAAAATGATAACACATGACTACCTACCTCAACAATGAAAATAGCCCTCTATCAACACAGTAATAATTGGATGCCCACCTCAATGCAATCAATGCACCTTCTCCAATTTTTTTCTTTTTTTTTTACTATTTAGGCTATAAACGACATTGCAAGTTTCCAACTTTACCTTTGATGTGTCTTACCTGCAAATAATCACCGAAGTGGCATATGAGTTGACCGCAAGTGGCGATAGCACGCTCTTTAACCTCTTGGTCCATGTCAGTAGCACGTAGACGCACTAGCGTACACTCATACATCGCGGGTATAAACTGCTGCAAATCTTCGGGGGGTGGTTCCACGTGCAATTCATCTAAGTTCTCTATGTTATCAATGTTATCTGTGGAAAATAAAAAAACATTTAACATAATAGTCCACAATCATGACATAGGAATTAGCATGGAACAACTCAGATTTCAAGAGGAAATTCAATTTACTTTTGCGTGTAGATGGCGCTCGTATCCTAAGTATTGTTTTTATTTGACAATAAGTAAATGAAAATCAAATTTTCAATACTTAACAGCCCAAATACCAGTTCGTCAATTCTGCTAATGTTTACGTAATACTCGCATCTCAATAATATCGGACTTCAGGTAGATAGTACAATGGCAAATGCGAGTAGTTTAGATTATATTATTACGTAAACATTAGCAGAATTGACCTACAAATCCGGAATCGCCTATGTACCACAACTCCTGTATTCTACTAAAGTTTGCCCAAAACTCGCAAGGATAGATTTATATACATTTGGCATCCACAAAATATGAGCATTTTCAATGATAAATAAAGACAACTTCAATTAAGAATATTAGCGCCATTTCTTGATAGTAGGAACGTATTAATAACTTTCGCAAACAGCTATATTTTGAAACTAAAATGAACGACTCACCCAGTGGCCGCATGACTTTGACGAGAGTCTGCAACACTCGTAGAGCTTCAGCGGTGACCTTGTAGAATGGATCATGGACGCAAGATAGTACTGCCGGCATCAATGTTGCCACATGTGGTCTCATCGTCTCCGCCGGATGTCCACGCAATAAACACACAACGAATACCAATGTCTCGATCTTCATCGACGATGCGGTACTCTTGTCCCTAAAGTACAGACATAATGTAAAATATTTTACTCTATCGACTATTGCCACTTTTATATACTAAGATTTTGTTCAAAAGGTGCTGATCCTTCGTGACAGTTGTCGCACGTATATTGCGCCCAGAAGAAGCGTTTGATGAAGGGTTTGCTAATATTTTATCACAGGAAGTGTCTTTGCAGTGACGGACTAACTTCAACGGAGGCCCGGCGCGGATCGCTCCCTCCTCCGAATTCACGAAAAAATAATCAGCTTTTTCATACTATTGGCAATTTTCGTTACGTCACAGTTTTTTGGAAAATGTACCAAAACATGACATCATGTGATATTTTAACTCAATGTATTGCCGTAATTTAATGATAACGAAAAAAAAACCTGTTAAATATTTATCAACAATCTACCTGATGGACAATCAAACAAAAATTTGCCGACGTCCCCATACTGGGACGCGACGGTGTGTTGGGTTAAATTAGCTTCGGTACAATAGTCATACAACATCTATTTATTTCAATTCAATGGGTTTAACATACGTGAGCGCCGGAGTGAGGGCTCTCAGTACGCGCGGCGCATGATCGGCCAGACAGCCGGGTGCGGCCGCGAGCAGTTCACGCAACAGCGCGAGCGCACAACCGCGAGCGCGCACGCTACGTCCGCGGATTACACGCAACGCGCCACGCACCACGCCCGGCACCTGATCAAGGTATACACAAATATTATTATTTTATTTTTTATTTACTCTAAATCAGAGGTTCCCATACAATCTTTTCTCGTAGACCATTTTAAAAAATTAACTGGTGTCGGTGGACCGCCTGCTGCTACATTTTTACCATATTCCCAAAATTCGTCCAAAGTGTCCAAGATCTAACGATGGAAATTGGCGCCCTATTTTTATTTCACGCCAACGTAGACCCCCGTTGAATCCCTCGTGGACCCCTAGGGGTCAACCTGGACCACTTAGGGAATTACTGCTGTAAATCATGAAGGCGTGTGTAAAAAAAATAAAAAGGTGTTTACGAAGAATAAGCAAGTAGGTACTTGTTATTATCACCCATATTTACTACATTTATACTGGTTAATATTCATGGTTCATAATTATCAAGATTAATATTTTTTAGATATGATAATTGTCAGTAGGTATAAATAACAACTTTGTAAATATAGAAACGCATTCATAGATGAAATAAACTTTTATGTTTGTTGTTCTAAATTACAAAAATTAACAAAAAGAATTACATGTGAAATCACATGAACAAAAAGTGAAATAAAAATTTTTTTAATAAAAAGGGGGGTTCTGTCAATATATTTTTTTTTTGTGGGACCATCCTAAATAATTTTCTCTATCAGAATCATATTTGATAATTGTTTTAAATGATTCCTCTTTTTTAACAAGTCATTTATTTATTTATTTACTCTCTTGGATGACCAACAGCTAACAATACAAATTAAAATTTCGTTCCAAAAACAGATAGCCAATTACAGGTCTTCGCTTATAGATTTGGTATAAAAGTAAAATATATATCGCTTACACTTACAATAATATTACAATAAGTACGCTGCTTACGGAGTGATATAGTGATATATTAATATAAATACATATATAAAAGAATAATGACACATATACCCATATTCCAATCAGAAAAATTAGTTATTTAAAAAGAATAAGTTACCAACAACACGCTTAATCGACTCCTCGCTAGTGTTAAAAAGGTCAACATTTACTCGCTTTGATAGTTCGTTGAATCTATTACACGCTCGCCAAATAAATTAATTCTGCCGAAAGTTTGAAGACGCAGGGGGTAGATGTAACAAGGGGTTAAACCTGAGTTGTTTTTGTGGGGCTCTAAAAGTAATCTTTGAGAAGAGTTGAGAACAATCCACAGCACCATTAGCAATTTTTGCAAGAAAAACCAAATCTGTAATTTCTCGCCGATTCACCAAAGGGAGAAAGTGATGCATCCTACAAAGTTCCTCGTCGCGACCTGAGTCATAGCGATGTTTGGTGCGGAAGCAGAGGTACTTAATGAATCTTATTTGAATTTTCTCGATCCGCGATATATACGTCTGATATCCAGAGTTCCAGATCTGCGATGCGTACTCCAGGTGACTTCGGACGAATATGCAATAAAGAATTTTTAGTGTCTTAGTCTGTGTGAAGTCTTTGGAGTTACGCATAACCAATCCAAGAGCTCTGGAGGCCTTTGAAATGATGTTATCAATATGGGCATCGAAAAGCAACTTATGAAACACGCCAAGATCTCTCACAACCGTATCTCGTTTCAGCCTTGAATTTCTCACCACATAATCAAACAAAAACAGATTCCGCTTCCGATTATACGTGACAACATTACATTTGACTGCATTTAAGTCTAAATAATTACTTGAACAGTAGTTGTCAAGTCTCACAAGATCATCTTGTAGTGAAAGCGCGTCTTCTAACAACGAAATAGGCGTAAATATTTTCATATCATGCGCTAAACATAATAGTTGTGAAAATTGAAAAGACCTCGCAATATCATTTACAAACACAGCAAACAGGAGTGGCGCAAGTAGGGAGCCGAGGAACTCCACTGGGAACCGTAAGCCAACCAGAAATATAATTTTTCACCACAACCGCCTGTGAGCGATTATTAATGTATGATGATAACCATCGCAACAAATCGCCACCCACACCAATCATTAACAGTTTCTGTAAAAGCATGTCATGCCTAATTCGGTCGAATGCCTTACTGTAATCAGTGTAGATTACGTCGACCTGAAAGCCATTATCCATGGCAATAGTAAGGGACTCATTGAGCAAGACCAAATTAGACACAACAGAGCGGCCTCTAAGGAAACCATGTTGTATTGGGCTAAACGATTGCTTCAATGCAGAATAAAGCTGCTCGTAAATAACTTTTTCTAGTACCTTGGATACAATACAGAGCTTAGAGATGGTACGGTAGTTAGTAATATCTGATCTAGATCCTTTTTTATGCAATAGTGTAATATATGCTTGCTTCCATACACTTGGAACAATGCCCTCCATCAACTAATTGCAAAGAATCTATTGCAAAGAATAGCAATTGGAATAGCAATGGTTTTAGCGCAATTTATGAGGAAGATAGCTGGCAATAAATCTGGTCCAGCAGACTTTGCCGGATCTAGCTTCGAAAGCAGGAGGTCAGTTCGTCAATGTTAATCATAATTTTATTAATGTTTGTAATAGTAGTAGGAAGAGAAGAGGCCAAACTTAAATTGTTTAGAGAAGTTGGAGACTGCAAAAAGTTAGAATAGAAAAACTCAGAAAAAGCGTTGCAAATCGATTGTCCAGTATTAAGTACAGTATCACCGTAGTTCAAGTTCCGATTAATATAGTCATTAATATTAGTCTTGGATTTAATAAACGACCAATATGTTTTTGGATTAGCCTTTAGCGAAATTTCAACTGTGTTTATATACTCACTATAGCACAGTTTTTCTAATGTTTTACATCGATCCCTTAGAATTTTATAAGATTGTTCATCCGTACGGTTATCATATATTTTGAATTTCTTCAAGTATTTGTACTTTTCCCTAATAGACCTTTTCAAAGCCGGCGAGTACCATTTGAGGTATTTGTTAGTAGTTATAGTTTGGCGAGGTATATATTGGTCTCTTAATCTAACAAATTTATTGTAGAAATACTCTGCTGCTGCTTCGAGGGGTTTAGATATTAATTCATGATGCCAGTCTATTTTGGTAATTTCTGAGTTGATTGCATTATAATATAATCGCCTTTATTAAAAAGAATTTAGCTTTATATATTATAGATACTTAGTGCGAGGTGCATCATTTAAGGGTACAAAATTCGCAAAATCTAAATCGAAGGACAAAGCTCCATGGTGTATATGGTATAACATGAACAGGTCATAAACTCTTTATTAAAGAGTTTGTGTATAATAGTGTGTTATGATTATCAAGATAATTATGAAGTTAGATTTATCAAAATATCGTGATTATCGTGATAATTATTGCGAAAATTATCAATGATAAAAGGGGCGTAGACAACTTCTTTATATTTCTATTTTAAAGATATCTAAAATACCATTTATTTAATAAGTTGAAATCTAAAAATACATTTAATTTTAAGAACTTCCCACAAAATCGCCGCTTTCTGTCATTGCGTCGCTATGACGTCACTGCGCTCGGAAACGAATATCGTGAGTAAAAAGGGTCACGTCACGTGGCAACGAGCATTTTTTTTTTTTTAATTGGTTAAAGCAGTATTATAAACATAATAAAAGTAATAGCATTTTAAACACTACCAGAAGAAAATAATATGTATTTATTTTCGTTTAATGTCTACACCCATATTATCACTCCAAACTCTGCTAATATTATAAAAAGAAAAGTTTTAATTGTTTGTTTGTTTCCATCGAACATGCTCTGAACCTACAAGGAACGAACCAACGTCTTAAGGATTGCTTTTAAAATGAGGACATAGTTGTCAAATCAGTCTTCTTTTCAGTACAATTAATTTCACTCACTCTCTGTAGTAACAAAGCTTGCGGCGAGTTGTCTGCTGGGGCAATTGACATTTGCAGTGCTGGAGGAGGTCGAGTGGCTCGCAGCAATGCAGTGTAGGCGCTAAGAATATCGCACTTCACGTTTTCTTCGCGTTCTTAGAAAATTAAAGAGATAACAGACATAATTTAAGAACCATGTATTCGAAATTTTTGTTATATTTTTAGTTCAAAGGAATAGCTAAAGCGCCAAAATTTGTAGTACCAAAATTTAGTACATCTAACTTTCTCATGTATATTAAATATAATAAATAATACCTTTAAATCTCGCAATCAGAGCAGGGGAAACCGTTTGATACATTTCAGGTAACAACTCATGACGTGTAGATATTACTGATTCCAGACACTTTGCTGCAGCACGTCTTACCTTAAAATTTGATCAAACACTTTAAACTTCATATTTTAATACTCAATAAAGACATTAAATTTTGATATAGGGAGAATTCTATGGTACCTCATCTGCCCAAACTTGAAGCATTGAAATTAATTCTTGTAAATGTTTGGTAGAAATTTGGTTAAGATTGGACAATGATCAGATAAAATTTTAATTGTTTTGTTAAAAAGTTCATAGAGTTTAAAGATGATTTTTCTAATATTTTTATTAAATTATTATTTCGTTAACTCCACAAATGTCGTCATGTCACAATTTATGCAGTTTTTTAATTATAGTTTTGAGTAATAATAAAGCTTATTTACATTGAACAATATTTGAATAAGCATCTCATATAGATTTCATTAAAACAGTTTTTTCTAAGTCTGTTGTCAGACAACTTATTGGATATAGAAAAAATACATTTAAAAATCCGCTGCTTACTACAATAACCTTTGGAAATATGAATGTTTACCTTCCAAGACATATCATCATCGTCAGAATACTCTTCAGAATCTGACTCTGGTTCACCTTCAGGTGCAAATGATTCATCTTCCATTTCCTCGTCTTCACCGCCACCATCTTGTTCTTCATCCTCATAATTATAGTTGGGATCATATGTTATCATTTTAAGACATAGATCTATGATCTAGAAAAAATTATTTCCATTTTTTAAGACATAAAACTACATATATAATATTAATAGATTTATTAGACATATGCACAATATAACCTACAGTTGGTATATGTGGTTGCACTTCTTTTGGGCATTTGAGAACAAATGCTTCTAGTGCTTGGAGACAATGTTCACGCAACTCCTCATCTGCATCAGTGGAATGCTTCAGAACCTGCGGTGCGACACGCCACAGCTGTTCCCCGAATCTACCAGCTTGCCGGCTATGAAACATTTAAAAACCTGTCTTTGAAGCTATTTATCATTAAATGATGAGCTATATTAACATATTTTTTTCAGATCATCACAAAATAATTATGTGTCCTCTAGGAGTCCATAGCAATACAGGCAAGTAAATAAGATAACTATAAGGAACAATTAATTGAAAATTGAGAAGTAACATAACTCCAATGACATAGGACTTTAACTGAATGAATACATCAACTACTGCCTTACTTTCACTATTTACTTATAAATATAAATCTAATCATTTTACTATTGCAAGTTATGCTTAGTAACATGCTTATTCCACCATATTAGATAATATTTAATACATAGTGCAAGGAGATTTTTTATTGATGTATATTTTGTTCAATAAGAATAACAAGAATAAAATAACTTTTGAATTAGAAGAAGTATACAGATATCTTACCAAACAGATGCAATGCACTGAATATGAGTACGACTAACACTCGAAGATGTAGATGAACCCAACCCTTCCAAAAGGTGATCAATTAGCTTATTGTAGAGAGATGCATTACATGACATCACTAAGTGTGATAATGCTACAATGGTACGTTTGCGAACTGCCTAAAAATATAATTTATTTATTAATAGTGTTATGAACTTGTAAATATAAACATGCATTGATTTCAATATTTCTAATTACCTGTCGTGGAGAGGCTAGTTGCGGCAACAATGAGCTTAATAGAAGTGGATGGAAAGATATAAGCAAGCCGCCAAATCTGCTCAGAAGGTCAGCCAAAATATCTAAAGCCTCCAGTTGTACAGAGACATCCTCTTGCTGAAACATTGTTGAGATATAATCATATTTACTAAGTATCATTGCTTCCAAGGCAAATATCATAAAATAGTATTAGGTGGCAATATATTCAATACCTTTTCTATAGCACTGCTCAATCGTCCAGTTATCTTTTTACAAACATTAGCTGCTAGTGTATTAGAACCCAATGGAAGTTCTGATATTACAGTCTTCAGTCCAATGCTACTGATATCCCTCAGTTGTTCTGTATCAGAGAGCATGTTGGCACAAAGAGTTTCTACAATACTCTCCACTTGATATTCTTTGACTTTATTAACCAAAGGACCTAAACTGTTAAAGAAAATTCACATATTTCAGTCATATACTACATTTCCATAGACAATACTCATTTAATGAAATAACATTCAAATATCTAAAAAACAATTATATAATTAGTGCAGTTGCACTTAAGCCATTCCAAATTAATTGTTTGCTGTGAGTTTTTAAATAGTATGATTCCATTAGGTATACAGACTGCTGCTTGATTATTGCAAATCAGAGGACCTCAACTTATAATTTGTTATAATACCCTAACTTTTTTAAAACTCTCAGCATAACAGACTATATTGAATAAACAAACACTTAATTTATTAAGAAATATTATTATTCAACAACAATAAATATACAACCACTTTCCACCAGTGGCTTCCCCCTTGTGGTCTGAATCAAGAGAGGTAGTTTAGGTATGGGAATGTTCCAATTTCCCGCACTCGGATCCTTTAATCATCAAGATAATCCTCTCCAAAATATATATTACATGTTATTATAAAACGGAATATAAGTGTCCAAAAATATGCAGTTACTAACCACTTCACTGCTAAATTTTGAACTTCACCATTTTTGTCTTCAAGTAAGCGAAGCAGCATCTTAACTACTTTTCTTTCAGAATCATCATCAAGTTTTATACTATCTTTTTGTAATTCAGTCATCAAATCGTTTGTTGCCATAAATCTGAAGTCTTTGTCATTAGAAGTCATCTGTGAAAGTATACGACGACCTTTAGTAGGAATAAATTAATCCAATAGCAAAAATTAAAAATTGAATAATGCCGGCTTACCTTCTCAAGAAGATTAGCAATTTGATACGAGACACTAGCCATTTTGAGGAGCAGATGAGCTTTGTTTTCAATTCAAACTACAACTTGGAAGATTGTCATAGAAATGCACAATTCTTTAAATTTTCGGACAGTCAAATGAAGAACATCTGAAAGATTGCAGAAATATATTAACCAACACAACTACAAACTAGGTAACGAAAACGTTTCTCATTTTCCTATTCACTCACTGACGTTTGACATGACATTGCATGACATCACAGACTAAGAAGGAGGTACTACCATGGATACTACGATGATGACCATGGAAGGATACTACATATCATAACCATGGATTTAGAACTTATGACAGCATAAAGCTAAAAAGCAAGCCAAACGAGATATCAAGTACAGAGGCTATTTATCCCTGTCTAATAGATGGACAATAACATTTTCATTATGTGCGATCTTTCGTGGAATACTAAACAGGTTAACAGAAATAAAAATTACACTAATTGTTTTCCCACGACTTTTTATAACAATTACATATAAGGTACATTAGTTGCTATTTACGCTATCAGAGTTATCAGTAACTTACATTCTCACTATATGTCAATAATTCTTTTTTTATCTTTGAATGCCGTTTGATATTTCCCCAATCGTCAAACGAAAAGTCAGTGTTGACGTCACGGAGTGCATAGGCACGGTGAGCAGAGGCCGAACTGCGGGTAAAGTCATAAGGGCAAGAGTCGTTACACAACAAAAAAATTCGATTATATTAGAAAATGTCTAGCTGTTCTGCAACAATTAGGTGTGACTAAATAAAAGATTATTTATATAATTACTAGCAATGCCCTTCTCGCGCGTAGATTAGTGAGTTTTTATTTCATTAGAAGAAAATAATTAAATTAAATAAAAAATCTTAATAAAGAGAAACGACTGAAAAGACTTCCAGACTTCGATCTTCTTATCAATTATATGCAGACGATCTCCATTTATATGCTCAGACAGACAAGAGCCACATTAACGCCGCTATTCTTGTTCCTCAATCAAGATCTTATAAGCATTTTTGATTGGTCAAGCAGTTACAGCATGGCTATAAATACGATAAAGTGCCAGAGGATTATTATAGGCAATTCACGTCAATTGTCTGTTATTGATATGCACACCGTTTCTCTTCTGCTGTATAATGGACAAGTCATCCCGTTTTAATCTAGTGTTAAAAATTTAGGCCTTCACATTCTCAACTGGGAGATAAGGTTAACGAAGTGTGTCATCGAGTTGTGAATACGCTTAGATCACTATATAGACTAAAATTCTTTCTCCGATACAGCACCAAATTGTATTAGTACAGACTCTTGTTTTCCCGCTTCTTGACTACGCTAACGTCTGTTATTCTGACACTTGTCAATTTCTTCTCAACAAATTGGATCGTTTGCTTAATAGCTCTATTCGGTTTATATTTGACCTACGTAAATAAGATCACATCTCTAAATACATGAAACAACTCGGATGCAGTGCCGGTTTTAGCACTAGTAGCGCCCTGGGCGAAATTTCTTCGGCGCCCCCTAACTGCAATTCAATTACTACTACATACTACAGATCAGTTACTTGTCTTTTTTTCGCCGACCCGGCCTACTTACTTGTAATTTTCCCTAAATTTAGGTAGATTGTTAAGTTGGCAGCATTAGAATGGAACGTAGTGTTCAATCGGTTTAATTTCTCGGCAATCCCCGACTTTCCGACCATACAGAAACAATGTGTTTTTCTATAATCGGGGATTCCCAAGATCTATCTCTTTTAATTTTCGACGAAGCAGAACACAATCAACAATCATCTTCATGCTTGTCATAAGTGGACGCTCTTAAAACAATTATTCGATTATTTTAAAACAAACAAACACAGTAATCAAACCTTTAACGCTACGTTACGATGCTCTTGTTCCAACTATAGAGTGACATTAGTTTTATTTAAAAAATAGACATATAAATAGTGTATAAGTAGCTGTTTCATTTTTGACGGATCACATCATTAGGTAAGTGCAGATTAATTTTTGCTATCTATACTACACATTCCCTGATACTTAAATTATATAAGATGTTAAAATAGCAGGTTAATTATTGAAATTGGGTCCAGACTCTTTACCCGTGTAACACCCTAACAGGGTGTCACATAATTGTTATGTATAACTTTGTGTAATTGTTGTAACTTTGTGACCGTTTGCCTTGGCCGTTTGTTTGGCCCACTGGCCACTACTTATTATATGATAAATTATTTTGCTATTTCGAATAAGTGGCTAAGTAGCTGGATCCGCTATATTAGGGACAACAGTATCAACATCATCTAGTACATGTATTTGTTGTACATCAATAACAGATTTATCCTGATCAGCATCTGTAATCGTAGCACTACTTGCTCCCTCACTTCGGGATTTTTCATCCACAATCTCTTGAGTAGATATTCCATCTGACTTGCCAGACAGAGGCTCCACTCCGCTTTAGCTTCAGCTTAACGTTTAAACATGCTAAAACGAAAATTTTCTTAAATGACCGAGCGATAATGCCCGCCAATGTACGTCATCTTACCTAATAAAATACATATCTTGATATATTGGTAATCGGTATGTTGTTCTGTTTTACCATAATATAATACTTTTCTTGTTAAGTTTCCTTTCAATTCATGCTGAAAGTGAGGCAACTTGAAAACAAAAAAACATCCTCACGGTTCTTGTCTTTTTTCGCCGACCCAGTAGGCCTTATTTAATGAGCGAGGGAACTATATATATATATATATATATATATATATATATATATATATAAATGAGGAAGTATTAGAAAAAGAAACATTAGTTCCCGAAATTAAACTAGATGTCGCTATGGTACGTTCTTGATTTCTCCATGACAACCCTTCCAGTTTTCTTTCGTGTTTAAAAGTAAATTAGTTTTAAAAATTCAATTAACAACTCATATTCTATTTGTACTTTATCGTATTTGTATTGATATCTAAGTTTCGAACATTTCAAATTTCAGTTTTTTAATATGTTACTTAGAAGGAACGGAAATGACTGTCTTTGTTCCATTCGTTTCTTGCAAAAATCAACTTTTGCTAGAGTCTCTATCTAGAGGAGGTACTTTTGTAGTGCTTTCATTTTTTTAAATATTTCCTCATTATATAAAATCAGAAAGAAGCGCCGGACGAAAAAAGGGCGCCGCGGCCTTCGGCGCCCCTTTTGGTCCGGCGCCCCTGGGCGGTCGCCCAACCGCGCCCTACCCTAACGCCGCTACTTGCTAGGAACTTGCTAGTTGTATGTATGCTTTTCAAAATCCTTTACGATCCATGTACCCTTGGATATTTGAAGTCTAGGTTTCAATAACTTGATTCCAGTCATCAAAATGATCTTCACTCTAGTATCAACGTCATTCTTCAAACTCCCGTTCATCATACTGATTTTGCTTCCAAATCTTTTACTCTGACAGCTATTCGCCTTTGGAATGCTCTCCCAGCTCATATTAAAACTTCGTAGAATAGAATGTTTTTTTTAGAGATTGGTGCATAAGCACTTTCTTCATATGTAATTATCTCAAATGCCTTCTGTATTCTATTTTTTTATGTACATATTTATATTTTATCTATATGTACGGTCGGCCAAGAAAGTGGTCTACCAGTTTTGACAACATTTCTGATGTGGTTTATTAGCAGAGTTTACACAGCGTCAGAATAAACAGAACAAAAGAAAAGATTATTATGGCTAAATGACAGTGTCGAAATTATTTATGGAACTAGGTATAAAAACCTCTGTTATTCCTAGGCTCTAACACTCCTCCTTAATTTTGATTCAGCATATACCATGCATACTCACTGTCATTCAATCACACTCTTAAACCCATTTGACTTGCACACCAGTCAAACTTTCCTTTTGCTAGGGGTTTGGTCAATGCATCAGCAACCATCCGATTGGTTTCAACATATTTAACCACTATTTGGTTATTCTCAACAGCTTCTCTAATATAGTGGCAGCGAATATCGATATGTTTCGTTCGCTGATGATGCACTGGGTTTTGTGCAATTGCTATAGCAGATTGGCTATCACTAAATATTGTGATACACTTTTCCTCTTTGCACATAATCTCAGCTATAAATCTCTTTAAGAATATTGCCTCTCTTGCAGACTCTGATAAGGCAACATATTCTGCTTCTGCAGTCGACAAAGCTATGGTGCGTTGTTTGACACTCTGCCAGCAAATAGCTCCTCCTTGAGATGTAAAAACAAAACCCGTCCAAGATTTCCTGTCTAAATCGCCACCATGACTTGCATCAGCATAGCCTTGAAGACTATTAGTCACATCACGATTCCTTGTGTAGTGAATTCCGAAATTCTTTGTGCCCTTCAAGTACCTCAACACCCTTTTAGCAGCTGACCAATGTTCCTCGGCGTAGCAGGTGTTAAACTGACTCAGGGAACTAACTACATTTGTAATATCTGGTCTGGTACAAACCGCCAGGTACATCAATGACCCAATAAGATTCTGATAAGGAATTCTCTCATCTGGCTTGTCCTCCGACTTCCTTAAATGAGTTCCAGGTACTGCAGGTGTTGCAGCCACTTTGCAATCTTCCATACCAAACGTCTTGAGGAGCTTCTCTATATATTTTTCTTGATCAATTTTAATATGATCCTTATTATTGGTAATTCTCATTCCCAAAACAATATGTGCTGGTCCAAGATCTTTCATTTCGAATTTCGAGGTAAGCTCCCGTTTTACCTTTTGAAGCTCCTCCTTGTTATTCCAAAATATCAGCATGTCATCTACGTAAACAGCTAATATTATGATTCTATTCTCAATGAATCTTGTATAAACGCAAGGTTCATTTTTAGACTGTATAAATTGAAGTTGGTTCAATTCACTATCTAGTTTCTTATTCCATGCACGAGGAGCTTGCTTAAGTCCATACAATGACCGATTTAATTTACATACATATCCAGCTTTGTCTTTAACTTCAAAGCCCTCAGGTTGTTTCATGTAGACCGTTTCTCTTAAATCTCCATTCAGGAAAGCGGTCTTGACGTCCATTTGGTCAACCTGTAAATTCATCTCACTGGCTAAAGCTAGCAAAGTCCTCAACGAGCTGTGCCTGACCACCGGTGCAAACGTATCCTCATAGTCAAAACCTCTTCTTTGACTGAAGCCACGTGCAACTAGTCGAGCTTTATATCTCACATTATTTCCTCCCTCTTCTTTGATTCTAAATAACCATTTA